TCAGGTGTCACAGCTACCCGACACTGGACACCCAAAACTGTAGGGGTGCAAGACATGTGGTGTCTTTCCTTGCTCACATATCATCACAGCTAACACTCCTAGAACAAGACAGATTAGCAAGACTATCATACCAGATTTACTTAGTCAAAGTGTTCCATGGACTTGAGAGTTCTCAGAAAGGAAGAACCAAAGATCTAGAGAGGACTATTGATATTGTTAATTGGGATGAGGAATGGGCAGACAAGAGAAATAGGATTGGACAAAAGGCTATGGCCTGAGGGTAATGAATTGAGGTGTGGGCTAGGGCTCAGACAACCCCTGCAAGGCCTCTCCATTCAGGTTCCTCCGGCCTTTCTGCTAGCATCACCTGCTCTGCAGGTGGGCAGCTCTCCTCCAGGATCAAAGATTTATTTATTTTTGTTGGAAAGTCAAATTTACAGAGAGGAGAGACAAAGATCTTCCATCCACTGGTTCACTCCACTCATAGCCAAAACGGCCGGAGTTGAGCTGATCCAAAGCCAGGTGCCAGGAACTTCTTCCAGGCCTCCCATGAGGGTACAGCGTTCCAAGGCTTTGGGCCATCTTCTGCTACCTCCCCAGGCCACATGCAGGGAGCTGACGGGAAGTGGAGCAGCTGAGGCACGAACTGGCACTTATATGGGATCCCCACAGTTGCAAGGCAAGGACTTTAGCCAGTAGCCTACTGTGCCAGACCCCAGGATGAATTTTATGACCTGTACTATCAGACACGGTAGGCCAGCTTCAACATAAAAGCGTCTAGGTGTGCTGACTAATCCCGAGTTAGGATTGCTCGGGAGGAAGAAAGTTCCAGGTTCTATGATCACTCTGGGGAAGAATAATTCTGGCTTCTATGACGCTCTTTGGGGAAAAAGGAAGAGTGGGAGACATTAGAGCAGGCCAAAGTCAAATTTGCATCCGATCTTGAGTCCAAGGTACTCAGCATGTACAGTGCTACTCTGTGGGGTACTGTTTTCTGAACTCCAGCAGTGTTAAGTCTGACCCTGGACCATCCATAATCCGCAAAGCCTGTTCAAAAGATGCCCATCATATCTTCTAGACACAGCTGGTCAAACAGCCTCTGTGTTCACATGAGTGTACACTGGGTGGGAGAAAATAGAGCTGCAAAAGCATCAAGTATACTTAACCACCTGTACTGTTCCTGGATCACAGTGAAGCCGGAAACTTCGGTTCTAGCAACATCCTCCTGGTGGATTTGTAATTTTGAAAGAAGGGATCACAGTGATGCTTCCAATCAGGGACAGTTCATTATTTCCGGGTCTGCGTTTAAAAGCTGCGTGACAGAATTCTAAAGAGCTAGAAGTAAAAGAGGAGCTGATGGGAACAAGTGACAGCAGAAGATGAACTGAGAGTGGCAGTACCATAAACCTTGTGTTTTGCTTACTGCCAGGTAACAGGATGCAGGGAGGAAGCAAACTGAGCCTTAGCAGAAACCAGGACGATTATTTTATTTATTTATTATTATTTTTTTTAATTATCCAAACTGTGTTTATTGAGAAGGTCTTCCACTCATCTTGATTCAGGATGCTCTTAGTGCTGCTTCCTTGGGAAGGAACATCCTTCTGTAAGCCTTGCTTTGCCTCCCATGGGCTGGCAAAGGGCAGTCGAGCAGCGGACACACAAAAACAACCATTTGCTTGTGGCTAAAAACCGTGGTGATTCTGTAGCATCCTGGGCACCTGAAAACCATGAAGTAGGAACTGGGGCTCTGCACCAGATGTTTCTTCTTGTGTCTCCTCTTCTCCCCCGGAGAGGGCTGCAAGAGATCCTTGGTGACAGGCATGTTCACGTGGAGAGGTCGTCACCACTGGAAAACCCCTATAACCAGCGTGTGGGGTAAGAACTAGTTTTATTTTTGTTCCACTTCTTCCTGTGCCCATGAATGAAGACCTGATTTTGCTTAGACTGGTTTTTCTGACACTCTGATCTATCTGGTCACAGCTCATAGCCAACACCACGCGCATGGAGGGTGGTTAGCCTAGTTTGGAAGATGCCTGTGTCCCCCCTGTGTTCAGTTGCTGGCTCAGACTCCCGGTTCCAGCTGCCTGCTAACGCACACATCCTTGAGAGGTAGCAGTAATGGCTCCACAAGTCAGGTTCCTGCCACACCCGCTGCAGGCATCTGGAGAAAGAACCAGCAGATGAAAGCTCTGTCTCTCTGCCTCTCAAATCAAAATACCACTTTAAACTTGGAATTACATCTTCTGCTAGCTTGAGCTTGCTTCAAACTTGACACCTACAGGGAAGAAATGGAATGGGATGCTTTGCATGCTCTTCAACTCTCCCGCCATGGCCCTGGAAGCTAGGACAGGGAAGGCAGTTCTTTAGCTAGTTGGCTCTGTGCTCTCTGGGTCTGCCTGGTCGTTAGAAGTAGCTCTTTCATGGGGTTACCAGCAGTTCCTGCTGAGCCTCTTGACCCTGGCAGCTGCATATCCACACTGGCTTCTCAGTGACTCTAATCTCCATCTGGGGAGCCAGGCAGGAATAAATCATGTCCAGACACCTTCTCCTGCCAAGGTCTCCCAGGCCCAAAGATGGATTTGACCATGGCAAAGGTGAACTCCAGCAGATCCATGAGACACACTCTCTTACGCTTTACCCCAGGGCTGCGCCATCCAAGGAAAGAGCTTTTTCTTTCTCTCACCCTCTAGACTTGCAGGGCAGCAGTCACCTCCAGCCACTTCCATTCTCTAGCTCAGGCCGGAGTCTCCCAACCACAGAGACACATTCCCAAACTCTGTTCCCTGAAGTTCGACCACAGCAGTTTTCACCTCCCATTCTTCTGCCAAAACACTGGTCAGAGCACAGTGGTACCTTCTACCTCAATTACAGCCTGTTTCATTAACAAATTACCCCAAAACTTAGGGGCCTAAACAGTGGATAATTATTATCTCTCATAGCTTCTTTGGGGCAGGAATTTGGGAATGGACTGGTGAAGCAGCTCTAGCTCAGGGTCTCTCTTGAGGTTCCAGTCAAAACACCACAAGGTTCAATCCCTCCCTGCTCGCATGGAGTCCTCCAAAACCTGACACCAACGGGAAAGCAGCCAACTCTTTCCATGATCTAGCCTCAGCAGTCACACTTCCTTCCAAGGAAGGAAACTAGGGCACTAGAACCATCTTAAAGGCTGCATGCCAAATCATGGAGCCATTAATCCTTAAAACAAACTAATAAAGCCATAAATGAAGAGAAAGTAAATTTAGATTGGTAGAACAAAAATTTTTAATGTTTTTTGAAAGGTAGTTACACAGAGAGAGGGAAGAAGATATCTTCCATTACCCTGTTCACTACCCAAATAGCTGCAACAGCTGAGGCTAGCTCAAGTTAAAGCCAGGAGCCAGAACTTCTGGGTCTCCCACTTCTATGACAGGAACACAAGCACTTGGGCTATCCATTGCTGCTTTCCCAGGCACATTAGCAGGAAGCAGAATCAGAAGCAGAGTAGTCAGCTTTACCACTATGCCACAGCACCAAATAAAAACTTCTTTGATTCTCAAAATTATGTGTTGGGGGGCCAATGCTTGGGCTCAACTAGCTAAATCTTCCATCTCCAAGAGGCAGAATCCCACATGGGCACCAATTCATGACCCAGTTGCCCCACTTCCCATCCAGCTCCCTGTTTGTGAACTAGGAAAGCAACTGAGGAAAACCTTGGGACCCTGCACCCATATGGGAGGACCAGGAGGAGTTTCATGGCTTCACATTGGCTTGGTTCTAGCCATATAGTCATTTGTGAAGTAATCCAGCAGACAGAAGATCTTTCTTTCTATCTCTTTCCCTCTGTAAGCATGCCTTTCCAATGAAAATAAATAAATCTTACAAAAAAAAACTGGGCCCAGCGCGATAACCTAGGGGCTAAAATCCTCACCTTTCATGCACTAGCATCCCATGTTGGCATCAGTTCGTATTCCAGCAGCTCCACTTCTCTTCCAGCTCCCTGCTTGTGGCCTGGGAAAGCAGTCGAGGACGGCCCAACAGCTTGGGACCCTGCACCCGCATGGGAGACCTGGAAGAGGCTCCAGGCTCCTGGCTCCTGGCTTTGGATTAGCTCAGCTCCAGCCGTTGCAGCCACTTTGGGAATAAACCATGGATGGAAGATCTTTCTGTCTCTCCTCTCTGTAAATCTGCCTGTCCAATAAAAATACATAAATCTTAAAATAAAAACACACACACATTATGTGTCAGGCGCAGTGTTATTGCATAGGAGTAAAGACGTTGCCTGCAATGCTAGCATCCCACATGGATAGCAGTTCATGTCCTGATTACTAAAGGTCTGGGAAAATGGCAGAAGCTAGCCCAAGGTCCCAGCTGTTGCAGCTATCTGGGGAATGAACCAGTGGAAGAAAAAGCACATGCTTGCTCTCTCTCTCTCTCTCTCTCTCTCTCTCTCTCTATATATATATATATATATATACACACATGTATATATCAGAGTCATAAATGACTCTTTCAAAATAAATATATATCTATAAATATATATATATCACAGTCATATATATGACTCTGACTTTCAAAATAAATCATATATTTTATATATACAGTCATATATATCTATATATATAGATATACGACTGACTTTCAAAATAATTCTATCTTTGGTAGCACATATACAAAATAAATCTTTCAAAAAATAAAAATTTGGTGAGCTGACTGGTAGATGGAAGATCTCTATCTCTCCCCTTCTCTTTGTAACTCTGAGTTTCAAATAAAAATAACAGCAATCAAAAAAAAAAAAAAAAACCCTCAAGTCTGTCATCTAACACACATTTTTGTTCCTCTTTTATAACAGGACTCACTGAAGGATCTGATCTTCCAGGCACTTTTAGTTCATAGATCTGATTTTACATAATAATCAGCAAAAATAAAGCAGTGGGAAGTTCTTTTTGAAGTCAATCATTACACTTGAATTTACACTTTGAAAAACACATTTGAAGCTGAGTCATTACAAAAATCATCTTTTAAAAATTTATTTTATAGACCAATGATTTAAATAGGATACATTTGGGCACGGTAGATATTTGACATGAAAAGTAGCTGTATCAGAACGGGCACCAGAAAAATAGCAACTCATGTTACACATAAGAGCTAGAAAATATTTTTCTGTCTGATCACATTAAGTGTTACAAATCCTGAGAATGTTATCCGCTGAGCAAATCAAGTCCTACCTTGTAATTAAATGTTACTTGGAAATAATCTTTTAAAAAAGATTTTGAGGTACAAATCACCTTTGTATTAAACATGAGTCTTTTCTATTTTACAAAGAGTTTAAACAAATATAGCAAATAATTACGATTTGGTGGCCTTTAAGAGAGCAATTAGTCAGGCTCCAGGACACACTGTTCCACTATTTCCCGTAGGTTGGGGTTCTCCATTGCAGCAGCCACCCGCTCTTTGTCATTGATCTGCTTGTTGACTGTAAAACACAGAAGGTAACAGAGCTTTGTCAGTACATCACAACAGATAATATTTTTACAGAACAGAGAATTAAAAAAAAAAAAAAAAAAAGCTTCATTTATTTAGTTGAAAGGCAGAGAGAAAGGTATCTTCCAAACTGCTGGTTCCCACCCCAAGAGGCTAAGGTTGGGCCAAGATGAAGCAAAGAGCTTCTTTTAGGTCCACCATTCAGGTGCAGAGGTCCAGGGACTTAGACTGTCTTCCACCATTTTCAGCAGGGAGCTGAACTAGAAGTGGAGCTGTCAGGACTTGAACCAGCATTCACACGTGATGCTGGTGCTACAGGAGGCTGTGCCATAGCACTAGCCCCACAGGACAAAGAATTTAACTCCTTAAGACGTTAAAGCTGTTTATTACTCATAATGTGGTTTTTAAACTTTGGATAGCCAACTGCAGGGAAAAAATATTTCCTATGATCCTGCTACTCTGCTAGAACTATTTTAATTTCTTTCCCATCACTGTTCACGTACATAAACCTTATATTCCAAGTACATACATCTCTGAAATGGCTATTTTTCCTTTTTAGTCATTTTTTAAAAACCCATTTATTTTACTTGAAAAAGTTACAAAAACAGAAAGAGGGGGAGACAGAGCTCTTCTGTTGCTGGTTCACTCCTCAAATGACCACAATGGCCCAAGTTGGGCTGATCTGAAGCCAGGAGCTTTTTCTGGGTCCCCCAAGTGCATACAAGGACCCAAGGACTTGAGCTCCCCCGCCCCACACCACTGCTTTTCCAGGCCATTAACAGGGATCTGAATCTGAATCTGAGAGGAAGCAGCCATGACGAGAAGCAGTGCTGATAGAGGATGCTGGCATCTGCTATGTCGCTACTCGAGCCATTTTTTTTTTTTTTTTAAATGTAGAGCTGGGTGTCTCTCTCCCTCCTCTTTTGAAAGGCACCCCACCTCCCGGCTTTCTCTCTGGAGGTGCTTTCCCCTTCCCTGCTAGTCCCTTCGCAAATACTTTTCTATCTGCACAGAAAAAAAAATATTGCAGTTATTCTTAACATGAAAAAAAAAAAAGTGACTATGAAGACTAAGCTGCAGGGGTTGGTATCCTGGCTCAGGGGATTAAGCTGCTGCTTGTGACGCCAGCATTGCACTGAGGAGTGTCCTACCTGCTCAGCTTCTAATCTAGCTTCCTACTAATGCATCTGGGAAAGCAGCACAAGGTGGCCCAAGCACTTGGGTCGTGCCAGCCATGTGGGAGACCAGGATGAAATTCCTGGCTCCTGAATCTGGCTTGACCTAGCCCTGGCTACTGCAGGCATTTGGGAATAAATCAGAAAAGGGAAGATTTTCTCTTCCTTTCCCTCAGTCTTTGTCACTGTGCCTCTACTTTCCAATAAACAAATCACCTTAGAAAAAAAAAAAAAGAATGAGGTCAAAGAATATGAATATTTTATATGTTATCACTGAATCATTTTTCCAAAAATATTTACCAATTTACTTGGCCAAAACAATACACAAACTATCAGTTTGCCAACAAAGCAAATACATACACATAAACACAAAACAGAAAAATGTTTCCACAATAATGCGATTTGCATTTCCCTAATTAATAGTGCTGGAACATTTCCCATGTTTATTTATTAGTTCTCCTAGTGTGGATTTTTGGTTATATTCTTTACTATCAACCCACCAGGTCTTTTATTTTTTAACATGACCGTAGAAGGACACTGTGATTCGCAGGATGACAATTAATAGGTTATCATTTGTATGACAACAACTGACTGGATATCATTTGAATGAGGACACTTGATTGTATGTACAAAACAAAAAATAGTTTCAAACAAGAGTGCGGAAACAATTGATGGGTTCTGTAGAAAGGCTTTAAGTTCCTCAATACCTTCTCCCTTATCCTATGTGAGCCTCAGTCTATAAAAGCCTGATGCCATTAATAACCTTTGGCTATCTCACCAACACGGTAGTCCATGCGTGTTATTACAGGCTCTGTGCAGCAAGACAGCGAACACATCATCTTGCATGCATTACATATAATGAAAGTATTGATCTGTTTTGTTGTAATTTGTTAATGGCTTCTTTTTTCTTTTATTGGAAATGCAGATTTACAGAGAACTAGAGCAAGAGAAAAGAAAGATCTTCAATCCACTGGTTCACTCCCGAAGTAGTCAAAACAGCTGGATGGATCTAAGCCAAACCAGAGCCAAGAGAAAAGCCTTCTCTGGGTCTCCCATGCAGGTGCAGGGTCCCAAGGCTTTGGACCATCCTCGATTGCTTTCCCAGGCCACAAGCAGGGAGCTGGGTGGGAAGTGGAACAGCCAGGACACTAATTGCACCCGTATGAGATCCCAGCACATGCAAGGCAAAGATTTAGCAACTGAGCCATCACGCTTGACCCTGCTAATAGTATTCTTTCTTTTTTTTTTTTTAAGATTTGTTTATTTATTTTATTAGAAAGTCACATATATGGAGGGGAGGAAAGACAGAGAGGAAGATTTTTCTATCCACTGATTCACTCTCAAGTGGCTGCAATAGCTGGAGCTCAGCTGATCAGAAGTCAGGAGCTTCTTCCTGGTCTCCCATGTGGGGGCAGGGTCCCAAAGCTTTGGGCCATCCTCAACTGCTTTCCTAGGACACAAATGGGAAGCTGGATGGAAAACTGGATGGAAAGCAGGGCCACCGGAATTAGAACCCCAGGCCCATATGAGATCTCGGCATGCACAAGGCTGGGACTTAAGCCACTAGGCAACCACACAGGGTCATATTAATGGCATTCTTAACGGAAAAGTTCAAAAGAGAGATGTTGGGGTCAGTGATACGGAGTTACGGTCTATAATGGGAGCATGTCCTGCCTATTCAAGTCCTGGCTGCTATTTCCAATTCAGCTCCTTGCTAATGCACTTGAGAAAGCAGGGAAATATGGCACAAACACCTGGGCCTCTGCCCCTCAATGTGTGAGACCTGGATGGAGTGCCAGGCTCCTGGGTTCAGCCTGGCCTGGCCCAGCCCAGCTGCTACAATCAGTCATCTGGGAAGTGAACCAGCAGCAGATGGAAGATCTCATTCTCTATGCAACTCCCTGTCTCTGTCACTTTACCTTTCAATAAATAATTCTTTTTTAAAAACATCAGATGTCTGTACTTTTTACTAAAATCTGACTTTTCTGGGATATTGTAATTCTTACATAGAAACACATGCATGGGTTCGGCGTGGTAGCTTAGTGGCTAAAGTCCTTGCCTTGCACGCGCTGGGATCCCATATGAGCTCTAGTTCTATTCCCAGCGGCCTCACTTCCTGTCCAGCTCCCTGCTTGTGGCCTGGGAAAGCAGTTGAGAACAGCACAAAACTTTGGGACCCTGAACACACGTGGGAGACCTGGAAAAGGCTCAAGGCTCCTGGCTCCTGGCTGCTGGCTCCTGGCTCCTGGCTCCTAGCTTTGGATACGCTCACCTCCAGTTGTTGCAGTCACTTGGGGAGTGAATTATCAGATGGAAGATCTTCCTCTCTGTATATCTGACTTTGCAATAAAAATAAAACAAGTCTTAAACACACACACACACACACACACACACACACACACACTATGTAAACCATTTCAGTTCATTCTGGTTCTTCCTCCTGCACAGCAGGCTCCACATGGACAGGTGTGTGTCTCAGAGGAACTGTGCCTAAGCATAGAAGACATGGAGTAAGTGTTTACAAGTAAAAAACCAGAATCACTAGGTTCAATGTCATTGTCACTATCACACTCTAGAATAGAGGAGTTTAGAGGAGACTCCAAACTAGAACCAGAGTGGATTTAGGATACCTCAACTCAGATGTCTCAGCTTATGAATAAACTTAGCACATAAAGTTATATGATCTACTTGAAGTATATGATGATCTATCTGCAATGGATATAGAATAATATATCTGAAGTACATAGTGATCTATTGAATGACATAATGTTGTATCTGCAACTGTGAAAACAGGACATGGCTTTCAGAGTTTCTGTGACGGCCCTGAAAAGTTTTGTGGCCAGGCTGTTGCTCCAAATACAGCAGGTGCCCCCCTCTGGCTCGCTCGTCCGGGCACACGCTTCTGTGTATCCCTCCCCAGCTGCAGTCCCCTTTGCTGAGTCGCTGTCATCCTCGCTGAAGCTCCCTTACCATGGTTCTCACTCCACTGCCACCTCTTCCGCTCCCGTCCGCTGTCGTTTCCACCTTCTCAATTTACCCAGTCAGGAAAGCTAAAAGTACTTCTCATTATTAGTGCTAATTTGTAAATAAAAATTCTTTTAACAATTTACTTATTTATTTGGAAGTCAAAGTTACAGAGAAAAAAGGAGAGAGTGTAAGAGATAAAAACAGGGAGAGAGATACTTTCCACTGATTTGTTCCTCTGAAGGTGCAACAGCCAAGGCTAGGCCAGCCTCAGGAACTTTATCCATGTCTCCCATGTGATGGCAGGAGAGACACCTGGACCATCCTCCACTGCTTTCCCTGGCCATCAGCACAGAGTTGGAGCAGAGGCAAAACAGCAAAGGGTTCAACCAGGGCCCATCTGGGGTTCCAGTGTTCACAGGCAGCAGCTTTACTGGCTAAGCCACAACATCAGTCCCATAAAGTTCTTTTTAATGAAACACATTAAACTACCTAAAACATTTTGTCTTTTGCTTTTCCAAACCTTACCTCTACTATTTTTAAGTAATTACTGATTGATTTTTCTATCGGTCAAAGATCCACTGCACAAAAAAGGTTCCCAAGCACGGCGCTGTAGCCGAGCGGCTAAAGACCTCACCTTGAACACGCCGGGATCCCATTTGGGCGCCGATTCTAATCCCAGCAGCCCAGCTTCCCATACAGTTCCCTGCTTGTGGCCTGGGAGAGCAACTGAGGACAGCTCAAAGCCTTGGGACCCTGCACTGCGTGGGAGACCCAGAAGAAGCTCCTGGCTCCTGGCTTTGGATTGGCTCAGCTTTGGCCATTGCAGCCACGTGGGGAATGAATCATCAGATGGGAGATCTTTCTCTCTGTCTCTCTTCTGTATATCTGCCTTTCCAATAAAAACAAATAAATCTTTTTAAAAAAGAGAAAAGGTTCCCCATTCCCATTCTTATACACTTTCCCGAGACAGCACTTCCCCACCTAAACCTTTATGTGCTGACTTCCAATTTCAGTGTCAGTTTTACAGCTCCAGCGTGCCACCCCAGGACAGAAGCAAGCCTTTCTCAGAGCTTACAAGACATGGCCCCTAGCACTGGGTATCTGTGACAGATGTGGAGGCCAGTCAACACCCACGGGTTCTAGCTCACTAAGGGTCCACGGAAAACAATGACTTCCTTAGTGTGCTTTAGTTTCCCCAACTGCGATCTAGCAACTAATAACTGATTGTGTCCCTTCCTTTAAAAGATACCTATCTGGAAGTATAACTTGGTATTCAGGATAAGCTACTGTCTAAGGCTGTATTTCAATAATAGTAATAATGTGTTTAAAATGTTCATGCTGTGGGTAGGGCTACTGCCTCTATAATGCTGGTATACCATACAGGCCCTGGTTCTAGTCCTGGTTGCTCAGTTTCTGAATCAGCTCCCCATTTAAAGCACCTGGGAAAGCAGTGGAGGATGGACGGCCCAAGTGCCGGGGCCCCTGCAGCCACTCTCATGAGACAGGGACAGAGTCTCAGTTCCGTGGCTTAGGCCTAGCTCTGTCATGTCCACTGCAGCCAGGTGGGCAATGAACCAGCAGATGGAAGATCCCTCGCTCTTCTCTATGTCTTTCTCTCTGATAATGCTTTTCGAATAAATACATTTTAAAAAAATGTCTCAAGACTACTACTTACTGTCTTCTTCTGTTGAGTGAGTTCCTTCAGAAATGTAGATCTCCAACTGGGAAGGAAAAAGAGGAAAAACAAAAACATTAGCGCATTCTAAGAATCCTGGAATGACAGCCTGGATTCTGTTTCTAGTATCAAAGATTTGGGGATGAATTTCACAATCTTCTCTAGATAAAGAAACACAAACAGTAGGGTTTTTTTGTTTGTTTAATTTAGGTCACTTGTGAAAACCTGGCTGGGGGCAATTCCCCTAACTGCTTTCAGGAACACACGTGAACACAGTGGCACTCATGCAGGCTTCAGGGACAAGGCGCAATCGCTCAGTGGCTAAACCCCTTACCTGGCACACACCAGGATGCCATATGGACATCGGTTCATGTCCTGACTGCACTTCCCTTCTAGCTCACTGCCTGTGGCCTGGGAAAGCAGTGGAAGATGGCCCAAAGCCTTGGAATCCTGCAACCAAATGGGAGACCCAGAAGAAGCTCCAGGCTCCTGGCTTTAGATCAGCTCTGCTGCATACATTGAGTCTGCTTAGGGAGTGAATCATCAGTCAGATGATCTTCCTCTCTGTTTCTCTTCCTCTCTGTATATCTGAATTTCCGATAACAATAAATAAATCTTTAAAAAAATAAAATTAAATTGGGCCCAGCAGCGTGGCCTAGCAGCTAAAGTCCTCTCCTTGAACACACCGGGATCCCATATGGACGCCGGTTCTAATCCCAGCAGCTCCACTTCCCTTCCAGCTCCCTGCTTGTGGCCTGGGAAAGCAGTCAGGGAGGGCCCAAAGCTTTGGGACCCTGCACCCGTGTGGGATACCCGGAAGAAGTTCCTGGCTCCTGGCTTTGGATCGGCGTAGCACTGGCCGTTGCGCTCACTTGGGGAGTCAATCATCGGACAGAAGATCTTCCTCTCTGTCTCTCCTCCTCTCTGTATATCTGACTTTCCAATAAATAAAATAAATCTTTAAAAAAAAATTAAATTAAAAATTAAAAAACTTTGTCTCTCCATCTCTCTGTAAATTTGACTTTCTTAAAAAAATAATAAATCTTTAAAAAAATAAAAAAAGAAAAATCATCAAAAGACGATGGCACTGCGGCACTGAAGGCTAAGCTTGTATGCTGACATCTCAGACGGGAGTGCCAGGTCAAGTCCGATTCAGCTCGTTGCTATTGCACCTGGGAAAGCAGCAGACCTTGCCACCCACATGGGAGATCAGAATGAAGTTCCTGACTTTCACCTTTGCCTTACCCCAGCCCCACCTCTTGCTCATTTGGAAGTAAACCAGTAGACTGGAAGGTCTCTGTCGCTTTGCCTTTTTGAAAAATATTTTTAATAAACTGAAAAAGTAGGATCCATTGAGGTGGCTCAATTGGCTAATCCTCCCATTGCAAATGCTAGGATACCAAATGGGTGCTGGTTTGGGTCCCAGCTGCTCCACTCCCCATCCAGCTCCCTGCTTGTGGCCTAGGAAAGAAGTAGGATGGGGCCTGGCACCATGGCCTAGCAGGTAAAGTCTTTGCCTTGAATGCGCTAGGATCCCATATGGGCGCCGGTTCTGGTCCTAGAGGCCCTGCTTCCCATCCAGCTCCCTGCTTGTGGCCTGGGAAGACAGTTGGGGACAGTCCAAAGCCTTGGGACCCTGCACCCATGTGAAAGACCTGGAGAAAGTTCCTGGCTCCTGGCTTTGGATTGGTGCAGCACCAGCTGTAGCAGTCACTTGGGGAGTGAATCATCAGATGGAGGATCTTCCTCTCTGTATCTCCTCCTCTCTGTATATCTGACTTTGCAACAAAAATAAACAAATTTAAAAAAAAAAAGCAGTAGGATGGACCAAAGCCTTGGGAGCCTGCATCCATGCAGGAGTCATGGAAGAAGCTTCTGGCTCCTGGCTTCAAATCGGCTTAGCTCCAGCCTTTGCGGCCACCTGGGGAGTGAAATCAGTAGACGGAAGATCTTTCTCTCCTTTCTGTATATCTGCCTTTCCAAAAATTAAAAATTAAAAATAAATAAATCTTCAAAGAATCCTTACAAGTCAGGAATAAAAAGTCAACTCAACTTAGGTAAAGGATCTGAACTACTAGAAAACTCTGAATTATATACTTTTTCTATTTTAAGTTTCTTCTTTTTTTTTTAAGTGGATGTTTGGCACAGCAGTTCAGCTGCCACATGGGACACCCACATCTTGTGTGTGTGTGTGTGTTTAAGATTTATTTATTTTTGGTGGGTCTCAGGACGGGGCGTCTCATGCCTGGATCCCGGACGGCCACCATGGGCACATGGTGAGCCGTTCCCGGGCCTGCTGGGTTCCGGGGGCTGCTTCCTTCGGGGTGAGTAGACCGAGGGGGAAGGCCTCTGGGACTGGGCAGGTCCGGGACCCACCCACCGCCCTCATTGGTGCGCCATTGGTGCCAGGCTCCGCCTGCTGGCCGCCCGGCTGGTGAGCTCTGGGGATTTGGTTCTTTGAGTCGCTGCTTAATTAGCTCCAGGTTGAACCCGTTGTGATTCTCGGACCTGAAACAGGCAGTAACTCTTCCTTTGTAAAACTTGTAATCACTAATAATGCTGAGCACCAAATACCTGTCCATGCAGAAGCCTGGGCTTGGGGCTTGTCCTGCAAAAGTAGCTCCAACAGCTGGCTAATGTGTCAACTGGTAGGGAACAGAGTAGATCTGGTACGACTGAGCAAACCTTAGCCCACAAGTAAAACTAGAAACCAGGAGGGAGCAAAGGTCATTCCAAGCTAGGCTCTTGTACCTACTGGTCTGCGGGAGCCATGGTCGTGAAGCCACAGTGTCTAAGGCAGAGGTCGGGACAGGTAAGGAGCTGTGCCAAGCTGAGTCAGAGCAACCACTGGCATGCGAGTGATCTAAAGCTGGGAACAGACCCGGTTGGGGAGCAAAGGGGACAACCCTAGCTGGGCTGAGGTTCCCACCAAGAGATGCGTGGCCTGGAAGGGGGCTGCGTTCTGATCTGGATACAGTTGTAGTCTCCCTTGGCACAAGTGTGGACTGGGATTGGATGCACCGAACCGGGCCGGACCCCGACTCCCCCTGGTGTTCTGGAGGACCAGGGCAGATGTGCGATGGACTAGGCAAGGTCTCAAACCCCTACTGAGCCATGTGTGAGCCATACGTGGGTATGGACAAACCATGGCTGGGCTGGAACATCCAACAGCAAGAACCAGATTGGGTGGAAGGCCAGTCAGGAAAAGCCACAGTTCCTGCTATGACAGGAGGTGGACTGAGCAGGGTTGGCTCATGGACCCACTGGTAAGCGTGAAACCTGGCATTGGGAGAGGTTCTGATGGAGGAGCCTGGGCAACTCCTCTGGCAGGACACAGACCCGGCAGGTCAGCGCAAGAAACATGATAGGAAACAGCCCAGAAAAGGCCATGGAAAGCTACCCACTGGTATACAATTGGCAGACGTGGGGGCAAGACCAGGCTGAATCTGTCCACGTCATCCACTGGCAAATCCAGGTACCAGTGTGGGTCGAACCAGGTTTGGTCGCAACAAAGACTAGTGCACAATATGGAATGCCGAGGTGAGGTTGCCTGTACCGGAAGGGACCGCAGTGTCCAACCAGCCTGAGAACAAGAAAGGAAGTGGGCAGAGCCAGCAGGGGAATAAGGGAGGGTTCCTTTGCAGGACAGCTACTTCCGCAGGAGAGCATGGGCTGGGATGGGGGCAGACCAGACTAGGCAGAGCTACCACACCTGTGCGCCTCATGTGGACTAGATCAGGGAAAAGCCAGGCTCGGCGGATTATTCCTACTGGTGCAAACAAAATTAAAGTGGGCGAGGTTTGATTGGGCAGCATCAACTGGAATCTGGGAGTGGGAGATGCCTGGGAGGGAAATAGTGGGCTCATCCCTCTTGGGTTACCACTTCCACAGGAGGACATAAAACTAAGACAGCGGCTGGGGTGGAATGGGGTGTGGGACAGACTGGACTACTGCTACACTTACTGGCAAACCAGGGTAGGGGGCGGGCCTGGTGGGGGGTTATTGTGGGTCGCTCCAACTAGGCTGCAGCTCCCACTGGTTTATGTGAGGGCCAAGTATGTGCTGGGCAGAACCAGGCTGGACTGCAACACCCATTGGTTCCAGTGGAAGTCGGGAGTGAAAACAGAACCAACCCAGCAATTACAACCACCAGCTGATTGGAGCGATGGATGGTGCCAGGCCCTGTACTTGTTAGCACATACAAGAAGTTTCTTTGGAGATCTTCCTAATCTAAATGCTGGACTCAGAACCCTAACGAAGAAAAGAGAGAAGACAGAACGGGTCAACCAACCATCTCAGCTATGATGGACTATGTCAATCAGTGGATTTTTCAAAGACCTCATAGTGCTTGGAGTGGCAAGATTGACAGCGATTCATAACTGGCAATATCAAAACCACTTGAGCAAGAACCTCAGAGCATGCCCTACATCCGGGACCTGGGGAGGGTGGGAAATTGGGTGGGCCTTCTCCCTTAATACCCCCCTTTAAACATGAAGGTAACAATATGGAAAACATACTAGTATTATCCACTTTCCTGTAGCCCTTGAACCTTCTTACTCTAACTAACTATGTAAAGAATGTCAAAATAAATTTTATTAATAAAAAAAAAATTTAAATCAAAAAAAAAAAAAAAAAGAAAAAAAAGAAAATGATACAAATGCTTGGGCCCCTACACCCAAAAGTGGGAGATCCAGAAGAAGCTCCTGGATCCCAGCTTCAAACCATCGAACCCAGCCATTGAAGCCTTATGGGGAGTGACCTAATGGATGGAAGATCTTTGTCTCTACTTCTCTCAGTAACTTTTTTTCCAAATAAAAATAAATAAATTATTTATTTAAAAAAAAATATTTATTTATTTTTATTACAAAGTCAGATATACAGAGAGGAGGAGAGACAGAGAGGAAGATCTTCCGTCCACTGATTCACTCCCCAAGTGAGCGCAACGGCCAGTGCTACGCCGATCCGAAGCCAGGATCCAGGAACCTCCTCTGGGTCTCCCACATGGGTGCAGGGTCCCAAAGCTTTGGGCCCTCCCTGACTGCTTTCCCAGGCCACAAGCAGGGAGCTGGATGGAAGGTGGAGCTGCCGGGATTAGAACCGGCACCCATATGAGATCCCAGTGTGTTCAAGGAGAGGACTTTAGCCACTAGACCACAGCACTGGGCCCTTAAGTTTCTTCACTTGAAAAGTTTAACTGCTGCTTCACATTCCAAATGGCCAGAACTACCAAGGGGGTCAGGCTAAAGCCAGGAGCTTGGAAATCCATCTGCGCCTCCTAGCTCAGTTGCAGGGGTCCCAGTACTTGGGCCATGATCAACTGCTTTCCCAGGAGCATTGGCAGGGAGCTGGATCAGAACCAGAACAGCTAAGACTTGAACTGGCATCCTGACATAACAATGCCAGCCTCCTGAATCGTATACTTGAAATAGGTGATACTACAGTTAACAAATTCACAAAACCATTCTAAACACAAACAACACTTTCCTTACCTTATGTTTAAATGGCAAACATCTCTGAAGTTTTACTCTTAGGCATAGCCCTGAGGAAGAAAAAGAAAAACCTCTCCAGTTAATTCTGCATTGTATCTTATCAGTTTCTAGAAAAGCATAGTGTAGTGTAGGTGCCCCATTCAACAGGGCAGCTGAAAACAGCTTGGCAACAGCCCACTGTAGGTTTCCTTTGAGCCTGATCCTGTGACAGGGAGTCTTACGCACTCCCCATGATACTCCAGCGAGCTAGGCATTACTAATCATGTTTTTCAAACTATAAATGCAAGGTCAAATGTAGCCTGGCTAAGATTACTAAGCCGGTGAACTGGCACAGATGGGACTGGAATTTAGCATGGCTGTAAAGCAAAGGCTGTACCTCATCTCTACATCAGCTGGCCTTCAAGTGAGGGTCAGATAAGTCACTCAGCTATCACGATTTTCTGCTATAGGCCAGAACATACAGACATGCAAAACCCAGTTACACTCACATTTATTTATTTTTGTTGGAAAGTCAGATATACAGAGACGAGGAAAGCTAGAGAGGAAGATCTAACGTCCGCTGATTCACTTCCCAAGTGACTGCAATAGCCAGAGTTGAGCCGATCCGAAGCCAGGAGCCTGGAGCCTCTTCTAGGTCTCCCAAATGGGTGCAGAGTCCCAAGGCTTTGAGCCGTCCTCAACTGTTTTCCCAGGCCACAAGCAGGGAGCCAGATGGGAAGCAGTGCTGCCAGGATTAGAACTGGTGCCCATATGGATCCCGATGAGTTTAAGATAAGGACCTCAGCTGCTAGGCCACCATGCCAGGCTCAAAAGACTAATTTTTAAAAGGCTGTGTGGTAAGAGCCAAACATTCAGTCTACAATTAAAACTCTAGCTAGGAAGCCTGAGCCATATATTTAGAGTCTGGGTTCAAGTACTAGCTCAACTTCTTTATTATTTTTTTTTCTTTTAAAAATTGATTTATTTTGGGCCTGGTGCAATAGCCTAGTGAGGAAAATCCTCACCTTGCAACTGCTGGTGTCCTGTATGGGCACCAGTTCCTGTCCTAGCTGTTCTACTGCCTTTCCAGCTCCCTGCTTGTGGCCTAAGAAAGCAGCTCAGGACAGCCCAAAGCCTTGGGACCCTGCACCCGTGTGGGAGACCTCGAAGAAGTTCCTGGCTCCTGGCTTTAGATCAGCTCAGCTCTGGCTATTGTGGCCACCTGAGAAGTGAACCAGTAGATGGAAGAGATCTTTGTCTCTGTCTCTCTTCTCTATAAATCTGCCTTTGCAATAAAAATAACTAACAAATCTTTAGATTTACAGAGAGAACAAGAGACAGAAAGATCTTCTGTCCAAGTACCTGCAGCCAGAGGTGAGCCAATCTGAAGCCAGGAACCAGGAGCATCTTCTGGGTCTCCAATGCAGGCACAGGGTCCCAAAGCTTGTCAGCCTCCACTGGCCTCCCAAGCCACAAGCAGGGAGCTGGAAGGGGAGTATCCGGAACATGAACTGCTGCTCATATGGGATCCTGGCACTTGCAAGGAGGTTTAGCCAATTGAGTCTTCACTCTGGGCCCTGGCTCCACTTCTGATGGTAACTTCCTGCTGGGAGTCCAGGGGAGATAGTAAGTGCTGGCGCAAGCAGTAAAGGCCTTGTCGTCCACCTAAGGGACCCAGGTTGAGTTTCTGACTCCTGATTTTCAGTTTGGACCAGCTCTACCTGCTGCAGGCACTTTGGGAGGAAAGCAGATGAAAGCTATTTCTGCTGCTCAGATAAATATGAATAATATCCATCATATCAAAATTATCTCTTCTCCCTTCCAAGTACTAACCAGGCCCAACCCTGCTTAGCTTCCAAGATCAGACGAGATCGGGTGCGTTCAGGGTGGTATGGCCGTAGACTCAAAATTATCTCTTCTAAAAAAAAAAAAAAAGAAAAGAAAAAGGTACAAGGCCATATGCGGCACCTTCGGCCTGGCAGTTAGGATAACCAGCGGAGACACCACGCTACAGTTCAGAATCTCTGGGTTCAATCCTGGTTCCAGCTTCTGATTCCAGCTAACAGCTAATGTGACTCCTTGGAAGCACCAGGACCGCTCGAATAGCTGGCTCTCTCCCATCTATGTGGGAGACCTGGATGGAGTTCCTGACTCCTGGCTTCAGCCCTGGTCCAGCCCTAGCTATGTGGACACTAACGGCGTAATCCAACAAGTAGTAGCCACCTCACTTCTGTCCACGTCTCTGCTTCTCTAATGTATAATGTACCATGAAACTTCCCAATGTGGATTCTTTTATGCCTGCAAGACACTAATTACTTCCCCAAGCTCAGCTTCTGTTCAGTTTATCGCCTCAGCTAAGTCACAGCTCAATAATTGCTGTTTGCAGTTGAGACTTGTCACAGAATTTAAAACTGGACTTGGAACAGATCCTTGGTGCCAATGTTCCACTTACTCCGCATCTTGAATTAGAGGAAAAAGCTTTCAAATCAAATCCATATTCTGGACAACAGAAGATAAATGAAACCACTCTCACTATGAAGAGTGTTTCAGTCAAAATTTCCGAAAAAAATAAATAAATAAATAAAGACACAATATGAATCTCTGACTTTTCAGGCTTCTATTTGGAGCAATTTAATTCCTCTCCCAACTAATGCATAATGGCTTGTTATGCTGAAGACAATTTCTAAATGTTTTTATTTTATTAAAAATTAAATATTAGGACCAGCGCAATGGCTCAACTAGCTAATCTTCCACCTGTAAACACCAGGATCCCAGCTGCTCCACTCCCCATCCACCTTTATGCTAATGTTCCTGCAAAGGCAGCAGAAGATGGCCCAGGTGCTTGAGTCCCACCACCCACTTACGGATGACAGTCTAAGCTCTTGACACCAGGTTTGCCCTGCCCCGAACTGCAGCCCTTTGGGAGAGACTGAAGATCTCCCATTGTCTCTCTGTCTCTCTATCTGTGCCTTTCAAACAACCCTTTTAAAAAAAAAAAAAGACATTAACAAAACCCCAAACCAACACAGCCAACTAGGTGTTAGACTACATTTTTTGCGGAGGGATAAAATCAATTTGTTTTTGATTTCCTGAGAACCATTAAGCTTTCAAACAAAATATTTTTAAAAATCACAGAATACAGAAAACAATTTGATGACCCAATGAGACTGCTTAGCTCAGAGTCTAAAAACACAGTAGTCCTGTAAAACTATTAGGGGACATTACAGAAAATTTATCATTTCCTTCAGAGGAATAAGAGCTGCCTTGAGTATATCCAGGAGGGTTCCTCTCTCTTTACTCCAAATCTGTCTCATGGGCGCAGCAAGATGGCTTAGTGGCTAAATCCTTGCCTTGCATGCTCCAGGATCCCATATGGGTGTTAGTTCTAACCCCACCTGTTTCACTTCTCATCCAGCTCTCTGCATATGGCCTAGGAAAGCAGTAGAGGATGGCTCAAGGCCTTGGGACCTTGTACCTGCATGGGAGACCTGGAAGAAGGTCCTGGCTCCTGGCTCCAGCTGTTGTGGCTGCTTATGGAATGAACCAGCAGACAGAAGATCTTCCTGTCTCTCTTTCTCCTCTTTGTAAATGTCTTTCCAATAAAAATTAATCTTGAAAAAAAATTTTAGAACAAAATCTGTCTCCTTAACTTATGATTTGCACACCATCTGAACATCTTTATGTGTTTGGTCACTATTGCCAGGCATTTTACCAGTAAATAACTGCTTACTATTCACAAAACACTTTCTTTAGAATTATCCTCAAGAGACATGGTATAGCATAACTGAGACATTTTGGGTTCCTAGCTGTGTGACCCTGGGCAAGCTACCACCTCAACCTCTCTGACCTTCAGTTTCTGTATTTGTACAAAGAGTATAGTAACAGTACTACCACAAATGGGAGCAGAGAAGGCCTACGGAGAATTAATACATTGTAGTACATTGTACTTAAAACACTGCATAACACATAATAAGTGCCCAATGGGTGCTAGCAATCACTATTTTAAAATTTTCATTTCACAGCCAGCATAACAATCTAAGTGGTTTATCCAACATCATACAGCGGCACAGGTGGACACCTCCCAGTCCAAATCCTACACCCTATCCATTGGAACACAGCCATTCATGGGGGGCCTAAGTCAGAACAAATGGTTAGTAATCAGTTCCCTGGCAACTCCGAGTTACATGCCTTCATAGTCTTGTCTTTTGGCATTCCTTCCCAGGACAAGGCTGAGAAGACGGCTGGCTAGGCAGCCAGGGTGGGGTTTTACTCAGGAGCCTTTCCTTTCCCTGGGAGGACTGCCCGCTCCTCAGACGCACCGCTCAGCAAATGGGCCCCAAAGTGGGCTGTTCTCAGCATCTCCCCACTGGATGGATCAAACACAAAGGCTGTGACAGACTATTACACTCCCCTCCGAAAGGCCAACGGTCTTAATCCCTTATCAATGGACCAAAGCGATGAGACTTCACGAAATGAACAGTTCTGAAATATCAACCTGAACCTACTCTCAGCCCTGCTTAGTCTCTGTCCCCATGAATCCAGTCTGTCTATAACTGCAATCAGGATGATTGTATGTAATTGCAAGAGGAAACTTCAAAACGATCAGGGAAAAAATTAATTCAATGTGAAGTTTATTTTAGTGCAAAAAATTTTGAAGTCTATCCATAAGGCTTTGGTTAATTTTTATTTATTATTCATTTTCATTTGATTTGAAAGGCAGAGAGAAAGATAATAGCCAGGGCAGGTCTAGGCAAAAGCCAGGAGCCAAGAACTCAACCCGGGTCTCCCCAGTGAGCACAGGGACCCAAGCACTTGAGTCATCACCTGCTTCCTCCCAAGGGGCTCCTTAGTAAGAAGCTGGAATTGGAGGAGGAGCCTGGATTTCATGCCCAGCACTCCAACAAGCATAGTCTCAAACACTTGTCCCCAAGTTCTAAAGATAATATGCATTTCCCACTAACTTTTGCAATACCCACCAAAATAATCTGGAATTAAACCATTCACTAAATGGAGGTTAATATTAAACTAGAAATAAAAGCGTTCTTCACATTTCAAGTCTTTGATGACTTTACTCTTACAGCTCTGGCAATAACCTTCATTGTCCCCATTTTACAGCTAAGGAAGCTGAGGCATGGAAAGGCTAAGTAAGTCTGCCACATTCTTGTGTGGAATTACTTCCTTAATCCCTGAATCAAAGAATACAGACTTTTCAACACGGATTTGTCATATATACCAAGATACATGCTACTCTTCATCACAGTATCAGGTAGAGCTGCCAGAGCTGCAATTTTAGCCCAAATACATGCTCTTTCATGACAGAGGAGTTTTATGTCCCCCAATACGCTTTGTAGAGTTTTACATTTACCCAGTAAACTTGCTACTTTTATAACTTAGGTAAGTGAGATTTTAAAAAATAAATAAATTTACTGGAGCAAGTATTGTAGTACAGCAAGTTAAACTCCTGCTTACAACAACGTGGGCTTCCCACATCAGAATGCAAATTTGCGTGTTGCTCTACTTTTGATCTAGCTCCCTGATGAAGGACCTGGGAAGATGTGGAAGAAGGCCCAAGTACATGGGATCCTATCACCCATGTAGCAGACTACAGTGGAGTTCCTGACCCACGGCTTCGGCCCTCTCCAAATGTGGTTGTTGGAGCTATTTGGGGAGTGAACCAGCAAATCGTAGAGCTTTCTCTCTCTCTACTGTCTCCCTCTCTGCCACTCTACCTCTCAAATAAATGAATAAATCTTTTCAAAATTTTTCTCTAGTTTCTTGGACCCTTTAAGGACTCATATGTCAAACTAGGTTTTTTTGTTAGATTTATTTTTATTGGAAAGACAGATCAGATTAACAGAGAGAAGGAGAGACGAAGAGAAAGATCTTCCATCCACTGCTTCACTCCCCAAAATAACTGCAGTGCCTGGAGCTACACTAATCTAAAGTCAGGAACCAGGAGGTTCTTGAGGGTCTCCCACATGGCTGCAGGGTCCCAAGCTTTGGGCTATCCTCTACTGCTCTCCCAGGCCATAAGAAAGGGACTAGATGGGAAGTAGAGCAGCCAGGATGTGAACCAGGGCTCATATGGGATCCTGGCGCTTGCAAGGTGAGGATTTAGTCACTGAGTCATTGCACCAGGACCACAACATGTCAAAGCATTTTTTAAGACATACTTTCTAGGCCTGGAACAGTAGCCTAGTGCCTAAAGTGCTTGCCTTGCGTGTGCCAGGATTCCATATGAGTACCAGTTCTAATCCCGGCAGCACCACTTCCTGCACCTGCGTGGGAGACCTGGAAAAAGTTCCTGGCTCCGGGCTTCGGATCAGCGCAGCACCGGCCGTAGCGCTCACTTGGGGAGTGAATCATTGCACGAAGTTCTTCCTCTCTGTCTCTCCTTTTCTCTGTAAATCTGACTTTGCAACAAAAATAAATACATCTTTAAAAAAATAAAAAAGAGTCAGGGGCTTGAGCCATTTTCTGGCCAATGTGATCAAGGATAGACACCTAAAATCTCTGAACTTCAGATTCCACATTTGGAAAATGAAGACTCTGTCCATACATACAGAATCGTGTGTGTGTGTGTGTGTGTGTGTGTGTGTGTGTGTGTGTGTGTGTGTGTGTGTGTGTGTGTGTGTACAGAGAGACCCTTACCAATAAGAGTTGCCAAAGAGCAATGAGGTACTGTCGGTGTGAACCTGATGACAACCAGGTAGTCGTCTTCATTGATCTCCTGAACCTCCACGCAGCTTTCCGTCACCACTTCCAGTTCTTCCAAAGTATTGGGCTTTTCTGGGTCCCGGATAGTTCGAATCAAATCTAAAGAATCATGGAAAACAAAGTACTCTATGAAGGCATGCGTACTTCCCAATAAGAAACATGTAGTACTGATCATATAAGCACTGATTTTTGTTTGTTTGTTTAACGAAAATACTACAGCCAACTCCCAGATATCTGATAGAAACGCCCATGACTGGCTTCTTTCTGAAAAAATGATTTTCTCGTCATGCCAGAACATTCCCAGTTTCTTGGGCTCCATGCTGCAGAGAAAACATAAAGGGAATGTGGAAAGTGTCAAGGAAGCCCAGGGGGAAGAGACATTTGGTGTTGAAGCATGCGATATCAAGCGTGCGAAACCTGCAGCAAACTTTCCAAAAAGGGACACATTTCAGGGCAGGTGTTCTATGCAGCAGCTGCCACTTCTGTCCTATACACCTTTGCAGCACGCCGGGCTTCAAACCCTAGCTGCACTTCTACTACAGCTTCCTGCTACTGCATACCATGGGAGGCAGCAGGTCCGGGCTCAAGTAACTGGATCCAACCAACCATGCGAAAGACCTGCCTCTGGTTCCTGCCTCCTGGCTCTGGCCTGAACCAGCACTGAGCTATTGTAGCCATGTGGAGTGAATCAGTGGATACAAGAGCTGTTTCTGTTTTTGTTTCTATTTTTCAAATAAAAACAAATTTTTTTAAAAATTAAAATAGGTAATGTTTCAATATGAGGGCTCTTCAATAAGTTCATGGAAAATGGAATTAAAATTCTGGTTGAACAAAAATTCTGAATAGTATACATGAATATATGAAACGCAAAGTGAATCACAAGAAATTTAAGATCCCTGGAACCTGACATAAGTGAGGAAGAATAGAACAAAAGATGTGGGTGGGACTATCAAAGGCCTTTCAGGGGCCAAAATAGTGGCCTAACAAGCTAACCTTTCTCCCTGTAGTGTTGGTATCCCATTCGGCTGCCAGTTCGAGTCCTAGCTGCTTCACTTCCCATCCAGCTCCCTGCTTATGATCTGGAAAACCAACAGAGAATGTCCCAAAGCCATTCATGCACATGGGAGACCTGGAAGAAGCTCCTGGCTCCTGGATTCTCACCAACTCAACTCAGCTCTAGCTATTGTGACCATTTGGGGCGTGAACCAACAATGGGAAACCTCTCTCTATCACTCCTTTTCTCTCTGTAAAATCTGTCTTTCAAATAATAAATAAATAGGGCCTGGCGGCGTGGACAAGCAGCTGAAGTCCTCGCCTTGAACGCACCGGGATCCCATTTGGGCGTCAGTTCTAATCGCAGCAGACTGACTTGCCATCCAGCTCCCTGCCTGTGGCCTGGGAAAGCAGTCAAGCATGGCCCAAAGCCTTGAGACCCTGCACCTGTGTGGGAGACCTGGAGGAAGTTTCTGGCTCCGGGCTTCTGTTTAGCACATTATCAGCCATAGCACTCACTTGGGGAGTAAATCATTGGACGGAAGTTCTTCCTCTTTGTCTCTCCTCCTCTCTTTATATCTGACTTTGCAATAAAAATAAATAAGTCTTTAAAAAATATTAAATAAATATGGGATCTGGCGCTGTGGCCTAATGGCTAAAGTCCTCACCTTGAAAGCACCGGGATCCCATATGGGTGCCGGTTCTATTCCCGGCAGCCCGCTTCCCATCCAGCTCCCTGCTTGTGGCCTGGGAAAGCAGTCGAGGACAGCCCCAAAGCCTTGGGACTCTGCACCCATGTGGGAGACCCAGAACTCCAGGCTCCAGGCTTCGGATCGGCGCAGCACCTAACGGTGCAATCACTTGGGGAGTGAAACATTTGATGGAAGATCTTCCTCTCTGTATATCTGACTTTCCAATAAAAATAAATAAATATTTAAAAAGGAAGGAAGGAAGAAGGAATGAACAGAGCTGAAAAATCTGGGGCTAAAACAGGCAGCACATGACAACATTAAGAGCAACAGGAGGAAGTTCATTTCAGAGGCAGAATCAACAGAACGTGACAATCATTTGGATGTAGAAGACAAGAAGGAAGATGAGTCATATTTTACATCTAAGAAACAAGGAAGATTTACAGGCGAATACTGGGCAAAGGAATAGGACGTTGGCTGAACACTGGAATGACCAGGAACCTTATATAACTGAGCAACTTGATGTCTGAGCCGCATCCCCAGAGTTTCTGATTTAATTGGCTTGGAGTACGGCCTGAGCATTCAAGAGTTACAAAAATTCCTCAGGTTGGAATGGGTGCTGTGGCGCAGGAAGTTACGCTGCAGCTCGAGATACCCACATCCCATATCAGAGTGTGGGTTCAAGTGCCCACCTCTCCACTCCGACCCAGCTTCCTGCTGGCACACCCTGGGAGACAACAGATGACGGCTCAAGTGTCTGGGACACTGCCACCCAAGTGGGAGATCAGGATGGAGTTCCTGGTTTCCGGCTTCAGCCCCTGCCTAACTGCTGCCATATTTTATTAATGGAACAGTGGATGGACGCTCACTTGCTGTCACATTCCCTTGTTCTATTTTTCAAGTACATGAAAAGAAACATTTTTTTTTTTAAGAAAGTTCTTCAGATGATTTTTATGCATTGTCCTGTTTGAGAAATTACTGGTGTGAAAAGGAAGAGACCCTAGGAGAGAGCCTTATGTGAAGCACATAAAGTAAGGTTTAGAATGAGAAAGGGCAGCAAGAATCAGAGCAGGGAACAGGCAGTGAGAGCTGAAGCAAGGCATCCATTGGTCAACCAGGAGGCCACCAAGAAGTGAAGCGAGGGCCCCAGATAAGCTTGCAAAAAGTAAAGCAAGTGAGAACTGAAAATGTATTCCTACAGTTTTGGTTGGGAAGAGCAGAGAAAGACCAGTAGCTTAATAAGAAAGCTAGAACAAAGAGAAGGATTAGGGAAACTTGAGTACGCTTTATAGCACAAAAGGAAGAATGAAACAGACTGAAAACATACAGTGGGGAGGAGGGAGGCTAGGAAAATAAGCACATGACAGGATCACGAAGGTGGGGACCGGGGCTGGCCTTGAAGAGACAAGTTTTCCTTCTCACTGAGAGGCTGCAAAGAAGAGAACAGGCTCAGTGCAATAGCTCAGTGGCTACTCCTCCACCTTGTAGAGCCGGATTCTATTTGGCTCATATGGGGTTTGCGTCCTGGCTGGTCGACTTCCCTTTCAGCTCCTGTTTGCATCAGTGTAGGATGGTACAAAGCCTTGGGACCCTACACCCTCATGGGAGACCCAGAGGAGGCTTGAGGCTCCTGGCTCCTGACTTCAGATCAGCTCAGCTCTGGCCACTGCAACCATCTGTGGAGTGAACCAAGGGATGGAAGATCTTTCCTACTGTAAATCTGCCTAATAAAAATAAACTAATCTTTATGGGCCCGGCATGATAGCATAGTGGTTAAGTTTTGCTTTGCATGCGCCAGGATCCCATATGGATGCCAGTTCTAATCCTGGCGGCACTGCTTTCCATCCAGCTTCCTGCTTGTGGCCTGGGAAAGCAGTCGAGGACGGCCCAAAGCCTTGGGACCCTGCACCCTCATGGGAGACCCAGAAGAACTCCTGTCTCCTGGCTTCAGATTGGCTCAGCTCCAGTCATTGCGCTCATTTGGGGAGTGAACCATCGGACAGAAGATCTTTCTGTCTCCCCTCTGTATATCCGCCTTTCCAATAAAAATAAATAAAACTTAAAAAAAAAAAAGCTAATCTTGAAAAAAAAGTTGAAGAGAACAATAAAGAGGAACAGAGAGGTAGAAAAAAAGCAGAACTGCACAGAGGATGTTCCCAGCTTGGTTCCGTTCTATTATTTATAAGCTCCCTTGCAATCACAAATGCAGTTCAGCAAAACAAAGGAATGTCTACCTTCTTCCCATTTATCTTCCCATTTATCTCCTAGGCTTATCACTTGATAAGAAACAGAATGGAATAAACACAGAACTTTCCTAGAGCTACGGGACTCAGGCAAAGGGGTTTCATGAACAAGAATGTTTTGCCTCTTCTCCTAGGCTTCCACCCAGTGCACTCATTTGTATGCAGTGTATCATGTTCTTAAAAGTGAATTCCATAGTTTCCTGTGATTCCAGAGCTTTAGACAGATTTCTTTAAAAAGCAAGCAAGGTTGCCCTCCACACTATTCCTTCTAAGATTTTCTCCAGCAACCAATTCCAACCCACTGACTGAAAACAAAATTCAACCTCATCTCTGCCTCCAGCCCTATCCTCCGGTCCCACCCACCTCCCACTTCTCAGCCCCACACTTTGGCTCTGGCTTCCTCAGCTTGGTGGGCAGACCCTCTAAACCCACACAATTCTCTCAGGCCCCTGGCTGTCGGCCCTCCTGTAAAGTTGTCCTAGAATCCTCCCTCATCCCCAGAAATCAGCATCTGTCCTTTGAACTTCTGTAGGCTTTTTAAAAAAAATATTGTTGTGATTTTTTTAAAGATGTACTTATTTTTACTGCAAAGTCAGGTATATAGAGAGGAGAGACAGAGAGGAACATTTTCCATGAGTTGATTCATTCCCCAAGCAGCCACAACGACCAGAGCTGAGCTGAGCCGATCGATTCAAATCCAGGAGCCCGGAGCCTCTTCCAGGGCTGTCCTTGAATGCCTTCCCAGGCCACAGGCAGAGAGCTGGATGGGAAGCAAGGCCGCCGGGATTAGAACTGGCACCCGTATGGGATCCCAGTGTGTGCAGGGGAGGACTTTAGCTGCTAGGACAACGCATTGGACCCGAACTTCTGCAGTCTTTCCTCAAGTCTCTGTGCTTCTGCATAGCTAGCTCTCCCTCAATGTTGGTTTAAAGGATTAGGATCACACTCTCCAAGGCCCTGCCATCGGTGGATGCCATGGAGGAGGCCTGGCAGGACACGAATGTCTCCATTACACTCCTCACTAGCTGGCCAGGATAAAGTAAGCAAGAAAAAGAATTCAAATTAGCCCCAAAGGTCTTTCCCATTCCTAGCTTCCTTCTAACCTGTAAAACCTCACCGAAACGTTATCCATATTCTTACAGGTGGATCTTTCAATGCTTACATCCATTTTTGTTAGTTTTTTTTAAAATATACAATTCCAGGGGAAAAGCCACATGGCACTTGTAAAATGGTGGAAAATTCCTCAAGTTCAGAATTGGAAGAGCTAGACTTAGTCTTTGCCCCTTTCTTACTGAAAGTGTGACTAGACTTTCCTCACATGTACACCTAAGATGGTCCCACAGTGAACATTTACTGTAGAGAAAAAAAAACAACGTATATGTGTATACACAGAAGACTTTAAATTTCATGGAGGGTTGAGCTGCGGCAGCACATGCATCCCATAAGGTCACTGGCTGAGTCCAGACTGCTCTGCTTCCAATCCATCTCCCTGTTAATGCACCTGAGAAAAGTGCACAAGTTAGCCCAAAAAGAGAAGTTGGGCTCCCGCACCCACATGGGAGACCGGGAAGAAGCTTCTGGCTCCTGGCTTCAAACAGCTCTGACCCTAGCAAAGTAAACCAGTGGATAAAAGATCTCCTCCCTCTGTCTCTAGCTCTGCCTTTCAAATAAATAAATATTTAAATAAAACAAAAACAGTTCGTGGCAAAGGGAATTAAAACACGGCTCCTTTTCCATGAATTTTCTGAGTTTCCCCTCATACGTGGGTTTTGCATTTCCCTATGACTGGGCAAAACAACTTTAAAACGGAGACCTCACCATGTCCTCCCCTCAGAGACCTCTGCCTACTGACTTTGCCGCAGAAGAAAGCGGCTGTGACCTTGGCCCGGTACCCAAGTCGGCCATAGCCCGGCAGTGCCCTCTGCAGAAGCGGGAAGACCACACGACCAGCAGCCAGCAAAGGCAGGAGCAGCAAGCAGTACAATCCCAGGCCAGATCTGCTTGCGAGCCAAGCACCGTGGAATGCTGCTCTGCCCACGAGTCTTGGGAAGGCTGCAAGGGCGTGGGACAGGCAACCCTCAGGTTCCGTGTGCCGTGGGTTTACGAAGAGCCGAGGTCCTAGAAGAATCCACACTCCCGCGTGACTCAGTGACCCCCCCCCAAAAAAAAAAAAACGCTGCCTTAGCCACCACCGACAGCCAAAGAAAATCCGGGTCTCACTCCCAAAACCCTCAGGTGAGGCCCTGTCCTCCCGACCCCACCTCCACCCTCCGACCTTGCACTGAGAGCGCCATAAGCGGCACTAAGTAAAATTAATTACCATAAACCTCTAACGCTTTCTCTTCCATGATCCGGGGCTGCCGGGCAGCTCCGCTCTCAGAGAAGCCTGAGAGCCACAGGACTCTCTTCAGCGTCCAGGAAAACAGCCCAGACACCCGCTCCATCCTCACGTTCCGCCATCCCTGGCGGCTGTCCCACCCGAGCCACCGTCTCTCAGCAGCCGGTCTCAGGATTTAGCAACTTCCTGGTCTTCGAAAAGGCCAACACTAAAAAAAAGGAGCTGGGGAGAGGCGGGGCCCGGCCAGAGTAGCGCGAAAGACTTAGGGAAAGGCGCCGCGGGGACTACAAAACCCAGCATGCTTTGCTCGGTTTACCACTCGTCGCGGCGTGCGTGAGTGAGGGGATGCATGGGATGTTTTCTCCAGGAAGACAAGCGAACTGTATTCTGGGACTGGTAGTTTTCTCCGAGGAGAGGGGGCGTGTAACGGTCTCTCCACACACCGCTCAAGGTCTGACTCGGCCAGCAAAAAAAAAAAAAAGCTAAAGATGAATCCTGAAGAGGTAGAGTGACCGGGAGTTTGGTTTCCAGTACGGGTGGAAGTTTCTATCACGGAAACTATTTACAGACACTTGCTGAAGGTTTCTGTCAGCTGAAGAGGTGTGAGAAGGCCAGTAAAAAGTTCGACATGGTGGGATCTCTTGGTTTTCTCCTCTCCTAGGGACTCAGGCCAGTAGAACTCACTGGGGGCTGAATATTTTTGCTCATCGCCTCCTAGGACGATTTAGAATGAGCCAACTTTCCTTAATCCCAAAAGGTAACATGATAGAGTTGGCCATCCTCAAAAGAATATCCCAAACCCCTTGGTCTTAACGTGTTGTGATGGATGCCACTGTGTCACATCATCCATCTCTCCTCCGGGTAAATATCAAGTGTCAGTTGGGTATTTCATGGTATTCTGTAGACACCAACATGGGACACGGCCCCTGTCCTCAAGCAGCCCACATGCCTTCAAGGAGGCCAGCTCCAATATTGGGGAATCTGCAAGTGGACACAAAGTAAATCTTTTGCTAGTGAAGAAAGGCAAGATTATCTTACAAAAGTATTCTATCCCCTAAGCTTGTTTTTTTTTCTTAAGAGATTATTTGTATTGGAAACTCAGATATACAGAGAGGAGGAGAGACAGAAATGGATAGCTTCCATCCATTGATTCATTCCCCAAGCGGCTGCAATGCTGGAGCCAAGCTGATCTGAAGCCAGGAGACCAGAGCCTCTTCTGGGTCTCCCATGCAAGTGCAGGGTCCCAAGGTTTTGGGCCGTCCTCCACTGGTTTCCCAGGTCACAAGCAGGGAGCTGGATGGAAAGTGGAGCTGCCAGGATTAGAACCGGTGCCCATATGGGATCCCGGTACTTATGAGGCGAGGCCCTTAGCGGCTAGGCCATCGTCCCAGGCCCTCCCCTAAATTAAACAAACAAACAAACAAACAAAGAAAACTTCCATCTTGTTTATCTGGTTGATTTAGACTTTAAAACACACACATAGTAAATCTTTTTTAAATCGGCTTAAGAGAAAGAGGAGAGAGTGAAACAGAGATCTTCCATCTGCTGGTTCACGCCCCCAAATGACTGCAATAGCTGGGGTTAGGCCAGGTCCAAGCCAGAAGCCGGAGCTTCCTCTGGGTCTCTCTTGTGGGTGCTGGAACTCAAAGATTTAGAGCAATTTCCGCTGATTTCCCGAGGTGTATTAGCAGGAAGGCCAAGCAGCCAGGATTCCAACCAGTGCCCAGAGGGATGCTGGTGGCATCATAGGCCTAAGCTGTCTTCTGCTGAGCCCCAAAGCCAGCCCCTGAGGTCGACTTTAGACTGGCAATCGGTCACTAGTTTAAACCCTGGGAAAATTCTAACCCGAAAGTGGTTGTTTCCCTGCAGCCTGTCCCACGACTTGTACAGCAGGTAATCAACCTAACTTCTTTCCAACCTAGTTTAGTACAGCGGGGTCCAGCGGCCAGTCCTCAGACTTTGGGACTTCCCTAGGCACAACTGAAGAGATCTTGTTCACTGTGCTCCCGCAGCACCCTAGGGTGTTGAATTATTGATTTGAATGCCTGACTTGTAAGCACCTCAGTAGGCAGGCCAAGAGCCTTTCTATTTCTAGATCTCCAGTGCAAGATGCCAGGCACACAGTAGTAGCTGATCCGTATCTAGTTCTCAAATGAGTTAACTGCAGTGCAAAAAGAATAAACGGTGACACTTTCCTGCTGTCTGTTCAGAGATCTCAGTGCCCAAAATTCCTTGGATCTCTTGATAGGGGCAGCCTGCTTGGCCTGGGCAGGTGGCAAGTGGAGGTTTTTTGTTTTTTTGGTTTTTTTCAGTCACAAAGACTCCTTTATTCAAACGCAATCTTTAGAAGTCGGTTAGATAAAGCTATCACAGAGCACTGAGAGCCTCAGAAACTTAATTCCTGCTCTTCTGCCCACCCCCGGGTCCGCCTCGCCCGAGCACCCCTGGGTCCCGGGCTCGGATTCGCCGGGCAGCGGTCGAGGGGGGCCGGGCTCGCTCCGCCCCGGGGACCCGCCCGTCCCCCACGCCCCCCGCTCGGCCGGCCCCGCAGGGTCCGTGGTGGCCCTGGAGCTCCGCGGGCGGCCCCCGCCCCTGGAAACGCTTTGCTCGCGGCGCTATCTGCTCTATAAAGTTGTTGTTGCGGCTTCCGCCGCGGGTAGAGGAAGATGGCGTCGGGCGGTGGTGGCTGTAGCGCCTCTGAGAGACTCCCTCCACCCTTCCCCGGCCTGGAATCAGAGTCCGAAGGGGTCGCCGGAGGGTCAGAACCCGAAGCTGGGGACAGCGACACCGAGGGGGAAGACATTTTCACCGGTGCCGCTACGGCTGTGAGTTCGCATCCCTGTCAGGGGGTTGCTTCAGCCGGCGCGGGGAGCAGGGGAGCCCAGCCAGGGAAGAGTGAGGCGACAGCAATGGGGTGTAGGAGGCCGGGCGGGTGTGGGCCGCTGCTCTGTGTCCTCCTGCGGGCTCGGGGCTTGGAGGGGGTATGGGACGTGGGGTGGTCTTGGATGAGCGCCGAGTCATAGGGCCTGGCTGCCTGACTCCCGGACGAGGCGTGAGGGGGTGTGGTGGCCTCCCCAGCCGCGGGCCCCTAACAGTGCAGAGGCGCCGAGGCCGTCCTCTGGCTCTGTTGGTGGGTTAACACCCCCCACCCTCCACGGATCTGCGGGGCTGTTCTGCGGGCCCTGGCTGACTTGGTGGGTCCAGATGAGGGGGTGGTTTGCAGCCCTGTGTTTTGCTGGCGTGACTGGCCGGGCCCGGAGAGGAGGGGTCAGGGTTGGGGTTGGGGAGTAGTGTCCAGTCCATAGATCTTCTGGGTAAACCCCTAACTTGGAAGTAATCAATTACCAAGGGCCATTTCCGGGTCTTTAGTTAGCCAGAGTTGAGCGGACTCCCCCAATTGCTAGGAGAATTCTTACCAGCAGTGGGTGGCGGCGGGGCGGGGGGGGGGGGGTGCTGCCAGCTATCTCATTCCACAGAGCAGAAAGCTTTGTTCCACTTTGAAGGGATGCCTTCAGACACCTCTGCAAATGCGAGAGGGAGGTGGTGTTTCCCAAAGTGGAAATCCACGTTTCTAGCAGAAGTCAGGCACTGGGAAAAAGTTCATCTTTCTACATGGGCCGTGGAGCCATGGAGAGATTTTTTGACTGATTGAGAATACCTGGACTTACACCATTTAGTACATCCAGTTTATCCCAGCCTGTCAACCTGAGTGCTGGGTCTGTGAATTAATCAGTCTCAGGTCATGCTTCTCTGGTATGTAACTCGGTAATGTAACTAAGTAAAGTAGCTTTAAATGTTTTAGGCGGCATGTGTCTGAAAAAGTTCCGTTCATTTGTGTTGACAGAGGATTACTTTTTGTTTGTTTGTTTGTTTGAAATTTTCCACATCGGTCATTAGAATTTGCTCCGTACTGTATTCAGTCATTCAGTCATAATCCCCGCACATGCAGTGCTTGCTGGTGCTAATGTCACAACAGACTGTCAAATGACGTTGTCTGACAAACGACTCTCAGGGCTCACTTAGATTAGTCTTGTGGATCCCTTTGAAAATAAATCTTGAGTCTGTTGCTTTAGTGATTCTCTCATAAATCATGGCCCAACAGCTACTGTTGCTAACTGCTGGGATGACAGATATTCAGACCCAGTGTCTGAAATAGAAACTGTGGCACTGGAAGTGACTGGATACATGGGCAGACCTTGATTTGTCTTCCAAACAGGAACATGGAAGGGCACAGAGTTGTTTTATTCTAAGAGTTCTCTAAAGAAGTTCAGGAGTCTGGTGATTTTTTCCCACCAGGTTAGTTACTTTCTGGAGGTGTGAGGCCTCTCTGCAGTAAGATTGTGAAAATTCCTTGCCTAATTTCCAGTTAACACACGATCTTATTGTACCAAGAAAGCACAGTTACTTCTATTTATGTTTGATCCAGGAAAACTGAATTGCTAAGGAAACTAAAATATCACTTACCTGCTAGTTGACTTTTTTGTCCTTAAGATTTATTTATCTGAAAGGTAGATTTATAGAAAGAAGGAGAGAAAGATCTTCCATCCCCAAGTAGCTGCAACAACCAGAGCTGTGCTGATCCAAAGCCAGGAGCTTCCTCTGGGTCTCCCATATAGGTGCAGTGTCCCAAGGCTTTGAACCATCCTCTTCTGCTTTCCCGGGCCACAAGCAGGGAGCTGGATGGGAAGTGGGACATCCAGGACACAAACCAGTGCCCAAATGGGACTGTAGTGCGTGCAAGGTGAGGATTTAGCCACTGAACCATCACACAAGGCCCAGGTGTTTGCTAGTCTTTGAGCCGTCTACCCTAATAATCATCTTTAGAGGGTCAAGACCCTTTGAGATTACTATTTAAACTGTGCCCAATGTTAAATAGCCATTAGATGCCAACTGTATTGGTATCTGAACAAATGCTTTCATGGTAAGTCAGAGACAATAAGGGATTACAACACCTTTTTTTTTTTTTTTAACTTTAGGAGATTTATTCGAGTGGGGCAGGAACTGGACAGAGGTGGTGGGAGAGCAGGGCCCGGGGAAGGGGAGGAAGGTGGGGGGAGCCGGAAGGAGAAGAGAGAACACCTTGTAGTTTAAGGAATATCGTCAAAGAATATAGCAGTTATGAGTGTAGCAGTTAAAAGTCTAATTACAATCTAGGATCCGAGTGGCCATGCAGCCTGGTGGTTAAGATGCAGTATCATATCAGATTGCCTGACCTCTAGCTCCTGACTCCAGCTTCCTGTTAATGCAGAACCTTAAGAGGCAGCACTTATAACTCCACTCATCATCAAGTCACACATGTGAGAAACTAAGTTCTCTTGAGTTCCCAGGTCCCAGCTTAAAATTTGGAGAATGAATCAACATATTGGAGCCCTGATTCTCAAGATTAAATAAATGTAGGCTATACTTTCTAGCTTGACCTTGAACCAACTAGTTCCCTCCACTGTGAAATGTGCTAACAGAACCTTAGGTTCTGCATCTATACATTCAAACAACCACAAATATAAAATGGAGACAAAACTGTGATGGCACAGAATGTGTCAAGACTTTGTTCCTTATCAAACAATGTAGTGCAATCACTATTACTTGGTGTTTTGGTTGCAATAAGTTATCAGAAGGATTCCTGAGATACTTCATGTGGGCGGAAGGGTGTGGTCAGGTTACATACAGATTCTACCCCTCAGGGACTTGGACCTGTTGGACAGTTGGGACGCGGGGATCCAGAGCCACAGATGCTGAGGGACCTCCATCATTTTGGGGAGGACACAGTGAAACACCCAGAATAATTCCTTGCTGTTTTGTTGGCTTGAGCTGTACTTGCAGATGAGTGTATTGTAAACTGTAATTACTCTAAGCATCAAAAGCCTACGAAGCTCAATAATGGATTAAAGAGTTCATCACCCAAACAGGTGGATAATGGAATTTATCAAAACTTGTCATATGATAGATTTGGTTAGCTAAATGCCATCAAACTGGGCACCTAATGATGTTTTTGTTTTCATGTTGTGTTCTGTTGCATTTCAGAGACAAAGAGAGGGATAGTGAAGAATTGGGAAGCTGAAGTATGTAAAATCTACAACGAATGTGTAGTATGTGTGCGATTTCTTGGACTTTGATATATAACAGCTGCTGCTGTTATCCCATCTGCTCACTTCCTCAGCCCAATGGCTTTGCTAAAACAGTAATACAAATGTGATCTGATTGAACATAGAAAGAACAGCTTGTGACAGAAACGTCTCAGGAATTTATAGACCAGCTAACTGAATGGGAAAGATTAGAATCAAAAAGAATTTTTTAAAAGAAATCTGAAGTCACTTTTTTTTTAAAAGATTAATTTTATTTGAAAGGTAGAGAGAGAAGAAGAGAAATCTTCCGTCCTCTGGTTCATTCTGCAAATACCACAACTGCCAGGGTTGGATCAGGCTGGAGCCAGCAGCCAAGAACTTCTTCCAGGTCTTCCACATGGGTGCAGAGGCCCGGCCAAGTGGGCTAGCCTCTGCTAATTTCCCAGGTGCATTAGCAGGGAGCTTGATGGGAAGTGAAGCAACGAGGATTTTAACCAGCATACTCCACTGGGTCACAATAGCAGCCGTGGAGGAAATCAGCTGATAGAAGAGCTAATTTCCTGTTTGCTTCACTTGCAATCCAGCTCCCTGCCAGTGATCTGGAAAAGGCAACGGAAGATGTCCCCAAGTGCTTGGGTCCCTGCCACCCAAGTGGAAGACTCAGATGAGGCTCCTGGCTTCAGCTTGGCCTAGCCCTAGCCAGTGGTAGCCATTTGGGGAGCAACCAATGGATGATCTCTTTGTCTCCTCTCTCTCTTCTTGCTCTATAACTCTTGCAAAAAGATAAATGAACCTTAAAAAAAATTGAGGAAATGAAAGAGGATAAAGAGGAATAATAGAGAACTGGAAACGTTATATGTTGAATTACTTGTCTTTGACTACTCAAGCATCATTTAATTATGTTTACTGGTCTTTAATGAACAATATAACTTTTACTGGTATTTAAAAGGCTTGGATAGCAATTAGCTCTTAAGGACAGTTATTTTATAGTCTTCAGAGCTAATATAAATGTAAGGGATGGATTATTGGCAGGCATCATGGCACAGTAGGTTATACCTCTATTTGGGATGCTCTCATCTCATGTGGGAGCCCTGGTTTAAGTCCAGGGCTTCGCTGCCTTCCATCCAGCTTCCTGCTAATGTAGGCAGCAAATAATGGACCAAGTGTCTGAGTCTGCCACCTACCTGGAAGACCTGAGTGGAATTCTAAACTCTTCTGCCTGGCCCAGTCCTGGGTATTTGGTGACTGAATCAGCAGATGGAAGATACTGCTTTCTCTCTCTCCCTCTCTTTATGTCACTCTGCCTTACAAATGAATAAATAAAACTTGAAAATTAGCATGGTGGGCCCGGCACGATGGCGCAAGTGGTTAAGGTCCTCACCTTGCATGCCCGGGATCCCATATGGGCGCCGGTTCTAATCTCGGCAGCCCCACTTCCCGTCCAGCTTCCTGCTTGTGGCCTGGGAAAGCAGTCGAGGATGGCCCAATGCTTTGGGACCCTGCACCTGCGTGGGAGACCCAGAAGAGGCTCCTGGCTTCGGATCGGTGCATAGCATCGGCCATTGCGCTCACTTGGGGAGTGAATCATTGGACGAAAGATCTTCCTCTCTGTCTCTCCTCTCTGTATATCCGCCTTTCCAATAAAAATTTTAAAAAATAAATCTTTTTTTAAAAAAAAGAAAATTAGCATGGTAAATAAACATTCTTGGAAGTTATGTATTAGCTTTTAAATGTAAAGGACATGTGTTTTCAAAATCCAGCCATAAATCTCCTGAATCTAATCAATATAACATTCAAAGCAAAAAAAAAATCATTTCTTTTTTGTTTTTAATTATAATTTTAAAAACCACGTGTTTTATTATTTGTTGATAACATTTCTGTAACTGTTTAGGAGATGAAATACCAATCTGATTTAATCATCATTCTGAATGTTTTTATTTTTATTTAAAGATTTATTTATTTTTATTGCAAAATCAGATATACAGAGAGGAAGATCTTCCATCCGATGATTCACTCCCCAAGTGAGCCCAACGGCCGATGCTATGCCCATCCGAAGCCAGGAGCCTCTGCCGGGTCTCCCACACGGGTGCAGGGTCCCAAAGCTTTGGGCCGTCCTCAACTGCTTTCCCGGGCCACAGGCAGGGAGCTGGAAGGGAAGCGGGGCTGCCGAGATAGAACCGGCGCCCATATAGGATCCCGGGTGTGCAAGGCGAGGACCTTAACCACTGCGCCACCGCGCCGGGCCCGATAGTTGAATTCTTTTAGCAATTAACCTAGCTTTTAGAATTATGTAGGAAATGTTACTAAAAGTGTCTGTAAAGCACTTTTGCAAGAAGGGAAAAGACTTCTTTGAACATTTATTTCCTTACTGAAAAGGTTCAGTGACAGAGAGGGAGAGACAGAAAATCTCCATCTGCTGGTTTATTCCTGCAAATGACTGCAGTGGCCAGGACTCGGCTAGGTTGAAGCCCGGAACCCAATACTCTATCCTGGATTCCACAGGAGTGGGAAGACCCAAGCACTTGGGCCATCTTCTGCTGCTGCTACTTTCTTAGGTGCCATAGTATGAAGCTGGAGTGAAAGTGGAGCAGCCAGCACTTGAACCAGCACTCCACTATGGAATACTAGTGACATATAGGGGTAGTTTAACTTACTGTGCTGTAATGCCAATTCTGAGAGAAGACTTTTAAAGACAACCAATAAGAGTCCAACTTAATTTCACATTAGAGGTTAGGTCTATGAGAGGGAAGATAAGGCTTACAGGGTTTTTTTGTTGGTGGTGGTGGTGGAGGTGATGGTTGTTTTTTGTGTGGAGGCACTGCGTCTTGACTTCCGCAGATGTTCAGGCAGCTCAGGTGATGGCCATTTGTAGCTGGTTATGTCGGGAAGGAAGGGAGAAAAAAAAATTTTTCACTCTTGGTCCTTGGAGCTCCTCAGCACTCTTAAGTAACATTTGACATAAATAAATCATGGCTAGTTGGTAAATGCTAGAGCAAGTAGCCGTTAGTGTCTCATCTCCAGGAAAAGCCTGTTGCTCAACTTTTTCTGGCTTGTTCTTTTGCTTAGTCAAATGGACAGCTGGGGCTGCATTCTGCTTTCAGAGCAAATTTGAAGTGGGTTCACTTTTCCAACATAGAATATAACCTACTTGGTAATTCTCTGGCCTCTCCTGCAGTTGTCTGAGCCCTGGTTGGCAGCCCTGTTGGTTGGCAGCCCAAGCCAACAGAAGTAACATCAGAATTCAGTAAAATGTAGCTGGGTTTCCGGGTTTTGGTAGATCGTGGTATGCCCTCATAGACTGAGGTCTCCACGGTCCCTGCTCTTGCTTTTGCATAACTCATTTGGTGGTCAGGTGTGGGCACAGTGCCCCATTTTCTAATTAGTCCTTTTATTCTCTAACTCAGAACTTCTCCATTTGCATGGATCCAGGCTTAGCGTTTGTACAGAACCCAGTGCAAACTTGGTTCTGGGATTAGGACATGGATTCCATTGAGGAGAAGAAGAAAGCATTATCCTGTCTACCACAGGCAGCTGCTCCTCTCCCAAAACTGTTTCAAATGTGGCATGAATGTACCACAAACATCTGGGCTTCGAATAGACATTCAGTGCTCGTAGGATTTGGAGCTCAGTGTGATGGTTCAATACCCAAATCCTCACCTTGCAAGCACTGGGAGCCCATGTGGGTGCCAGTTCGTGTCCCAGCTGTTCCACTTCCCACCCAGCTCCCTGCTTGTGGCTTGGGAAGAGCAGTTCTGACAGCCCAAAGCCTTGGGTCCCTGTACCCACATGGAAGACCTGGAAGAGGTTCTGGGCTCCTGGCTTTGGATTGGCTCAGTTCCAGCTGTTGCGGCCGCTTAAGGAGTGAATCATCAGATGGAAGATCTTCCTCTCTGTCTCTCCTCCTCTCTATATATCTGACTTTGCAATAAAAATAAATATTTTTTTTAAAAAGTTAAAAAAAAGCCAGCAAGAGAACGGACTTCTGTAGGAATGTGCAGTTGTTTAAACCACTAAATTCGAAAATCTGTGCAGTAGCAATGGAAAGCTAATACACCATGTCACCTTGCTCATTTCACTCTAGAAGAGGAGCTTGTCATGGCGGAAGGACTGCGAGGCCACCCTTGCTCATTTGGGTGTGGCTTCTGTGGTTGATTTTATTCCTAGTTGTCTTTGCCTTGTACAGTTAGTGTGATCACACAGCCTCTTACTAAAGTTTACTAATTTTGCCTCAAAAATTTAGTATTCTGGTCCTTTACAAGTAGCATTAACTTAGTTTGCTTTGAATTTGACCTCTAAATATGGTCAAGAGTTCTAGCAATGCCTAACCATTTGGGGTCCCTTGAATGTAATGTGCAGGTTCCGAATGGAACTATAAACATGTAAGCCACAGGAGAAGACTCACAGCTGTCATCCTTGGAGGAAGTTAACTGGAATTCCAGTAAGACTTTTTTAGTACCAAATGGCTGTGTCAGCTCAGAGTGGCTGCCGTCCCCGTCAGGCCTTCACTGAGCCTTGTGGTTTGAGGCTTGTGTATCTGTTTGCTCTCAACAGAAGTGTTCTCTTGTTTCGTGTTTCTGAGAATTACTATTTGTCTGTACGCTGTTATAAACAGAAACGCTTAAGCTGCTGAACAAACTTATCATAAGCTTGATAACAGCCAAGAAGTGTAGGCAGTTATTGGATACTCTAGGATTCCGTTATACACGAAAGAATGCATTCATTATAGAGAGAGTAAGGGAAGTAGGCACTTCTTTTGTCTTGTCTCCCACATCATAAACATCGTCTTTTCATCACAGAAAATAGTCCTATCTGATGCCTAGAAAGTTCACCTCTTTCAAATTGATAGCTGTGTGACTTAGACACCTCAGAGATTTTTAAAATATGAATTAAGGAGCAGGCATTATGGCCCAAAGAACTAAGCTGCTGCCTGCAAAACAGTGCTGGTTTGAGTTTCTGCTGCTCTGTTTCCAATCCAGTTTCCTGCCAATAATCCTGACAAGGCAGCAAAGGATGGCCCTTAGTCCCTGGATCCCTGCCACCCATATGGGAGACCTACACAGAGTTGCTGGCTCCAGCTTTTCCTGGGCCAGCCATGGCTGCTGCAGACATCTGGGGAGTATACCAACAGATGAAAGATCTCCCTTTCCTCTCCTGAGTCACTCTGCCTTTCAAATCTATCAATAAATCTTCCAATGAAATAAAAGTCATATTATAAAAAGCAAGGCCTATTGTTAGTATTGGTTTTGCCACTCAGTGTAATCAACATGTTTGTACCTTCGCCTAAAATAAGTTATTGCTAAGATTTTAATTGTTGGTTCAAAATTAGCTAATATCAATAATAGTATAATGCCCTTTTAAATTAACCTTTTAAAAAGCTTTATTTATTGGGCCTGGCGCAGTAGCCTAGTGGTTAAATCCTCATGTTGCATTTTCTGGGATCGCATATGGATGCCAGTTCATGTCCCGGCTGCTCCACTTTCTTTCCAGCTCCCTGCTTGTGGTCTGGGAAAGCAGTTGAGGACAGCCCAAAGCCGTGAGCCCCTGCACCCATGTGGGAGACCCTAAAGAGGCTTCTGGCTTCAGACGGGCTCAGTTCTGGCCATTGCGGCCACTTGGGGAGCAAACCAGTAGATGGAAGGTCTTTCTCTCTTTTTTCCATCTCTATCTCTCCTTCTCTCTATAAATCTAAAATTTCCAATAAAAATAAATAAATCTTTAAAAAATTTTTAATAAATTTTAAAAATTTAAACAATTTTAAAAATACTTTTTAAAGATTTATTTTTATTGCAAAGTCAGATATTTAGAGAGGAGGAGAGACAGAAAGGAAGATCTTTCATCCAATGATTCACTTCCCAAGTGGCCACATTGGCCAGAACTGCACCAGTCCAAAGCCAGGAGCCTGGAAATTCCTCCAGGTCTCCCACATGGATGCAGGATCCCAAAGCTTTGAGCCATCCTCCACTGCTTTCCCAGGCCACAAGCAGGGAGCTGGATGGGAAGCAGGGCTGCTGGGATTAGTACCGGCCTCCATATGGGATCCCAGCGTGTGCAAGGTGTGAACTTTAGCCACTAGGCTACCACGCTGGGCTGCAACTTAATATATCCTAAAAAGGATTTATTTATTAATTAGAGAGTCAGAGAGGGCAAGAGAGACAGACACCACACAAGTGGCCTCAGCCAGGAGTCGGGAGACCTGGAAGAAGCTGCTCACACTGACCCCAATGTGCCTCAGTCCTGGCTATCGTGGCCGTCTGGCGAGTGAACCAGTGGGTGAAGAATCTCTGTCCCTCTCTCTGCTACTCTGTCTTTCAAGCAAATGAGATACAATCCTTTTTAAAAGTGTAAATAAATAAACTTGTGGAAAATGTGCATTATTAAAAACTATGCATAGAATTTAAAATTACTATTTTAAAAAATGTATTGTCTGAAAGGCAGAGCTACTGAGCGAGAAAGCTCTTCCATCTGCTGATTCACTCCCAAAATAGCTGCAACTCTTAGAGCTGGGCTGTTCCAAAGACAGGAGTCAGGAGCTTCAACCAGACGTCCCATCTGGGCACAGACACCCAAGTACTTGTGCCATTCTCTGCTCCTTTCCCAGCACAGAGCTGGATTGGAAGTAGAGGAGCTGGAACTTGAACAGATACCTGTATGGGATACCAGCACTGCAGGTGGCAGCTTTTACACACTCTGTCACAGTGTCAGCCTTTCAAAATTACTTTATACCAAGTATAAGTATTTCTTTTTGGTATTTATTTATTCTTATCCACTTGCAAAGCAGAGTGACAGAGACCGAGAGCGTGAGTTCTTCCATCTGCTGGTTCACTCCCCAAATGCCTGCAGGTGCCAGTCCAAGGCCAGCTGATGCCAGGAGCCCAAGCCGTGGGCCATAATGTGCTGCTTCCCAGATGCATTAGTAGGAAGCTGGATCCAAATAATCTGGACTTGAACCAGTACCCTTGATATAGGATATCAGCATCCCAAGCAGTGAGTTAATCCACTGCACCACGATGCCTAGCCCTCAGTGAATTTATCTATTGATGTCATTTTCCCACATAATTTTGTTTTGTTTTTTTTTTTCTTTATTCGTTATTTCTTTTATTTTTCTTTATTCTTTGTTTCTGACATAATTTTTGAAGCACACTTTTGTCTAAGTATTGGTAAGTTTCTTGCAGGGAGGACACGATATTGGATATAGATGTTTGCGTGACAAAGCCAGTGTACCCAAATAGATCTGTCATTTCTTTTTGTTGTATTGAGTCAAAAAGCTCTGTCTTCAAGGAACAAACTCCCTCAGATTTATTAAGGAAATGTTTCATAAAAGCTTCCTTAAATCAGGTCTCGTAGCTGATTTGGCCGTAGGGCCTGACTTCAAAACCCTACAATTTGCACCAAGGCTTTTGAAGCCAGCTTCCCAGCTTCTCTTCATGTTCTGCACAATCTGGCTTTGTTCACTCTGGTCCCAGGCTGGGGACTCACCCCACCCTTGTTTGTGGCTAATCACTGAGCTTTTAATCAAGGTCATGGATTGACTGGGTTTCACTGTGTGCCCACTGGCCAGGCATGACTGGTTTTTGTTCTCCCCGCCTGAGACAGGGTGCAGTTGAAATGTGTGTCTGCTTTAGTTCACAATAAAAAAGATAAGGTCGATTGACACACAGCGTGCAAGTGTTCATGTGCTAACCCAGAGTCAGGTGGCTTAGTAAGACTCAGCAGTAAGGCCTCAGCCAACAGTTTAGCTAACTCCACAAAGGAAGTCTGGGTCAGAGCTTGAGTTCTGGACCCGAGTGGCCATGAGGATGTGCCTCATCAGCATTTGAAAGAACAAAGGTCATCAACTACAAAGGAGAAATGCATTTGGACAGGTTCTTTTGAAAACTATCTGTGTGTACACAAACCCGTGTTGGTAACTTGTCATTTGGGACAGGACATTTCAGCAAGGTTGCGGTGTTAAGATATTCATAATCTCAGAACGTGGGAGCTTGCATTAGCTCTCAGATCCCTGGGACAGCACTTGTATTACTAACAGTGATCTGCTATGTACTGAATCAGCTAACCAAAGATCCTGCTTTTCCCTAAGGCAGAGGGAGGCGTTAACAGTTGCTGTCTACCCAGGTTGGGTTTGGTTTTAACGGTATTGTTTTACTCAAAATACCTCATTGTTTTTAGAATAAGCCACAGTCTCCAAAGAGAATTGCATCCATTCTTCCCATCAACAATGGCTCCAAAGAAAATGGGCTTCACGAGGAACAAGACCAAGAACCACAAGATCTCTTTGCAGGCAAGTACGAATGCAAAATTTACACCAGGGACGCTTTACATGCCTTTGTTAACTTTTGAGTGAAAGTCAAAAACAAATGAAGATACTATGGAGAATTCCAAAGCATAAAACACTGGCTGTTGGAGGTTTCAGAAGTGAGACATAGCATAACAGTTATTTAGGAATGTATGTGAGTTGGACAGTTTGTCAATGATAGAAATGTGGGCAGAGGAATGAAAACACTGTCGCAGGTGCCTGCTGATTAAAGCAGTAGCTTTAAGCTTTTATGAAGAACAGTAAGAAGTATCATAATCCAAAACTTCAAGAAAGGTTGTAAGTAACCTGCCCTTACAACTTCCAATACAATCTGAAATTTTCTAATATTTCCCTTTATTTAGTGCTGTCTGTAACTGATTTAATTGAATTCTCACTCTCCAATAAGCCATGACCTACAGATTGAAAAACCCTCAGAGAGCAGGGTTTCTCAGCTTTGGCTCTGTTAACATTTGAGAATGGGTGCTTCTTGGTTTTAGGCAGTTGCCTTGCTCTCAACAGAGCATGCGTCCCTTCCCTTAAAAGACACCTGCCGCTGGTTGGAGACATTTCCCATTGTCACACCTGGGAGTGCTGCCCAAAGCCTCTGAGTGCTGCTAAACACATTGAATACACGGCACAGTCCCTCACAATGGAATTTCTCAGCCCAAAATGTCAACACTGAAAAGCTCCGATCTGTGGTGTTAGTGGAAGCCTTCCTGGATCAATCAGAATTCATATAGGAGGAAAGGAAAAAGGGTCCTGATGGTCAGACAGGACATGTGAACTATTTTTGAGGTAGTTGATAAATATGTCAGACCAAAACAAAACATTCTTAGAGAAGCATGGACTAAAAAACTAGAAAGTGTAGTTTGGGATCAGGTTTGGAAAGACTTTAGACATCAAAAATAATTAGAGTTTAAATTTTTATCCTAATAGTAATTTAGGAACATTGGCAGTTTTGCAAGAGGGAAATGATGTGGACCAAGCAATATTGATAGGAAGACTGACCTCATCGGTTCTTTTCTTAAAAATGAGTGACATTTAGCAAAAACTAGAGGTTTTTTAGAAGGCAATCATGGGCCCGGCATGGTGGCCTAACAGCTAAAGTCCTCACCTTGAACACACCGGGATCCTATGTGGACGCCGGTTCTAATCCCGGCAGCTCTGCTTCCTATCCAGCTCCCTGCCTGTGGCCCGAGAAAGCAGTGGAGGATAGCCCAAAGCCTTGGGACCCTGCACCCACATGGGAGATCTGGAGGAAGTTCCTGGCTCCTGGCTTCAGTTCAGTGCTGCTCCAGCCATTGCAGCCACTTGGGGAATGAATCATCGGACGGAAGATCTTCCTCTCTGTATCTCCTCCTCTGTATATCTGACTTTGTAATAAAAATAAATAAACCTTAAGAAAAAAAAGTTGAGTTTGAAATGGGAATGACAGAAGGACTCTGCAGGGCTCAGTCTGACAGGAAATGTCCAAAACATGGAAAAAGAAGACCTTAGAACAAGGAATGGAGAGACTTAAAAATTTTCTACCTCGTCATAGTGCTGAAGCCTTAACTACACACCTGTTCATTTCTAATCGTGATGACCTTTTAGCTATAATTCCTGGAGAGCAAATTATATGAATGTTTCTTTAATTATATAGCATGTTGGAAAGAAAGTAAACTTTCTACCTTTGAAACCTGAACATTTATAAGATCCTTTTTTGTGAGGGTTGAAATCTTAGTGTGGCAAGAGTCATTCCCATTTTATGTTTGTAAATGTGTGCAAGATGACGGACACGTTAGCCATGCCTCTACCAGTTTCCTCAGTAGCCAATGCCTGCCTGCCCATGTACTGCCACGATATGGGACCCTCAACTGGAATTCTGGGCTCCCAGCTTCACCTTGGTCCAGCCCTAGGCACTGTGGCCGTTCAAAGAGTGAACCTATGGATGGAAGAAGTCTGTCTCCGTTTCTCCTTCTCTCTGCCTTTCAAATGAACATTTTCTGAAAATAGAAAACGCACGGACCTTCTCAAGACTTTTAGTCTAATAAGCAAAAGGTTTTCAAAGAGCAGTACCTCCTGTTTCATTTCCAGATGCGATTGTTAACTTACTTATTTTATAGGAGCTGTAGGAGGGACTAGCCTGTATATACATTAGCTCACTGCTTGGTCCAGACACCACAATAGCCTACTCTTCTCTAACGGCGGTCAGGTTCGTTGCTAACAGTGCGCAGGCTTTGCAGACATCTTTCACCTTTAATGCATAGAACATTGATCCAGAACTTGATTGTTTCAGATTCCATCTTTGGTCTTATTTTAGCCTCAAATGAAAATTTAAAAAGGGAAAACAGCTTTCATTGAATTCCCTAAGACTAAAATTAAATCGCCAAACTCTGGAACACTGGGATCCTATGTGGGCATCGCTTTTTTCCCAGATGGTCCAAAGCCTTGGGACCCTGCAGCTCCCTGTATGGGAGGCCCAGAAGAAGCTCCTGGCTTTTGGCTTTGTAGCTGAGGCAGTGTGACCATTTGGGGAGTAAACCAGCAGATGAAAGATCTTTCTCTCTGTCTCTCCTTCTCTTTATAAATCTGCCTTTCCAATAAAAATAAATAAATCTTTTTTTTTTTAAGATTTTTTTTTTTTATTGGAAAGGCAGATATAGAAAGGAGGAAAGACAGAGAGGAAGATCTTCCGTCCGATGATTCACTCCCCAAGCGGCTGCAATGGCTGGAGCAGCACTGAACTGAAGCCAGGAGCCAGGAACTTCCTCCAGATCTCCCATGTGGGTGCAGGGTCCCAAGGCTTTGGGCTATCCTCGACTGATCTCCCAGGCCACAGGCAGGGAGCTGGATAGGAAGTGGAGCTGCTGAGATTAGAACCAGTGCTCATATGGGATCCTGGCACACTCAAGGCGAGGAATTTAGCCACTAGGCCACCATGCCAGGCCATGTAATTATGAATAATTCTTAAACTGTGCTAAAATAATAGTGCTATTCTTAGGGGTGGCAAAATAGTGTCCTTTTTCTAAGTATTACTGGAAGGTGACACCGCATCCTGTGGGAGCACTGGTTCTGCTCCTTGGCTACACCACTTCCAATCCAGCTCCCTGCTCAGCTGGAGTGTCTGAGGCCCTGCCACTCACTTGGAAAGACGCAGGTGGAGTTCTGGTTTCCTGACTTTGGCTCAGCCTCCAGCCATCAGGGAAGTAAATTAGGAGATTGAAGGTCTCTCTCTCTCTAATGCTATCTTCTAAATAAATAAGACAAATATTTATATTTATATTTTGGTTCACACCCCTAAAGGCCACAACAGCCAAGACTGGGCCAGACTGAAGCCAGGAGAGAGGAGCTTCTTCTGTGTCTCCCATATGGGCACAGGGCTCCAAACACAGGGGACCATCTTCTGCTACTTTCCCAAGTGCGTTAGCAGGGAGCTGGATTGGAAGTAGAGCAGCCAGGACTCTAACCAATACCTGTAGGGAATGCCAGCATGGTAGGTGCTGGCTTTACTCGCTACGTCATATGCCAGTCTAACAGTAAATCTTAGGGGGAAAAAAATGATTAAACTTATTCTTTTTCACAAAAGAATAACAGTAATAAATAGGGTTTGCATAAGGGTCAAAAGAAATATTGCTAAGAGTAAAATTAATTGGCATGCTCATTCTGGCTACTAAAAAGGTTGTCCTTTTACTTGATTCCTAGTTCTTAACTAAATTCTCAGTAGAGGGCCTGGCATAATAGTTCAGTAGCTAAACCCTCATCTTGATTATACCAGCATCTCGTATGGGCGCCGGATTGTGTCCTGGTTGCTCCATTTCCCATCCAACTCCTTGATTATGGCCTAAGAAAGCAATAGAGGAAGACCCAAAGCCTTGGGACCCTGCACCCGCATGGGAGACCCAGAAGAAGCTCCTGGCCCCTAACTTCAGATCGGCTCAGCTCCAGCCATTGCAGTCACTTGAGGAGTGAACCAGTTAATGCAAAATCCTTCTGTTTCTCCTTCTCTCTGTAAAACTGACTTTCTAAATAATAATAATAATAATAATAATAATACATCTTTTTAAAAAAAATTCTCAGTAGAAGGTAACCAAGTAGTTTTATTTGGAAAGTAAGAGCCAAAGGTTACTCTCCCAAGCTTGTGCTAGAATACTTTCCTCGCCATCTTCCCCTTGGCCCAGGTGAAAATTTCATAACTTGAAAGTGCTTGCTATTGTTTTTATAAGTTTCTTTGCCTTCAGAATTATTGTTTAGCCTTCAAAGGCCTGTTATTGACCTTCGTTTTAAAATATCAACTGTTAGATGCCACAGTGGAGCTATCCCTGGACAGCACACAGAATAATCAGAAGAAGGGGCCAGCCAAGATGCTCATCTCACCTCCCCCTCAGGAAGCCATGAATTCTCCTAAGCCCCAACCAAGCTATGAGGAGGTGAGAATCTATATCTTGTTGTTTTTGAATTTTACAGGATTATTTGCTGAAAGTGTGGAACTTGACTGAGTGTCAACCTTAAGAAAATATTTGTGACTCTTTAAGGAGATCTGCTTGGTTAATGGACAGCCAGAATCTAGTATGGGCTTGCTGTTGGGTAGAGCAAGCGCTTACCCAGGGAACAGCTCGGTCTTTAAGTGGTCTCTAATGGTAACTGTCAGTGATTAAGGCTTCTCTTTTAAGGATATGCTCTCTCATTCCTTCCTTTGTCTAGAGGAGACAAGTCTGTTAAATCTCATAACTATTCATTGTCATGAAAATAAGGTATTAAAGGTGTAGTTGTAACAAAGACCTGTGAGCTGCTACCCAAAATAAATTGGTAGGAGTTAAATCATTGGAATTGTTGGGAATGGACAGAGCTGAACAGAAAGGCATAAAAGGATGCATCTGTCATTACATCACCACCTGTAAAGTGAATATAGGATTCCCTTTTTTGTATCAAATTCTCATAATTTGCCTTTTCTTTATAAAGCTAGAGGAAGAAGAACAGGAGGACCAGTTTGATTTGACAGTCGGTATCACGGATCCCGAGAAGATAGGTGAGTGTGTGCCGGCCTCCTGGTAGTGCTAGGATGTCACTGTGGAAAGCACAGGTGGCTCATTTGGGGATGGTGACCTCCAGCACAGGCCAGTGCAAAGCGTTTCATCAGTGTGTTTTCTATAGAAACACAAGGGTCTCATGGAAAATGTATGTTAGGAAGAAATTATGCATGACTTTCAAAATATTTTGTACCAAAACAAGTTTGTCCTTTGTGTGTGTGTGTGTGTGTGTGTGTGTGTGTGTGTGTGTGTGTGTGTGTGTGTACATTTTGAAGTCCTCCCTATGCATGTTGCCTATGCCAAAGCCAGGAGCCATGAACTCAACTGAATCTCCCAGGTATGACAGGGATCCAACTATGAGGCCATCACCTGCTGCCTCCTACGGTACACGTTCGTAGGAAGCAGGAGCCAGAAGTACAGGCTGGCACTGTGATAAGGTGTGAAGATGTCCTAAGTGGCACCCCATATGCCCTTCCCTAGAATCCCTTTTCAGAAACACAGACACTGGGGCTGTAGTTGTAGTGCAGGTTAGGCCAATACTTAACACACCCACATCCAATATCAGAGTGTCCAAGTATGGTTCATAAGTCCTGCTACTTCGCTTCTGATCTAGCTTCCTGCTGATGAGAAGCAGGTAGGTATGGCTAAAATACTTGAGTCTCTGCCACAAGTAGGAGACCTAGATAGGGTTCCTAGATGGGGTCCCTGGCTCCTGGCTATGACCTGGCGAACTTCCAGCTGTTGCAGGCATTTGGGGAGTAAACCAGCAGGTGAAGATCTGTCTCCCTCTCTGTGTCACTCTACCTTTCAAATAAGTAAATAAGTAAATCCTTTTTTTCTATTAAAGATTTATTATTATTATTATTTTAATTGGAAAGTCAGATTTACAGAGAAGAGAGACAGAAAGATCTTCTATCCATTGGTTCACTCCCCAAGTGGCCAATCTGAAGCCAGGAGCTTCCTCTAGGTCTCCCACATAGGTTCAGGGTCCCAAGGCTTTGGGTCATCATTGACTACTTCCCCAGGCCACAAGCAGGGAGCTGGATAGGAAGTGGAGCCCATTTGGGATCCTGGCACATGCTAGGCAAGGATTTAGCCACAAGGCTATCACACCAGGTTCCAAATAAGTAAATCTTAAAAACAAGATACATAAACTCACATGTTGTCTTCTGCCTTGGAGTTGTCAAGACCATTTCATTCCCTCTTTGAGACAATAAATTGCTTAAGAATATGCTCTAAAACATTAGGACTCTGAACCTATTTTCACCCTCAAACTTGTTTATCATTTAACATGCACTCTTTCCAAATGAGATGGGAAGTCTGCATTTCTCTTTCATAAATGAAAGATTAAAGGACCCAGGTTGAATCGTGGCCACACAGAAATTTGGTTTTTAGAAAGCATGCAATACTTAACTTTGGCCAGACTTGACTTCTTTGGCTCGCCTTCTGTGCCACAAGCAAGACAGGGATGTTAGTGAAGCGGAAACAGTAGGTCTTAACTCTGCCTCCCTCCAAGCGTGGTTCCTTTACAGAAATGTGCGGTAGCTCCTTTTTACCTAAATAGGAGTGGAATCTACATGGTTACAAGGACAGTTGTAATCATTAAGAGGAAAAATGCAATTCCTAACTTCATTTATCAGCACTAGGAATGTGAATTTGTAAAGTTTTAATTAGTCTTTACGTCAAAATGGCTTTCAGTAAACTGTTGATTTTTACTTGACATGGACTTTTACACTGGTATGTATGGGTGTCCTCTACAACTCCTTCATTTAACCATAGAAGAAACTGAGTACTGGGGGGGGGGGGGGAGTTAGTTTTCTTCCTTTTAGGGCACTAAACCCTTGTTTTACCTATCTAGGATTATGTCTAATATTTATGACTATTCTGGTTATTCACTGCTATGTGTTCCTGGTGGAATATGACAGGTTACTGTTTTAACAGTAAGTTGTGGCATTTGAGCCAAGAGAAGAAATATGTTAGTTTCCTAGGACAGTTGTTGCAAAGCCCATTGACCTGGCTGGCATCAAACCACCAAATGCCTTCCCTGGCTGTCTGGGGTCAAGTGTCAGCAGGGCCCTGCAGCCTTGGAGGCGTGGGAAAGCATGTGCCAAGACCCCCTGCCTTCTGAGAGCCTCGAGCCTGCATTGACGTGTGAATGCTTCATTTCCGCCTAGGGTTTCGTCTTCCCTTGACCTCCTCCCTAAGTGTCTACAAACATACATCATCTCCCCTTCTGTCCCACCTTTTTTTTTTTTTTTTAAATGCAAAGTCAGATATATAGAGAGGGGGAGAGACAGAGAGGAAGAGCTTCTGTCCATCCGATGATTCACTTCCCAAGTGACCACAATGGCTGGAGCTGTGCCAATCCAAAACCAGGAGCTCTTCCAGGACACCCCCATGGGTGCAGGGTCCCCAGTCTTTGGGCTTCCTTCTGCTGCTTTCCCAGGCCACAAGCAGGGAGCTGGATAGGAAGTGGAGCTGCTGGGAGTAGAACTGGTATCCATATGGGATCCTGGCATGCTCAATGCAAGGACTTCAGCCGCTTGCCCACGGTGCTGGACCCCACACCCTTTTTTTTTGTTTTGCTTTGTTTTGTTAGAACACTGGTCATATGGGGTACGGCACACCCAAATGTCCTCATTCACTTGATGACAGTATCTGTGAACGCCCTTTTTCTAAAACAGGTCACATTTTGAGTTTTAGAAGTTGAGACTTCAAAGTCTCTTTGGAGTGGCCTAGTTCATACTATATCAGAGTAATTTAAACACCCCAGAGACCAAATTTATTCAAACACCAGTCTTGTTGATACACTTCTGTCTCCTCGCCTGTGGTCTGCATTCTAACTTGGGTTGGTGCCAAGGAAGCAGCTCAGTACAATGATTTCAGTCATTCTGACAATGTGCTCTGTTTGTGTGGGCTATGGATTAAACATGTACTTCTCTTTCCCACATACGTCTAAACAACTTGGACTCCTGCTTCTACCAGGATATTGTTTTCAGAACCTTGGCAACTTGCATTTGCCGTCTTCAACTTTAGAATTCTTTGGGAAGTAAATCCAGATTTTAGGGCTATCACACCAGGCCTTGTCGACTCCGGATGTACATGTAGTGTGTCTTCACACATGTGTTGCTGACGTAGGCAGAGAGATGAGAGCATTGCTTTGCTGATCTCTGTCACGTATGTCCGCTCAGACTTCCCCTTGCTGTGGACACTAAGTTTCTGCACTGACCTTTCTGGCATTTGACCAGAATTCAGTTCTACAAATAGGATTTTTCATGATTCTACTTCTAATATTTTTTCTTTTGTCAGTGGCAAATGTCCTTCATATTAAGCAATAAGGTGTAAGTGGTTAAGACAACTAAAGGTATGAGGGAGTTTCAAAAGTGGTGCTTATGATTTGTTTTGCACATAAAGAGGTAGAGCAGGCAAGCCCCCTCTTCCTGCGTAGTTGGCAATATCTTTGTGTGTGCTAGGAAGGCAGGTGTCTCCAGCCTGAAGCCAGGCTGCAGTCTCACCCTGCTGGTCCAGCCTCCCCCGGCCCCTCACCGCAAAACCAGCTTGGCAGCATAAGCTCAGAAGTGACTGCTGCCCAAGGTTTGCCTGCTTTGTGGGAGAGGAATCCATCCAAGAACAGAACCACCCCAAAGCACCATGGCCCAGCCCCGCAGCCGGCGCTGTCAGGGTTCCAGCATATGTCTTTTCAGTCCTCAGGGAGTCAATGGTGCCTCTATTGCCTCAAGTGCTCTAGGTCAGGACATGACCACAGAGAAAAACAGTTGCTCACATCCCAAGTGATGTAACAAAGGCTTTTTCACAAAAATAATTCCCTTCAGGAAAGGGAGATTTGGCTGACGTCAGGCTGCCAAAATGTCTTCCTGCCAGGCCCTGGGCCCTGGGTGAACAGGATGGATCAGAGAGGTCCGTATCCCCAACCCCCGCAGCAGGTCCAGGGTGGTATTTCTGAAAGAGCAAACCAAGCCCAGAGCTGGGCCAGGGTAGAACTACTTGTTTCCTTTTACATCAGTCGCTTCCTTCTCCTCCTGCGTTATACAGCAAGAGGATTGTTTGGTTTTAGACAGATGTGTGTAGCTAGCCCAAATATTGGCATGGTAACAACTGATGGATTGTCAGTACCCACTGCTGCTTTGTGGAGGGCATCAGTGGAAGCCTGGCCCTGGAACAGGGGGCTGACTCTTGTCTAACTCAGATGGAGGCCCAGCCGACAGCCGTGGGGGCCTAATCAAGTAGGAGCCAGATCCTAGGATTGCAAATGGAGCTGAGAGATGAAGCAACTCCATGTCCTTCCTTCTCCAGGCCACCTGTGGCTTAGGAACCCTGGTTAAATGTTACCCAAGTTCATACTGATTTGGTTTAAGGGGTAATGTTCTCCCGCTTTGCTTTCCCACAGGGGACGGGATGAATGCCTACGTTGCCTACAAAGTTACAACACAGGTGAGCCCAAGTGCCCTGCCGATGCCCACCTGTGCTCAGGAATCTCTCCTGGGCACTCCAAACAGCTTCTCCAGCAGGGAAACACATTTCATTAAGACACATGTCGTGTCTCCGAAAGCCCCAGCCCTTGGAAGTTCTGTGTGATTTGGAGCTAGTTTGGCAGATTGCTCCAGCTAAGGGAGTCTGTCTCCTCGCCTGCTGAGCTTTGGCATGCAGAGCCGCTGTTGCCTTCTGTCCTCTTTGGCCCGCAGGTCTGGCCTTTTTGTGTGTGATATAATTGCAATGCTCACAGTCTACAGATGAGCCCCAGAGGTCCACCTGTATTGTTTTTCCCTGTTGCATCCCCTGCCTGGTGCTTTAGGTACAGCCACTCTTCTGAGCCGTATCATGGTTCTTTTTTGAAGAATCTTTACATATGTCTGTAAATAGTACATTGTTTTTCATAGCTTTGAAGTTTCCTAAAAAAAAAAAAAAAACATGCTTTTATGTAGCACCAGCTTGGCATGCTCAGCCCCACTGAGCAAGGCTGTGGTCAGTCCATGTGTGAGTACACCAGAGTATTTTCACTCTTTTCCTTTGGTTGATTTTTTTTTTTTTTTTGATAAGAACGTATCTTGAGCTTTCATAACTGTGCACTGTTATTAAACAGTGTCAGCACATACATGGAAAAGTTAAAAACAACAGTAGCTTCCAGGTCATAGGCACTTTGGTGAACACCAGGAATGCAAACTGAATTTTATTTTCCCACTGGTAGTATGTAAAAGTTCTTATTGACTCTCTTTCCAGCCAGCAGCTGGGGAGGCCACCCTCACAGTTTGTCTGGGGCCAGCAGCAGGTTAGCTGCCACCTGTGACACTAGCCCAGTGGCTGCTTGGGGAGTGAACTAGTAAATGGAAGATCTGCCTCTGCCCTCTCCTCCCCATTCCTTCCTCCACCCTCCCTGCTTCTATAACTGCCTTTCAAATAAATAAATGATTTTTGGGTTTTTTTTTTTTTTTTTTTTTTTGGCCTATCTGGTGAGTGTCCAAGGACCTCCTGTGATGATGTAGGCCACCCCTTTTTAGCTATAGAAGTCCTTCCTTCCTGTGTCCTGTGAGCTCCAGCCCGATGACGCTTTTAGGGTCAGTCAGTGCATAAGGTGAGACCACTAGACCACTCTCCTGACCCCTCACTTCCCCTCCTAGAAGCACGCGTTCGTCTATCTTGGCTTTGGTTTACCTGGTTCAATTCCAGCAGCTCACATACACAAATAAGTCAACTTTATACTAGGATTCAGCTTTTTTTTTTTTTTTAAGATTTGTTTATTTGAAAGACAGAGGACACAAAGGGAGGGAGAGACAGAGATCTTCCATCTGCTGGTTCACTTACGAATGGCCACAACAGCCTGAGCTGGACTGGTCCAAAACCAGGAGTCCAGTGCACCAGGGGTCCAAGTGCTTGGGCCATCCTCTGCTGCTTTCTTAGACACATTGGCAAGGAGATGGATCAGAGGTGGAGCCGTCTGGTCTCAGATCAATACCATATAACATAGGATGTCTACAGTGTCAGGCCCCACATTTGTTTCTTTAGGGCAAAGGTTTCTTTTGTTGTTGCTGTTTTATTTTTTAACCTAGGAATTAAACTACATTTAAATTAAATTGGCTGTCTTTAATACAATATATTTAAAATCATAATTCTGAGACCTGCTCCTTGGGCTTCTAGACTGCCACAGGGGCTGATAGCTCAGAAAAATTTAAGAGCCTCTGCTGTAGGAGTGATTTTCCAGGTGACCAAAAGATCAGGGATCCGGGCAGTGGGTCCTTGAGTGGCATCTGGATGGCTTTAGGGACACTCAGTGATGCTCATCCTCCTACTTGGAATGAAGTCATCTTGCTTTTTTTTTTTTTTCCCTCTGCTCCCAAGACCAGCTTACCAATATTCAGAAGTAAACAGTTTTCAGTGAAAAGAAGATTTAGTGACTTTCTGGGTCTTTATGAAAAGCTGTCAGAGAAACACTCTCAGAATGGCGTCATTGTGCCTCCTCCACCAGAGAAGAGCCTGATAGGTAAGCTGTGGTCTGCAGTTCTGCTTTGCAGTTCTCCCTCTGAGGTCTTTCTGCAATATACTGACTGCTCACTATTAGCCCATATAACCGGACAGAGTCTGGTTGGAGAAGAGACATTTCTGGTGTTTTCTCACAGTTGAGACCTAGAGATGTGGACTCACTGGACATGATCCCTTCCCCGAGTGTGATAAAGGACCTATTTTCTTTGTTTTGTCATCTAAGATGCATTTATTTGAAAGGTAGCGTGTCAGGGTGGGGAGAGACCAGAGATCTATTCACTGGTTTATTCACCAAATCCTGGAGCAGGGAACTCCATCCAAGACTCTCATGGGTGGCAGGAAACCAAGGACTTGGGCCATTATCTGCTGCCTTCGCATGTGTATCAGCAAGGAGCTGGGTCAGAAGCAGAGGTGCCAGCATGCAAGACAGGCACTCCTATAAGGGATGTTGGGCATCCCAGGTGGCAGCTTAATCAACCTGCTGTGCCACACTACAGCTGCCCCTCACCCTTGTTTTTGTTTTTGTTTCTTTTTCAATTCCAGGAGCCTTAAATGATTGCTGTTCCTTCCAAATTGAGACATTTTAAATGGGATTAGGGCTGGGGGACCCTTCCCTTACTGTCAGTGGCTGTTTGTTACCCCACACTCAGTCCTCTGGCCTCTGTTTTTAGCAAATATACACTGGGCAAGTCCCAGGCTTTAAATTTTGGACCCTGATCTAAAAAGACTCTAATGAGAAGAACCAGTACTTCCTGCCCACCCAGGATGGAGAAACAGCCTTAGGTTGTGTTTTGCAATGTGACCCCTCACCTGCCTTTCCTCCTCCTCCTGATTTTTTTTTTTTTTTTTACAGATTTATTGTTTTGATGATGATCTACAGTTATTTTTCTTTTCCAATTCTATCCTAGGCATGACAAAAGTGAAAGTGGGAAAGGAAGATTCTTCATCGGCAGAATTTTTGGAAAAAAGAAGGGCCGCCTTGGAACGGTGAGTGCCCTCCTACGGCTCTCCCACATAGCACGTGAGCCAGCCAGCATTGCTCGGGTTGACAGAATTACAGATCCACCCCTTGGGGTGGGTGTTTAGCCTGGCCGCTAAGACACTTCTGAAGACATCTGCATCTCCTGTTGGGGTACCTGGACTTGATGCCTTGTGCTGGCTCTTGACTGCAGCTTCCTGTTAATACAGAGCCAGGGAGGCAATGATGACGGCTCAAGTAATTGAGTTCCCATCCACTCACATGGGAGACTTGGGTTGAGTTTCTGGTTTCCAACTCTGGCCTGGCCCAGTCCTGGCCATTATGTTTGGATAGTGAACCAGCAGATAGGAGCTCACACTCACTCTCATTCTCTCTGCCTCTCAAATAAATAATTGAAACTAAAGAGGGCGGACATTGTGACATAGCAGGTAAAGCTACTACCTGTGACACCAGCATTTCATATTAGTGTTGGTTCAAGTCCTACTTGTTCCACTTCTGGACCATCTTCCTGCTTGTGGCCTAGGAAAGCAGTAGAAAATGACCAAATCCTTGGGCCCCTGCACCCATGTAGGACCCAGAGAAGCTCCTGGCTCTGAACCAACCCAGCTCTGGTTGTGGTGGCCATCTGGAGAGTGAACCAGCAGAAAGATCTCTGTGCCTGTCACATTAACAAAAAAAAAAAGTCTACGGCCATACCACCTTGAACGCACCCGATTTCATTTGATCTCTGGAAAAAAAAATCACAGCCCCATATTAGCTCTAGCCCTTTCTATATCTCCTATCTTCCTGCCTCAGGGATAGATGATTTTCTTGTTTTTATGCCCATCATGAGCAGACAATCCATATTCCCTTTCTTGCATAATCAAATATGACTCGGGAGTCTTTCTGACCAGTTGGCTTTCTGTCCCTTTTTGAAAATGTACAAAATGTGGGCTATTTATGGAGACCTATTTAAGTGCCTACTCAGAGAACAAAAAACATGGTACTCCTGCCGGTACTTTACAGCACCCAGAACCTTCTTTTTCTTTTCTTTTCTTTTTTTTCTTTCTTTCTTTTTTTTTTTTCTTTTTTAGCTCTATTTATTTATTTCAAAGCCTGAGTTATGGAGAGAAAAAAAAGGACAGACAGAGATCTTCCACCTGCTGGTTCACTTCCCAAATGGTTTCAAAGTCTAGGACTGTGCCAGGCTGAAACCAGGAGCCTGGAGCTTCCTCTTGGTCTCCCACATAGGTGTAGGGGCCTAAGCACTTGGACCATCTTCCACTGCCTTCTTGGGCACATTAGCAGGAAGCTGGATAGAAAAGTGGAGCAACTGGGACTCAAACCATTGCCCACATGGGAGCAGCACTGTAGACAGCAGTTTTACTTGCTATGCCACAGTGCCAGCTCTGACACATAGAACCTTCTGAGGCCAGATGGAATAACCAGATAACTGCCTACCCTTTAGGTACCTTCAGAGGATTGTGAACCATCCTACCATGTTACAGGATCCTGATGTCAGGGAATTTTTGGAAAAAGAAGAGGTTAGTATTGTATAAACTCAATGTTATAATTTATACCTGCTCTCTCCTACCCTAGTGAGACTAGTTCTTTCAGCAAGTATTTGAACATGTGATATGCCTAGTTAAACTTGCTTCGTGTGAGCCCCCATGAGTGACAAGTCTTTTTCAGCCTTTTAAGTAGAAGCAGCTCTGTCTGGTCTCCAAAGCAAGTGAATACCAAGGCCCAGCAGCTGCCCAGTTCTTCTGTCTTCCTGGATCAGCAGGGATGTGTTTAGGGAAGTCCTTGGCATGTCTTTCATGAGGTTACCACTTGGCTCAAATTGAATGCATATTTCTGTGCCAAGAGCCAGTTACCACAAACTACAGAACTGTCATGGAGCAAAAGTGTTGACTCAACTGGACAGTCTTATTTTTTAAAGCCTTTGCATAGGCTATTCATGATTATGAAAAATTGGAGACTGCCCAATTGCCACCAATTGAAGAATTAGGAAAAGATACATCAGTACAACAAATACTTTATTCTTACAGAAACATGCGTCCACAGTTGCATACATTAAAAGCATTTTACAAAGAGAAATGAGAGTACATAAACACAGTTGTGGAAACACGTAAGTCATTAAGGATCATAAGAAATGCTGGTGTTAAACAATGCTTTATGTCATCGAAAAGAAAACTAAGGAAGTGACAGCCATAGGACTACCATTGTTTTATCCTAAAATTTTTATTAATTTGTATTGACATGTGTTATTGTAATTAAGAAGATGGTACTAAATGTATGGGATTTTTTTTAAATCAAAATGGTAGATTTTAATTAAAAATTCCGTCAAGGTGGTGTTTGGCCAAGCAGTTAAAAGATGCTGCTTCTGCTTGAGACAGTTAACTACAGCCACTGTCTGAATGTCCCCGTCTGCCCCGCAGTGCGGCCTCCTGCTAGCGTCTACCTGGGAAGGCAACAGAGGCACTCTGAGTAGTTGAGTCCTTGGCACCCGGGTGGGAGAGCTGGATCGAGTTTCTGGCTGCTGGCTTTGGCCGTGCCCAACTCTGGCTGATTGTAGGCATTTAGGGAGCAAACCAGTTGATGAGATACCTCACACTCTTTTTTCTTTTTTTTTTTTTTTTTTTAATTGGAAAGGCAGATATACAGAGAGGAGGAGAGACAGAGAAGATCATCTTCCATCCGATGATTCATTCCCCAAGTGGCCACAATGGCTGGAGCTGAGCCAATCCGAAGGCAAGAGCCAGGAGCCTCTTCCATGTCTCCCACGTGGGTGCAGGGTCCCAAGGCTTTGGTCTGTCCTCGACTGCTTTCCCAGGCCACAGGCAGGGAGTTGGATGGGAAGCAGGATCTCCGGGATTAGAACCAGCACCCATATGGGATCCTGGCACATTCAAGGCGAGGACTTCAACCACTATGCTATTGCGCCAGGCCTGAGATACCTCACTCTTAAATAATTTTTTAAAAAATTCACAACCAGTTGGTTTAAGCCTTTTAATTCCTCCCTTAGGCATTCCTAAATTCATGCTTTAGACCCCTGGAGCAGTTTGTCTGTCAGAGCACCACGGACCCTGCGGTGGGATCATTGTGCCTGGGATCTGCCCCGTGCTGTGTGATGCACCATTCCTGGTGTCCTCTCACTGACACCAGGGTGTCAGTAACACCCTCTCCCCAGTGGTCATGTTGGAAACTATGTGCAGCCAGGGCTGGAGGTTCCCTCGGGGGTCAGTGTGGTCCCAGGGGGAGAGCTGCTGTCACAGAGCTCAGTGTCTGAGCGTGGTACACTGCCCACACTCCATGTTCCTTGGCATCCCTTCCACGCCTGGGGGAAGCAGAATAAGACGAGACCAGCAAGTGACTGCTGAATATCCGGCATGCTTGGCTTAACTAGGTCATCCCCAAAAGTCGTCTCAGTTGGCATCAATACAGCTCCCATCCTCGGACATTTGTTCGCTGAGGGAAATCTGACTGGAGCTTCAGCACAGCTTCAAAGCCTTCCAACACTTATTTTTTTTTAAATCCATTTGTGTGCAAACATGCTAATTCAAAGGAAATTTTGACTTTTCACAAAAGCATGCTTGGTATTTGAGCAACTCATATCTCAGTGGGTAGACAATCTCAGTGCAGGGTCACCTGCTCCTGGAACATTCCCTCCGTGCACGTATCAAGGGCAAGCATTTTGTTATTTCTTTTTTTTTTTTTTATTAGCATGGTAGTCTGATTTTTCTTCCTGCATATATTATTCCATCCACAGTTCAGATAGTGTGTCGGGCAAGTTTGGGGCATGTATCCAACAGAAACACTAATTCTTCAGAACCTAAACTAGGGGCAACAGGTAACCTGCCACGCCCGCCTTTGGTCTTGTAGCTGCCACGTGCCTTGGGTACACAGACCTTGAGTGGGGCTGGCCTCCTCAAGATGTTTAACAGAGCCACAGATGCGGTCAGCAAGATGACCATCAAGATGAACGAGTCCGACTTCGTGAGTAGCCCCATTCCCTGCCTACCTCCCACCCCCAGGCTCCCCGATCCGTGGCCAAGGTTTAGATGAGAAGTCCCAAGGAGTGCGGCCACTCCAGACAATTACTAAAGCCCATCCAGTCCCTTTTTGGGAGGTGGGGGAACCTGGAGGAAAGACGATCTGCACCCAACCACTTGAGCGCCACTAAAAGCCCTGGGCTTGTGTGTTTCAGTGGTTTGAGGAGAAGCTCCAGGAGATAGAGTGTGAGGAGCAGCGCTTACGGAAACTGCATGCTGTTGTAGAAACCCTAGTCAACCACAGGAAAGGTAATGACCTCTGAACTCTCAGTGGCGCCGGGGGAGGTGGCTGGCTCCAGTGAGTCGGAGAGGGGAGGGCATGGCGTTCCTGAACCTCTCAGCCATCCACACTTGAGTTCTCCGCCTACCTGGTCCTTGATGTTCTGATCAAAATAATAGGTTCACCTCTGCTGGCAGGAAACATGATTCAGCCAGCACAGGCTGGCCCCGTCACCTGCCCAGGAGGGATGCAGGGCAGCTGTCCAGCGACAGCTGGCTCTGGAATGTGGATATCTGTCACTCAAATGTGAGTGGTAGCTGAGTGGTGGTGAACACACATGCGTGAGCTGCCTGGGCAGAGCAACAGTGCACAAAGGCTCACGGCCAGCTCCGGCTCCTGTGCTCATCCTGTTAGCGTTCTGCAGTGAGATATGCTGAGTTAGTGGGTATTTTCACGCATGTATACTTTCCTTCTCTGCCTTAAACGAAACAGGCAGAAGACCAGTCTAAGAGTTGCTGAATTGTGACCTGGCCCTGGGGCCCAACTGTCACCATGAGCTAAGAACAGTTTCCCATTTTGAAAGGGTGCAGTAGGAGTGGAGGTGGCGGAGCAGCAGAGACCACATGTGGCCTGCAGAGCCTGAAGTTCTTGCTGTCGGCCGCTTACAGAAAGCAGGCCCTGCCTCAGGGCGCCCAGGACTGTACTGCACGCATGCTCACTGGGCAGACCTGCTGCTGGCCCCCAGCATCCACATACCATCAGAGGCATGCCTGTCCCTGGTTCTCCAGGAATATTGCAGCTGCTTCTTCCAGGTTGGCCTCATCCAGTGCCTCTTGGGATCCCAGGGGCCACTCCTGCTCCTAGGGCTAGGCCACATTCCCTTTGCTTTGAGTGACTGAGCAGCCAAGCCTGCGGTTGTCGGATGTGCGGAGACTGAGCCGTGCCGTGCAAGGCCAGCTAACTGGTCCCTCTACTCTGTGAGCCCTCAGGACCTCTGTTGTCTTTCCGTCCCTTGCAGAGCTAGCTCTGAACACAGCCCAGTTCGCCAAGAGCCTGGCCATGCTCGGGAGCTCCGAGGACAACACGGCGCTGTCGCGGGCGCTCTCCCAGCTGGCAGAGGTGGAGGAAAAGATCGAGCAGCTCCACCAGGAACAGGCCAACAGTGACTTCTTCCTCCTGGCCGAGCTCCTCAGTGATTACATCCGCCTCCTGGCCGTCGTCCGTGTAAGCTTGTTTGCTGGCTCCTCCCTCCCCTCCAGTGGACTTGGCCTTCCTTGTCCTGGCTCCTCCCTTGCCCGGGAAGTCACATCCCATCAGCCCTTCTTTCACTGCAAAGAGAAGGCACCATGGGAGCCAGCCAGTCCGTCGGACACTCTGAAGCACGTGGCAACCCACAGCCAGCTTCCCGGGTGCAGTGGGAGAAGTAGCCATGCCTGAATGTCCAAGGAGGCTCCCGCGTGGCTGCAGCCATCAGTGTTCTCTGGGTACCTTCCTGCTGGCCCAGCTGCTGCCACCTGCTCTCCTGGTGCCAGAGCTTCCCCAGCCCTTGGGTTTTGTCCCTCTAGCGGTCCATAGTGGCCTTGCCCCAGTACGAGTTCTTAGTGGTTTCTACCTGTCCGCCCCTGTGGACAGTCATGTGACTATACGGGTCCAGCTGGGTGTTGTGTCCAGGGAGTGTGACCAAGGGACCGAGAGGACTCATCACCAGAGCCTTCCCCTTCTGTGCCTTGCACTCAGGTGACAGCACTGCAGACTGCCCTGGTTCTGGCGACCAGGACATTCTCCGAGTACTTCAGGAGGCCCAACTGGAGGCATTAGCGGTCTCCCTCAGGAGAGCAGGAAACCAGGAGAGAGCCTGGCACCCATGCTGCCAGATCTGGGTCTCCCTCAGTTGTGGCATGAGATCAGGATGGGTGAGCACGGGAACGGAGGTTGGCCACCTCACTCCCACCTCAGCAGCCAGAGCAGAGCCTCTCCCCACGTGCCGAGTAAGAGCTGAGTGTGCCAGGACCCCTCTCAAGGCTGTGTGGATTGCCGCTGGCCTCCCAGTGACGAGAGCCTGGAAAGTGACCTGCTGTGGGCTTCTTAGAACTGGTCCAACCACTTGTTTGGATAGGAAACCACTCTTTACCTAGCCCTTTGACTTGAGATATTAAGAAACTGCAAGGGAACAGCAGGGGCAGTGCTGGGGAAGGTGACTTTACAGAGCATTCACTGAAGTCCTGAGGAGGCCTGCAAAGGGAACTTGTGCAGGGAAGGCAGGCCGGCCTCAGCTCAAGCCAGCAAGTGTCCTTTGGAAAGGAAAAAGACTGGCAAGGGGACTCTGAGGAGCTTCCTGGAGGCCTGGATAGTTTTGAGCAGGTGTGTATATGGTAGGGGTGAAAGCAGTGTCCCCAGGGTACTTCCAGGATTTGTTAAGATCCCCCTGTGTGCAGCTGAGGAGTCAGGTTTGGTTTCTGTTCTCTCTGCGAGGCAGATCTGCTCCTGCACAGCTGGGACTGGGCGAGGCCAAAGCCAGGAGCAGAGAACGCAATCGAGTTTCCTAAGTGAATAGCAGGGACCCAGTGCCTTGGGCCCTCACCTGCTGCTGCCTCTCGGCATTTGCACTGGCCGGAAACTGGGGTCAGGAGCCAGGGCCGGGTGTCGGGCCTGGGCACTCTGACATGGGACAGATACCTTAACTGGTATCTTAACCACCATGCCAAACACCTGCCCCACTTTGGGTTGGTTGGTTGATTTTAAATTATTTCAAAGACAGAGAAGTAGAGAGACAAAGTGGATCTTCCATCCACTGTTATACTCCCCAAAGGCCACAACAGCAAGAGCTAGACAAGGCCAAAGCTAAGAGCCAGAAACTCCCTGCTGGCTTCCCAGGCACATGAGCAGGGAGCTAGGCAGAGAACAGAGTAGCCAGGACTCAAATCAGCACCAGGACGCCAGAGTCGCAACTGGTAGCCTAGCTGTGCCACAACAGACCCATCTGCCCCAATTTAAAGGTTGGAGTTCACAGACACATCTTAGAGGAAGCTAGGCCCTAGTTTGATGGCCGAGTTGCCCGCTGGTTTTTCTAGTGCTTTGCATACCTGTACTTGGTACTGTCATCTTGGCCTTTTCTGCTAAATGAAAATTCCCTGAGGCCCGGGGCCCTGGGGTCCTTTGCCACCATCCTCTCACCTCCTGGCACATGGCAGCATGGTATGGAGCCTGGCATCAGGCTTCCCACTCCTGACCGTAGTCCCAGCCATTGGGCCCTGGGGAGCTCCATGTGGCAGCCTGGTGCTGGCCCCCTGGAAGCCGGGAAAGGGGTCCCACCCCAAGCCTGTGCTGCAGGTCTTTATACTTCCTAGCCAGATATGAACTCCGAGATGCAGAGCCTGACCCAGGTGTGGCTGCTGGGAGAGCTGCCCCTGCGGCTGGGCCAGGCTGCTCCCAAAGAGCTGATTGTTCCTCTCCCCCAACCTCTAGGCTGCCTTTGACCATCGCATGAGGACGTGGCAGCGCTGGCAGGACGCTCAGGCCACACTGCAGAAGAAGCGGGAGGCAGAGGCCCGACTGCTGTGGGCCAACAAGCCAGACAAGCTGCAGCAGGCCAAGGAGGAGATCACCGAGGTGAGCCCAGCCCCGTCCCTTCCTGCTGTGGTTGGGGGTCCTGCCTGGGTGATTCAGGCAAGCCCTTCAGAACTCATGATGTGCTGGGGGCTTCCCCTCCTGTGAGCCCCAAATGTGGATACAGCCGGAATCCTGGGTTGCTGGAAGAGCAGGCTTGGCCCTGGGGGCGCAGGGCACCTCCTTCGCAGCTAGCGTTACCTGGCTTTCTGCTCTGCTCTGCCTCAGTTTACATGCTGAACCCCCAGGTGCCTGCTGCTCCACGAGGCAGGGGTCGGGGTGAGCACGTCAGACACGGCACCACAGCCACCCCAGGGAGCTTTAGTGAGCCTGTCTCCTCTCTCCCCAGTGGGAGTCACGCGTGACTCAGTACGAAAGGGACTTTGAGAGGATCTCAGCAGTGGTCCGGAAAGAAGTGATCCGTTTTGAGGTGAGCTGGGAGAGCCTGGGCTTGCTCTCCCAATCCTAGGCCCATGTTGTGCTAGGACTGTTGCTTTTTGTCCAGCCCAGAGGGTAGGAAGACGGGGACACGGTGATTCTGGGGAACAGGCCTGGGCTGGCGTGTGTGTGCATGCATGTCCTGAGTGTACATTTCCACACGTGTGCGCACAGTGGTTCCCAACCCACCCTAGCTGTCTACCCAGCTAGACTGAGAAGGCACAAAGCAGAGGCTGCCCGCCCCGGTCTCCTGTGGGCCTCCCACCCCTGAGGACGCCTAAGCGGAGGCTGTTTGGCTGGACCTGGCGGCTTGGGCAGCAGCTGGCTCTGTCCCCTAAGGCTGTGTTTGGCCTTGGTCAGCAATAAACACCACCAGCGCGTCAAATGGGGAAGGAGCAACTGTCTGCGTGGTCAGAGTAGAATCCTGTCTCCCCTAGAAAGAGAAATCCAAGGACTTCAAAAACCACGTGATCAAGTACCTGGAGACACTCCTGTACTCACAGCAGCAGGTAGGCTGCACTTGACCTTTGTCCTCCATGGCCTGCCTGTGTGGGGCCGCACTGATGGGAGCCCAGGCAGGCTGCGACTTGCTTTAATAAGCGGGGGCCTAGCAGGGCTGCTCTCATGCTGGGGAGGGAGGGCGGTTTAAGAACCACCTCATCACTCCTTTCCCTGTGGCTCTGGTGGCCAAGGCCACAGCAGGCTTGTGGAGTAAGTGGCCCATCTGAAAGGGATAACAGAACCAGGCAAAGTGGTGGCCCCCTTGGGGGTACTACATCCAGGGCAGGCCAAGACTACTTCAGAGACCACTGCCCTTGCACTTGGGACTCAGGAACCAAAGCTTGCGCCAGGCCACCGTCCACCTGTGCCCAACTCCTCCCTGCCCAGCCCCGTCCACCTGTGCCCAGCTCCACCTGTGGGTGGCTCAGGGCCGCAGCCCTGGGCTTGCTCCTCTCTCAGGCTCTGCCACTAGAGGGGGCACTCCCTTACTTTCCCCCACTTCTTTGCAGCTGGCAAAGTACTGGGAAGCCTTCCTTCCTGAAGCCAAGGCTATCTCCTAAGGGACCAAGGACCCCAGAGCCACCTGCGTGATGCTGCCTTTTTCTACACTGTCCTCCTCCACCGCGATGGCCCCCAGTGATGCATCCTGTTCAGACCGGACTTTCCCCTCTGCTCACCCTTCAACCACACCTTCCTTCCCTCCCCTGTTTACTCTAACCATAATTTCATTTAGCTTCTATATATATTTTCTTACCTAAGAGAATAGTTTCCTGCTTTAAGCAAAAGACCTACAGTAGGTGGTGGAAATACGGGATGGGGTGGAATATTGATATAAATATATAAATACAAATGTATATTTTTCAGGATGTGGCTTAGGAACTGGGAATAACGTTTTCTGTTACTCCTGATGGTGCCATGAAAAGATTATGTAATAAAATATTTTAAAGCCGGGTCATGGGCCACACCGGTGCTCTGTGCTTCGTGCTGGGGCATAGCAGGAGGCGGGGCTGGGTCAGCACTCCAGGCGCAGGGGCAGGGCCCAGCTCCCACCAGGGGGTGGCCTTTGTCTGCTTGCCCTGTGTCCCTAAGCTGCCGGAGGCCAGAATCTGGCGCCTGGCAGCAGGTCTTGTGATCCCCATCACCACCCATGCCATCGTCCTCAGCAGCCAGGCGGCACTCGGGTGCAAAGGACTGATAAGGGCCCGGTGCTTCCCCCGGGCACAGGAGCCGCCCAGGAAGAGGACGCACAGCAGAGCCCCGTGTGTCACAAGCACAAACTGGGAGGGCCTTCAGGTGCTGCTCTGCTGTGTGGCCCTGGGCTGCCCCAAGTCATAGCTCCATCACTGCCAGGCAACCTGGCAGCTGCAGCCAGGCCCTAGCTGAGCTCACGGCTCCCCTGTTTGGCCCAGCCAGCCAGTGGCCACCCCCCGCCTCACAGTCTGGGACCTGCTCTGTCTGGTGGCTAAGGTGGGTGGCCCAGGTTAAGGGCAGGGCAGCCTGGGGTAGCAGAGCAAGGCCAGAGCTGGGGGCAGAAGGTACTCTCCACCCCCACCCCCACATTATCACCGCTGAGCCTGCCACTCCTCCTCACACGTGCCCTGCCACGGGGTAGGACGGCACACACTATTTTCTGCCCTGCTTTTATCCTTCAACACTGTGTGTGACATTTTTTCCACATGGTTATCTTCACAAACCTCTTTCAGGGAGAGGCTGTCATGTCAGGGGGAGGCCGCATCATAGTTCTCATTCAGCCCTCACTGGGTTCTGGTGTTCCTTGCTTGTTGGTGTGCAATTTTAGAACTCTGAATATGACTTCAGACTGATAGCAAAAAGTTGCTGGAACAGCTCAGAGAACTCTGGCCTTTCCTGAAATGGGCCTGGCACGGCAGGTAACTGAGTCACTTGAGAGTACACCGTCAATAGTGTACCCCATCACGCCGCAAATGAAGAGCCGTGAGCAGAACCTGCAGGTGTTACCACTGATGTGACAAGAGATACCTTTGACACCTGTCCCCTACTGACACTGGTGGGGTCTCTCTCCCTCTGGGCAGGACCGTGTGTCACACTTCAGTGTGACCTGGGACCACATGTCTCCTGACAGCCTCTCTCAGCCTGCTGCATCTGCATCCCAAAAGCACGTGCCTGCTCAGGGGGGTGCTCCCTGTGGGTGGGCCGCCGGGGGCTGCAGAGCGACAGGGTTGGTCCCCAGCGCCTTGAGCCTGGGGCTTGCTCTGGTCCCAGTAGTGTTTCCAGTCCCTGGGTGAGGCCGACATTGGCCAGGTTCCACCTCCATTTCACATTCGCTGTTCCTCCCTCTGTAGTTAACAAGTCATCATGGGGGGGGAGATTCACTTAGGGGTCAAAGAAAGAGGCACGGATGGATGAGTGGGCTCACTCAAGTCAGTCGTTACTAGGGCTGGGGCCTTGCCCACACTCATCTGTCCGCCTGTTCATTAACACAGATGCATGGAAACTCAGACAGCTCCACCCTTCCTGCAGGTGTGTGTGTATGTGTTTTTTACCTTGTCCCCTTTGTTCTCTGAGCCCTTTCTTCCAGGTTTGCCTTGAATCACTCCCTGTCCCAGTCCCACCATCTGCATCTTCCCCAAGGACTCTTGATTCCTTGTTTATGGCACATGATACTTAGAGACCAAGGTCCAGGTGCCAAGGGTGCCTGTTGCTTCTAGGGCCTCAGCAGACAGAGCCAGGAAACAGACGTGGGCAGAGAAATCCCAAGAGGTTCACACATGACAGACTCTAGGAGTGGTGGACTTACATGGACACCTCAAGCCCAGAAACCCCATGGGGTGATTCTAGCTTTTCCAAAGAACTGTCTCACAAGTTTCATAAACTTGCAGGTGTGGTCATCGAAGTATCTAGCAGGCCACTCAGCAGGGACACGCCAGTAGAGCCGGGTGCTTGGAGTGGGCTGGAAAGAGGGAGAGGGTGCCTGCCCCACAGCTGGGGCTCCTGCCCTCTGCCTGAGACCAGAGGGAGGCACTGTGAGGGCAGCAGACAGCTGCCCCAGCAGGGGGCGCTCCTGCAGGGAACAACGCCCGGCCACTGTCAGCTTGAACCTGCAGCCTCCAGAGCAGCCAAGTTGACCCCATGCTTGGCAGAAATGAGGGGTCAGCATGGTGGGGCGGCTTGACAGGTGGAGATGAATCAGTGTGACCTGAGCAAGGGCCCCTGCCCTGCACTAACTGGCCATGTGTCTGTGTCTGGCTGGGGTACTGAGTGGAGAGCAGTGTCCCTGGCACAGGAAACCAGAAACCAGTTAGGAGCAAATGGGAGGGAAGCAGTGAGGACAGTGAGTCCTGTGGGTGTAAGAGGCTCCTCTGGGTGGGGAAATTATTGGGGGGGAGGGGGTGGAGCTGGTGAAGGAGTAACCAGGAGTCTCCTACCAGGGACAAAGTGCAGGCCAGGGCGTGGAAAGGTGGAGCCTCGCCCTGCTGGGCCTTTGGGCAAGGGAGGTTAAACTCGGAGGGGAGTGGCTTATTTACCTATGTGAGCCAAGAGGGCTGGCTAACCCAAGGGCCCCGCACGTCCCCTCAAGTATCCCTCCTAGAATCTTGAGCTCTTGGTATTCAGTGCTGGCACTGCGGCTGCCCTTGCGCCAGGACCTACACCGTGTCTTGGAGACTCTGCTCAGTGGGCAGAGCCAGCCCTGAGCGGAGAGCTGGAAACACGGGTGAGAATGACGTACGTCACCTGCCAACGTCTTATGGTGCCCGTTGTGTGACTTTTAGTGTCTTCCACAAACTATAAATCCTGAGGTCAGCTGGATTTATAACTCCCTGACCCTTGGCCAGAGATTTGAGCTTAAAACAGATGTCAAGGGGCCCATGTTGTGGCGCCACCGTAATGCCCACATTCTATATGAGTTCAAGTCCCAGCTGCTCCGTTTCCTATCACATTCCCTGCTGATGCACCTGAAAAGGCAGCAAGTGATCACACAAGTACCTATGTGGGAGACACAGATGGATTGCTGATTCTTGGCAGTCTTGTTGTGCTACTGAGGGCATTTGGGGGGTAAACCAGTGGACAGAAGACCTCCAACTCTGCCTTTAAAATAAATATTTTGGGGGGCTGACACGGTGGCTCAACAGATTAATCCTCCACCTATAAGTGTCAGCATCCCCTATGGATGTGAGTTTGTGTCCCGCTGCCCCACTTCTGATTCAGCGCCCTTCTTGTGGTCTGGGAAAATAGTAGAGTACGGCCCAAGTCCCTGGGCCCATGCATCCATTTTACAGACTTTGGAGGAAGTTCCTGGATCCTGGCTTTAGATCGGTTCACCCCGGCCCTTATGGCCACTTGGGGATGAACAATGAACCAGCAGATGGAAGATCTTTCTTTCTGTCTCTGTGTAAATCTGCCTTTCAAATAAAAATAAATATTTTTTAAAAAAATTGTGTTGGGACAGGTACTGTGGTATAGTAGGTAAAGCTACCACCTATGGCACCAGCATTCCATATGGGCGCTGGTTGGAGTCCCTGTTGCTCAACTTCTAATCCAGCTCCCTGTCTTTCAAGTAAATAAATAATAAGAAAAAATCCTAACAGATGCCCACTGAGGAATTGCAGCCCAGCAGGTGACATGGCTGCCCCAAAGTGGAGCCTGGGTCCCTCTGATCTCCCTGGCCTGGACCACAGCAGCACCAGTTCCTTGCCTGTCCCCAAAACCCGACACCAAGCACGCTCGCTTTCCCGTCTCCTGTCTGCATGGCCTTATCGAGGCTCGGCGAACGCTGGCTTTGAGCCTGTACCACCCAGTGCCACCCCGTCCTCCACCTCAGACCCACACCTGTCCGACACAAGCACGCTGCAGACAGGAGCAGGAACAAGGAAGAAGGCACCTGCCGGCATATCAGCACAGCCTAAGGATCCTTCCAGACACGCCCAGAAACCAAGTCCCTTCAGATAACTTTCCTAAGAGGCCCAATGTGCTATTGTTAGCAGTTGCAAAATCAAACCACTTGGGCCCGGCAGCACGTGGCCTAGCGGCCTAAAGTCCTCGCCTTGAACGCGCTGGGATCCAACATGAGCACTGGTTCTAATCCTGGCAGCTCCACTTCCCATCCAGCTCCCTGGTGTGGCCTGGGAAAGCAGTCGAGGACGGCCCAAAGCCTTGAGACCCTGTACCCACGTGGAAGACCCAGAAGAAGGTTTTGACTCCTGGCTTTGGATTGGCTCAGCTCTGGCTGTTGCGGCCATATGGAAGATCTTTGTCTCTCCTCTCTGTAACTCTGCTTTTCAAATAAAAGTAAATAAATCTGGGCTCAATGTGGTAGCCTAGTGGCTAAAGTCCTCACCTTGCATGCAATGCACCAGGATCCTAAATGAGTCCCAGTTCGTGTCCTGGCTGATCCACTTCCCATTCAACTCTCTGTCTGTGGCCTGGGAGGGCAGTTAGGGGCGGCCCAAAGCCTTGGGACCCTGCATTCACATAGGAGACTCAGAAGAGGCTCTAGGCTCTTGGCGTCAGAACAGCTTAGTTCTGGCCATTGTGACCATTTGGGGAGTGAATCAATGGATGGAAGATCTTTCTCTGTGAATCTGATTTTCCAATAAAGATAAATAAATCTTAAATATATATATATTTTAAAAAGATGCCATACAATTCTTGATAGACTGAGAATTATGCAGGAAGCAAACTTCCTGCCGAGGCTGCAGGTCACCTTGTTGACAAAGCGTGCCTGGATAGGTACGAGGCGTTTTCACTATGACTTCTCTCTTTAGTGATGGTGGCTTGAACATATGAGTACAAAGAAAGTTCTGGTAAATTCCGTTTCTGGCTAGTTCTGTTTATTTACTGGTATTGGTTCTTGTAACTCATGTTTACATATTGCGTTGCCTGAGACCTGGTGATTGTTTTTCAAATCCCTTGTGATCTATCATTGGAGTGGCTTGTATGCTATTGTTTCGTTAACTTATAACTTTTACCAGCCTGTTTGCTTTGCAGAAAATTGGTATAAGTTGCCCCAGAAAAATTCAATAAAGTGTGCATTGGGTCATTTCACCTTTGCCAAAAAGAAAAAAGATGCCATACAGTGATATTCAGTGGCAAGGGGAAATCGTATTTGGGGCTCGTAAAGCAGGTTACAGACACTGATGGCGCGTTCCATGTCTAGCCCAATTTGTTATATGGGAGTGATGTCAGTTGAACCATTAACCATGTTGTTGTTACAGCTGGAATTCTGCATGAGTTTTAATTTTTTAACCCATTTCACATTGCTTGAAATTTCTCTGTCGGAACATTATGATCAGAAAAACCAAATGAAATTATTTCCACTGTGGAGAAAACGCCTGCATCCCTTGTGGCCTGCTTCACGTTTAAATTGCCCCACGAGTCTTCTCAGGTCCACTGCCCATCCCTCCCCACACCACGTTCTAGTCCCAGCTCGCTTGCACCTACTGGACCGTCTCCTCTCCATGCTGGTCAGTTCTCAGACAACCTTCTCTGCAGCCTTGGCTCCAACATGCCCACTCAGGCCACAGCCTGGAGTTTTTCAGGAGTTTCTGAAATGTGGCCTCACTTGGGGCTCTGTGCACCTCACTGGGGTTGGCAGGTTGGGGGTTCCGTGCCCTTACTGACAGCCACCTGCCTCCACCAAGCCCGCCCCAGATAAGCCCTTCCTGTGTCATGGGAATGCCCCCTTGGCTGTGATGAGCAGGCCCCCACTTCCCATCCCTGGCTGAACAGAGGAAGCAGGCTGCTTATCCGCTTTAGGATGCTCTGTGTCTGGGCCCAGGAAAACCCCATGGAAGGCCCTGTCCAGGTGAAGCGGGGCCCTTTCCCTGCAGGGGCAGGACAGCTCTTTCTAAATGACTGTCCGCCCTGGGCTGCAGAGCCCTCCACTTCCCCTTCCACTATGAGTGGCAGCTGTGACACCCAGGGGGCCCAACTGGCAGATCTCCCCAGAAGGGAGCAGCACCTGGTGGCCAGCGCCTTCTCACTCAGGACCTCGTTGTTAACTAGAGTTGACTGGTGGGTGCTGTGCTCAGGATTTTAGACCCCTCAGCCCTCCAGCCCCTGCTGGGTGGGTAGCACTACCTCCATGAAGAGACTGAGGCTCGGGCAGCACGGGGGCGCAGCTGGTTGAGCTGCCATCTGCAGTGCCTGGTGGCAATCCATTTTGGAGCTATGGTTCAGTTTTTGGCTGCTCCACTTCCAATCCAAGCTCCCTGCTTGTGGCCTGGGAAAGCAGCATGTTGGCCCACGCGTGTGGGCCCCTGCACCCACGTGTGAGTCCCAGATGGTGTTCCAGGCTCCTGGCTTTGGTGCAGACCAGCCGCAGTGCTGCAGCCAATTGGGGAGGGATCCAATGATTGGAAGTATCTCTGTCACTCTGCCTTTTGAATGAATGAAAGAGGCTGAGGTATGTTCAGAGAACTAAAGCCAACCTGCCCAAGTTCACACCCAGAGTTAAGACTTAAACCCAGGGTCTGGCATGGTAGCCTAGCTGCTAAAGTCCTCACCTCAAACGCACTGGGATTCCATATGGGCGCCATTTCTAATCCCAGCGGCTCCACTTCCCATCCAGCTCCCTGCTTGTGGCCTGGGAAAGCAGTCAAGGACGGCCCAAAGCCTTGGGACCCTGCAGCTATGAGGGAAACACAGAAGAGGCTCCTGGCTCCTGGCTTTGGATTGGCTCAGCCGCAGCTGTTGCGGCTGCTTGGGGAGTGAATCATCGGATGGAAGATCTTCCTCTCTGTCTCTCCTCCTCTCCGTATATCTGATTTTCCAATAAAAATGAATAAGTCTTTAAAGAATAAAAAAGACTTGAACCCAGACCATCTAACTCAGCCTGTCTAAACTCCATGCAACACCATCCACACAGTTTGCACAAGAGCAGCCTAACGGGGCCAGCACTGTGACACCAGCATCCCGCATCAGGACACCACGTCAAGTTCCTGCTGTTTGGCCAGTGCACCTGGGAGGTCAGAGAAAGATGGCCTAGTGCTGGTCATCTCGGCACACGTGGGAGACCCAGCTGGAGTTCCAGGCTTCTGCCCCAGCCCAGGCCCGGCGGCAGCGGGAGTTTCACAAAAACACCAGCAGGCAGAAAATGTCAGCTTTGCTAAATAAGTGAAATTGCAAAAATAAATAAAAATAAATATAAAAGCAACCTAGACACCAACACAACAAGTTGTTTCCTTGAACACTGAGAATAAACAAGTGAGGCAGCAACCAACAGAATCGGGGACCAATACCCAGCAGACAGGGGACTAACATCAAGATCTACCAAGAGCTTCAGAGACTCAACTACAGCAAAGCAAACAATACTGTTAAGAAATGCATAAGACATGAGCAGGGCCCAGCGCGGTGGCGCAAGTGGTTAAGTCCTCGCCTTGCACGCCCGGGATCCCATATGGGCGCCGGTTCTAATCCCGGCAGCCCCACTTCCCTTCCAGCTCCCTGCCTGTGGCCCGGGAAAGCAGTTGAGGACGGCCCAAAGCTTTGGGACCCTGCACCCACGTGGGAGACCCGGAAGAGGCTCCTGGCTTCGGATCGGCCGTTGCGGCTCACTTGGGGAGTGAATCATCGGACGGAAGATCTTCCTCTCTGTATCTCCTCTCTGTATATCCGCCTTTCCAATAAAAAAATAATAAAAAAATAAAAAAAAATAAAAGAATAAATAAATAAATAAATAAATAAAAGAAAAGAAATGCATAAGACATGAGCAAATATTTTTTCTTTTTTTGAAAAAAAAAATGGCTTTTAGATGAAAGGCACATTTACAGAGAGGAGCAGAGGGAGAGGGTTAGGGAGGAGGGAGAGAGACATCTTGCATCCTCTGGTTCAGCTGTTCTGAAGCCAGAAGCTTCTTTCCGGGTCTCCTACATGGGTACATGGGTCCAGGGACTTAGGCCATCCCCCGCTGCCGCCCATCAATACAGGAATAAAGAAACTGGTACATCTAGTCTATGGAGTGCCACTCGGCCATAAAAAAGAATAAAATCCCACCATTTGCAACAAAATGGTCCCATCTAAACACCATTATGTTCAGTGAAATAAGCTAGTTCCAAAGAGACAAGTATCATATTCTCTCTGCTGTAAGGCAGCCTTTACACAAAACAGATACAGGTAAACAAATACATTCTCAGATGCATACACCTATTCTCATAGATGAGCTGTGTATTGCAGACTAGCATTGCAGGAAGTGAAGACACACTCCAGTGCACGTCTCTATTCCCACATAAAAGAAGGGCTCCCAATGAAACATTTAAATACATACCTTTATAGTACAAGGCTAGATTTCTACCTCTATCTGTATTTAATCATATCATGATACATTTAAATATAAGAAAGTTTAACTGTTACAAGAGACTAAACTACTGTGATATCAGGGAGCAAAATGGTGGGCAAGGAAACGGGAGGGTGGGATGGGAGAGGAAATAAGCCCCTATACATAAAACTATCGTGGGATATAAATAAAATTGCAAAATAAATAACAACAAGCAACCTTAACATCCATGCAACAAGTCGTCTCCATGAACACTAACACAGTAGGCCCCAGGCATCATCACCCACCTGTCCTTCCCCAGGAGCTGGGATGTTCACAGGCGCGGCACGGGCAGGCCAGCCAGCAGGGCAGGACAGGCAGCAGCTGGAAGACAGAGCAGTGTGGTGAGCAGCTGGCCAGCAGCAGAGCCAGGAAAGGTGACACCTGAACAGCCCTGGCCAGCACCCTGCCCACAGCCTCTGCCCGTCCCCCTAGCCCAAGTTCCTGACTCACAGCTCTCCTCCCAGCCAACCCCTAGGACTTGAGACTCCTCAGGGGTGACCAACAGCAGTGTCAGGAGCTGCCACCGGAAAAAGCAGCCTGGCAAAGCAGAAAGCCGGAAGGGCAGGGATGGCTCAGCCTGCTGCCCCACACCCCACTCCAGCCCTGGCTGCAGGTGTCATCGGAAGCAGACCCAGGCAGGGGACAGGTGGCTCCTCGGAGTGACACTGCTGCCTGTGCCTTGGGAACCACAGCTGCTGGTGAGAGGGGTCTTGCTAACCAGGCCATTCCTGCACCTGCTTCCGTTTCTCCTCCCTCCCATGTGGACGGCAGAGGCCCAAACACTTGGGCCATCTCCTGCTGCTTTCCCAGATGCTTAAGCAGGGAGCTGGACCCAAAGGGAGCAGCCAGGACTTGAACTGGTACCCATGTGGGACACCCAGGTGGTGCACAGCAGTCCATACCACGTGCCACACTGCCAGCCCCAGAACGTACTTGTTCAAAAGTAACCAGCAAGAACCCTGGAGGCAATGATGGTAAACCAGACAGCTGCTGTTCAACCTCTGCTTCCAGTTTTATTCCTGTGCCCCTCTGATGTGCAACATGGAATCAGCAACCGTTGATGGCAGGCAGTGAATCATCTTGAAAGCTCCTTACTGAAAGGAATACTCCCCCACCCCGATCTATTCATTTTTATTGGAAATGCAGATTTAAGGAGAGAAGGAGAAAGAGCTTCCATTGACTCGCCAAAGGACCTCAAAGGCAGCAGCTGCAGCCGTCCAAAGCTAGGAGCTGGATGGGAAGTAGAGCAGCTCAGCATGGGAACCGGCGTCCCCGCGGGATCCCGGCGCTTGCAAGGTGAGGATTTTGCCATTGAGCCATCACGGCAGGTTCACCCCTCCCCCCTTTTCAAAATTACTAACAATACCTACATGAGGATGCGCCCTGTGATGTTATATTACCCCCACTTGTTTTTTTCCTACCAAAGCAGCACATCGGCGGTTTAATATTTCCTGGGCACCAGTTAGGAAGCTTGATATTTACTGCGCTGGCACCGGGGCCCCAGGGAGGGGGCGGCCGCCAGGTCCCGCAGGTGATCGGAGCTGGGGAGGCCAGCCGGGATGAATCGGCCTGTGTGCGCCGCGGCGCCCGCCGGCCCGCCGGCCCGCCGCCCCCGGCTGTTTGTTTTCTCAGCGAGGCTGTCCCACCTCCGAGCGGCCGCGGCGGCGCGCAGAAGCCCGGCCGGTGAAAGGGGGCTTTGTGTCCCGGCGGCGGCAGCCGGCCAGCCCACCGCGCCGGAGCGGCCGGGCCCGCGGGAGAAGCCGGACGCGCGCCACGCTCTCCCCCTCGGGGCTCACCGGGGAGCTCCGCAGCCGGGACCCCGTGCGTGGACACGGCGACTGCAACAATTCCACGGGCCCGTGGGCCAACCCGCCACCGAGGGACACACCAGCCAGGGCGTCCGCTGCTTGGGGTCCGTGGGGGCGGCTCTCTGCCTCCAACCGCCGCTCCGGGGACTTACCTGGCGCCCAGTGTCTTCGCTTTTCCTTGGAAAATTCTCCGCCTTAGCGCGCCGACTCCGCGGACACCTCCTCCCGCAGTAAATCAGCGGCTTGGAACCTCACCTGTAATTAGGCATGCCAATCAACTAATGGAGGGGGGGGGTCTTACGGACACCTGAAGATGAAGTGAGTGAATCAAGTGGAGTCCAAAGAGGGAGAGAAAAGCCTTGCCCTTCAAAGTAAGCCTTAAAACTCAGACCGACACCCCTCCGCCCTTTCTTCCCCTGAAGACTCAGCCTCATCCTGGGGGTGCTGTCTCAGGCCCACGAGGACAGGCAGGCCTGGCTGGCCCAGCATCACTAGGTCACAGCCCTGGGTGGTGCGACCAGGAGCCAAATGGCCCCAACTCTCTGCGTCTAGATTTCTGAATAGCCCTGAGTCACATTACATTCCAGTTCTATCAGGCATGTCTCATCAACCTTTATAAAAAGATTTCTTTATTTTTATTGGAAAGGCAGAGCTACAGAGAGATTGATCTTCCATCCACCGGTTCACTCCCCAAGTGGTCACAACAGCCAGAGCTGAACTGATCCGAAGTCAAGAGCCTGGAGCCTCTTCCAGGTCTCCCACATGGGTACAGGGTCCCAAGGCTTTGGGCCGTCCTCGACTGCTTTCCCAGGGCACAAGCAGGGAGCTGGATGGGAAGTGAAGCTGCCGGGATTAGAACCGGAGCCCATATGGAATGCCCTCTTGTTAATCTTTTGTTCAACGATGGCTAAGAGGTCTGTGACAGCCGAGGAAAGGTCCATGTGCCTCCCCACTACACGGGCCCGCTAAGTGCTTGGCGCCAGGGAGACATGGAAGCAGGCAGACAGTGGCCACAGGCGGTACTGAATGCAGGCAACGCGGGAAAGCAGCTGAGAATGGGAGGGCGAGGTTGCCTGGTGAAGGGTGAGGAAGAGGGAGGAGATAGAGGGCAGGCAGCCAAGAGCTTTGATCGGAGCTGGAGGGAGAGGGTGGAGTGGGAGAAGCAGGCTTTGTGTGTTGTGGCATTCCCAGAGTAACTTTTCCTCTATGGGAAGTCACTGCAAGGTTTTTTTTTAAAAAGTTTTTGGGGGCCAGCGCGGTGACGCAAGTGGTTAAAGGTCCTCGCCTTGCACGCCCGGGATCCCATATGGGCGCCGGTTCTAATCCCGGCAGCCCCTCTTCCCTTCCAGCTCCCTGCCTGTGGCCTGGGAAAGCAGTCGAGGACGGCCCAAAGCTTTGGGACCCTGCACCCATGTGGGAGACCCAGAAGAGGCTCCTGGCTTCGGATCGGCATAGTATCGGCCCGTTGCGCTCACTTGGGGAGTGAATCATCGGATGGAAGATCTTCCTCTCTGTCTCTCCTCTCTGTATATCCGCCTTTCCAATAAAAAAAAAATAATAATAAAAATAAATCTTAAAAAAAAAAAAGTTTTTGGGGCCCAGCAGCGTGGCCTAGCAGCTTAAGTCCTCACCTTGAATACACCGGGATCCTGTATGGGCTCCGGTTCTAATCCTGGCAGCTCCACTTCCCATCCAGCTCCCTGCTTGTGGCCTCGGAAAGCAGTCAAGGAGGGATCCTGCACCCACGTGGGAGACCTGGAGGAAGTTCCTGGCTCCTGGCTTTGGATCAGCACAGCACCGGCCGTTGCGCTCACTTGGGGAGTGAATCATCGGACAGAAGATCTTTCTCTCTATCTCTTCTCCTCTCTGTATATCTGACTTTGTAATAAAAAAAAATAAATCTTTTTTAAAAAGTTTCTGTTGTTGTTGAAGATTTACTTATTTATCTGAAAGGCAGAGTTACAGACAGACTTCGACAGAGATCTTTCATCTGCAAACCCAGGGCTGGGCCAGCCCAAAGACAGGAACTTCTGGGTCTTCCACATTGGGTGCAGGGGTTCAAGGATTTGGGTCATTTTTTGCTGCTTTCCCAGGCCATAAGCAGGGAGCTGGATTGTAAACAGAGCAGCCAAGATTTGAACCAAGACTCACAGGGGATGCTGGCAGTGGCTTAGCCTGCGGTACCACAGCGGCAGCTCACAAGTAGGAATCTTGGTGGTTTGTGCCAAGGCCGGAGACTAGAGCCCCTGTGGGAGGGGGAGGCGAGGAGCCATGGGAGGCCTGGAGACAGAGGGGCACCAAGACGGCTGAGGATCCTGGAACGGCAGGAGCTGGGGGAGAGGCTGTCACCCAGGAGGGATGGGTCCTCACATCAGGGGGACCCTGGAGCTCCCCCAAGGAAATGAAAGCGCAGCACTTCCCCTCGCTGTGAGCCGCTTCCCTCCCAGAGGACCGCACCAGGAGCTGGGAAGAGTTCAGCTTCCTGAAAATGCTGCACGTGCGCAAGGGGCCGCGGGGGAGGGGGCACAGAGGGGAGATGCGTGGTGGTGGTGGTGGTGGGGACCCCCCTTGTCCTCCCAGCCCCTCCAGCACTAACGTGGTTTGCCCGGCCCTTCAGACGGGCACTGCTTTCTCAGTTCCCACCAAGCTCACGAGCAGTTGCCACTGGGCACTGACTTAGGACTTAATCACCTTCAGTCTCCCGATAGTGCAAAGAAACTTAAAATCCACGCTATGAGAAGAGCTCATGCAAAACGCATACTGCAAAAAGAGTAATCATGGATTACCGTGGGTTTTTTTTTTTTTTTTTTGGCATCAAAATGAATATCCATTCCATTTCCCACGACCTTCTGAAGTAGGTGTCCATTACCCCTAGTTTTGCAGGTAAGCCAAGACGCACGCAGTTCCAGAGTGGATGAGGATGGCATCGGAAGAACCTTGTCGCGGCGTGGCTCCGGCGGGAGTCCCAGGCCTGGGTCCCTGGCGGTGCGGCTGCGAAGGCGGGGAAGGGGCTGGGGCAAGCCAGGAGCGTCCCTGGTTGGCCCCAGAGCAGGTGGCCGAGGTCTGGGTCCCGCCTCCTCTCCCAGGTCTCGGCCCGCCACAAAGAACCGGCGACGCGCGCGTCCCTGGAAGCCTGTGGGCACCCGGGGAGGGTCTGGCGAGCGCCGCCTCACCCCAGCGAGCCGCTCCACGCGCGGTCCACCCGGGGCGGCGTCCACGCACCCGCCTAATCTCCGGCGCCCAGCGAGGCACGCCCGGGGGCCGGGCCTGCGCCTCGAGAGGCGGGGCGTCCGCGCCGGGGGTCGGCGCGCTGCCCGCGGCTGCCGAGTCGGGACGCGGAGATGCTGCAGGTTCACATCCCGTCGGTGGGGCCCGAGGCCGAGGGGCCACGGCAGAGCCCCGAAAAAGCCCACATGGTGAGCGGCGCGCCTCCGGGGGTGGGGAGCGGCCCGAGGGACCCGCCGCTGGTGTCCTGCCAGAGCAGCCTTGGGAATGGTGCTTCCTCCCCGGTCGTGCCGTCGACGCGTGCGGCTCCCTGCCGAGGGCTGCGGCGGCGGCGTGCGCGGGACTGGGTTGAGGATGGCTGCTTGGGTTCGCCCGCCCGGCGGACTGTGGTCTAGGGGCGGGGCGGCCAGGTGTGGGCAGGGCGGGAGAGCCCCCTGGAAGTCCCTTCAAGTGCGCGCTCCCCGACCCCACGGCAGGTGTTCCGAGTGGAGGTACTGTGGCGCGGGCGCAGGCACACCGTGCTTCGGCGCTACAGCGAGTTCCACGCGCTGCATAAGCGGGTGAGGCGGCACCCCCACCCCTACCCCCCTGCCCAGTACGCGCCCCAGCCCCTGGGAGACTGGGATGGAGATGGGGGGCGGCTCTGGGTCCAGCCTTGGCCACCCCACAGCGGCTGCTGCTTCAACCCTTGGAGAGCGCGTACCCGCGGGCAGTCTCCCTGGCGGCAGGGCACGGGCGGGCGCCGGGTGCAGATCCCAGCTCCCAGTGACCTTGCCCCTGGGCGCCCCGCCAGTCCTCGGGCAGTTGTCTGGAGAGCCTCTCGTCCTGGCTCGCCCAGCTTGGGGGGTTGCAGGAAGGAGTGGGGAGGGCTTCTGGCCCGAGGAGGGGGCTCCATAGGAAGTGTGGTGGGATGGCACCCCGGTAACCTCTGGCAGATCAAGAAACTGTACAGAGTGCCCGACTTTCCCTCCAAACGGCTGCCCAACTGGAGGACCCGAGGCCTGGAACAGCGCCGGCAGGGCCTGGAAGCCTACATCCAGGTAGGCAGGGTGGTTTGCTCATGATCTGAGCAGAGGTGTGGAAATCTGCGGGATCCGGGAGCAGAATACCCCTGACGGGCGGCAAGGACTGGTGGTGGCCCCCAGGCAGGAGGTGGTCACTGCTACGTCATTGCGCACCCTCCCTCTCCCCCAGTGAGGTCTTGTGTTCCCTAGTTATGGGAAGTGGATTGGGGTACTTTCCAACAGCAGTACAGCAGGCTTACAGGCCCCATGGCTTTTTGCGGGGTACAGCCCGTGTGGCTACTCCACTGACTTGGAATCCGTCCTTCTGTCGGGCCCCCCTTCCCACCTCGAGCTACTCTGGGCCCTGCATGGCAGCAGCTGCTTGCGTTGTCCTCTTTAGGGCGTCTTGTATCTGAACCAGGAGGTGCCCAAGGACTTACTGGAGTTCCTGAGGCTTCGGCACTTCCCCACGGACCCCAAGGCTGGCAGCTGGGGGTATGGAGAGCCAATGTTGTGTGTGTTGGGGAGCATGGGATGGGTGGGGGCACAGGGGCTGGGGCAGCCAGCAGGTGGAGTGGTGCGGCCTGATCCTGTGTTCTCGACCCTTGGGCACCGACCCTAGAAGGAGCTGTTTTTCAAGCCAACCTTGGCTAACCCCAGGCACCTCTGGAGCCTAGCTGGTTAACAAATAGAAGCAGCATCCCCGGGGAGGTGAAGTCTGCTTACCAAGTCTTTCTTCTTTTCAGCACCCTGGGGGAGTTCCTGCCTGGAGACAGCAGGCAAGTCCCAGCCCTGGGCTGCGCCTGGCTCCTGCTCCCCCTGGTGGCCAATGCAGGGAGGCGCGCCTGCTGCCTCTGGCTCGTGCCGCCCATCTCTCGGGCTGGGTTTTACCCTGTTGGGGCCTCCTGAGCCCAGGGCCCCCTCACCTTTTCCTTTTTGTTTCTGAGGGTCTCCACCCCCAACTCCCCACCCTTCGTGACACTTGGCCCTGCCCTTCCCACTCCCTTGTGGCTCAAAACCCTATTTCCTCCCAGCTCACAGCTGCACCACCGGCCGGTTGTCAGCTTCCAGAAGGACCCCTATGTCTGTGCCCCTTCCCCAGGTGAGGAGCTGGTCCACCCTTAAGGCCCAAGTGCGGGTGTGCTTCTCCTGGCTGTCCCCTCTAAATCCCGCTTGGTTCACCTGATCTCCATTCCACTCTAACTTGGCTCTTCCCAAGCCAGTAATGTGAACAGAATGGGACCTGGGATGCCACATTCGTGTGTGGGCTGCCTGCCTGGGCTTCTCAGCCTGCAGCTGCCCTCCCTCCTCCAGCAGCACCTCTGGCTGACGTCGTGGTGAGTGGAGTTCTCCAGGGACTCTACGGCTTCAGCATCAGCTCTGCCTCAACCCTGCCGGAAACCGCCGCTGCTCTGCCGCCCACACCTTGAGCAGCTGCCTGCTGGCACGGTCGTGTGCCTGGGCCCGAAGTGCTCATCCTCCTCTGGCCTGAGCCTGGGGCTTTGCCCAGAACGCTCAAGCCAACTCCTGTGCCCAGGGCAAGGAGCAGGGGCTGTTGACGACTGCAAGGTGGGCTCTGACAAGGCAGGCTAGAAGTAGGTGGCAAGCAGCTCCCAGACTGAGGCACAGCAGGCAGTAGATTTGAAGCCTTTGCTGGAACAGCTTGACAAAAGGTCGTGGCAGGGGCCAGGCACTCACTGCAGACCTGGGCAGGCACTGCAGGCCCAAGAACCCAGCCCACACACGGAATACAAAAAAAGCCCCTTTTTAATTGGTCAGTGTTGGTAGGAGTTTGTTACAAAAGTGGGCCTGAGGAATGTGGGGGCAGCAGGTCTGCTCCATCAGATGCCAGCACCAGGGCCGTGCAGCATGGAGCCACGCCCCTCAAGGGCAACAGGCCCCACAGGTGGTCGCTCAGAGGGAAGCGGTCTCCCGGGCCTACTCCTTGGCGATGGCGAAAGGCTTCTCGACCTCGATCTTGCCACAGTCGGCGATGATCACGTCCTTCAGGGGCTTGTCCCGGCTGTCTGTCTTGGTGCTCTCCACCTTCCGCACCACATCCTGCCGGGCACACGGGACGGCAGGGCGGGTCAGGGTAACCTCCTAGGGATGCGGGTCAGCGGCTGGGCTGCAGCACGCAGACCTCAGATGGCTTACAAGCATGGCAAGGCCAAGCCAGACGTGATGAGGGGTGGGCTGCAGGGGGGTGCTACCAGCTTCAATGGGGCCTCCTGGCTGGGCACCGAGGAAGGCAGGAGGTGGAAGGCTCTAGGGCCACCTTGGAGGTGTGGAGATAGAAGGCTGGGTCTGATATCTGTGGCTCAGGTGCTTTTGCAAACGGGAGGAATACAGGGAGTCCCCCTCCCCCAGGGTTCATGTCCTGTCCTGGAACAGACCACCCAGGTTGGCCGCCAGCTCCAGCCACTCACCATGCCCTCTAGAACTTTGCCGAACACGACGTGCTTGCCGTCCAGCCAGGCTGTCTTGACTGTGGTGATGAAGAACTGGGAGCCGTTGGTGTCTTTGCCAGCATTGGCCATGCTCACCCAGCCAGGCCCATAGTGCTTCAGCTTGAAGTTCTCATCCGGGAAGCGCTCTCCATAGATGCTCTTTCCTGGAGTGGGGAGGTGGTCAGGGAAGCTGGGCTGGGGTGAGGCCTTGGGGGCTAGGCCTGTCAATCTGGACTGAGCACAGATCTAAAGCATCCACTCCCACCTCTGGCCTCAGAGCCGGACCAAGTGGGGCCCAAGGCTGCTGCACAAACAGCGTGCATGTGGCTAAGGAAGCTTTCCCAGAGGATGGGCTTTGTATTGTCAGCTTCCCTCGGCTATAAGCAGAGGACAGCCGGACAGAAGCTGTGGAGCAGGCCAGTGAGGGAAGGAACCCGCCAGAAAGAAGACTGCTATAGCTGACCTGCTGGTCTTCTCAAGGGCACAACAGGCACAGCAGGTGGGGCCTGACGGGTCTCTCATCACAGAGGGAACACAAATGGCAAGTGGCTGGGAGTGTGTGTGAGGTGTCTGCAGGGCCAGGGCAAATGGCAAAGGGAGCAGGCAGTGGACTGCTGCTTGGCTGCAGAAATACTGGTTCTGGCTCCCCTTGGGATGCAAAGATTTACACTGCACGACAGTGTTCAAGAGGGACCGAGAAATGCAGCAATAAAGCCATGTTCACTGTTTCACTAACACCTTGCCACTTTACTTATACCCCCATGGCACCCATGTTCCTCTTGCAGGCCCACAGGGCGGAACCAGGGAGCCGTTCCTGAGTGAGCGGCAGGTGGAAGGCTGAAAACTCGGACAGACCGGACCCTGGCTGGAGGGGCTGGGTGTCTCAGCTGGTGTGCACCTCTCACCCTTTTCCCAGGAGAGATGAAACTGCCAGCGTCACACGGTGACTGCTGGCTGGCAATGCCCCTCCTTATTGGTAGCAGGTGCTGTGGTACAGCACGCTAACCTGTCACTTGTAACACCCACATCCTATGTCAGAGCACTGGTTTTAGTCCTGGCTGCTCTGCTTCCAATCTGTCTGGTCCAGCTCCCTGCTAGTGGCCTGGGAAAGCAGCAGAAGGTAGCCCCAGTGTTTGGGTCCCTGCCATCCATGTGGAAGGCCTGGGTGCAAGTCCCAGCTCCTGGCTTTGGCCTAGTCCAGCCCCAGCTCTGGCAGGCATCTGGGGAGTGAAGCAGCAAATGGAAGAACGGTCTCTCCCCACTGCCTCTTTGGCTATTCTCTAAATCTGCTCCCCTGGGGTTCAGGCCCAAGTCGCCTTGCTGAGGCTCTGCCTCCCCTTCTGCCCCTCTGGGACCAGGCCATTCCCTCACACTTCCTGGACCAAGCCCTATGGTCCTGGCTTCTTCCCACTTCCCCCACACCTTGGGCCAAGCTTCTGCCCTAGAGAGAACAAGACTCACCCCTACATCCCGGCCCCTCTAAGATCCTGGTCAAGGATTCCTGCACACTCACCAGGCTGTTTCCGGGCCAGCAAGCCTGGACTCCCCTGTGTGTCAGCACCTTGGAAGTGGCTGACGGCTCAGCGCCCACCACTCCCCTGGAGACACCACCAGCCTTCTGTCATGTGTGCCTTATGCCCTCTGTCCACTGTGACCTGAACCGTGGGTGCAATCTCCTGCGGGGTACCTGGCTTTCGGGCTTGTTCCCTTTGTGCTCGCCAGCTGCACGCTGAGGTACACTGTTCTACACACCGGCCCATGGACACCTGTGAGCCTGCAGGTGTGGTGTGGGCAAGTGGGCGGCTGGTCCGCGTGCCCTCACACCCTGGGCACCATCACCCACTGCTGCAGGGAGCCCCTCAACAGCCACAGTGTGGTCTGGGTGCCAGTACAGGCTTTGTGTGCCTCATGGAGACTGGCCGCCCTGGGCATCTGCACTGCACTCCTGGAGTCCGGGGGAGATGTCACCAGGCTGGCTGTAGGTGTGCCGCAGCAGGTCTGTCTGCTCCTGCCGCTTGGTACTGGGTTCCCACCACCAGGAAGATGCCCCTGCTCTCCATGCAGGAGACAGACCTGCCCCCAGAGCAGGGGGACAAGGCCACATCTACTCCACATAACCCAGCCCCGCCACCTTGCAAGCTGCAGGGACAGATGCCCCAAGGACCGGGGGTTACCTCCTGTGCCATCTCCCCTGGTGAAGTCTCCACCCTGGATCATGAAGTCCTTGATCACACGATGGAATTTGCTGTTTTTGTAGCCAAATCCTTTCTAGAGAAAAGGGTGAGCGGGTAAGGTGGTGTGGCACACAGGACCCAGCCTACAACTCATGCACATGGCCCAGGAGACGCTGCCACAGGGCACCCTACGAGCTTGGGGTGCCACCTGGGAAGCAGTCCCCAAAACACCTGGGCTTCCACATGCTCCCTCCCCACCTCTACACGATTCCCACGTTGTCTGCAACACTGGCTCACTTAATACCTGTCCCTTCTCGTGTCTTCTAGACAGAGGGAGGGATGCCAGAAAACCACCTCTGCCACCCAGGGGGAGACCCAGACAGGGTTCAGGGCCCCCGGCTTCTACCTGGCCCAGCCCCAACTGTTGCGGGCATTTGGAGAGTGAACCAGCAGGTAGACTATTCTGCTCTCTGCTTCCCAAATGTAATTAAAACTCAAAAAAAAAAAAAAAAAAAAAAGAACAAAAAACCCGCCTGCTGGTCAGATGGGAAGTTGGTCAGATGGGAAGTTAGCATGCAAACTGTTTAACACAGACACTGTTGGTACCTTAAAGCCAGCTGTTATCTTAGTGGATGATGACCCCCTTTTGGAAAGCTCTGGGCCCCTTACACTTAAGCCCTGACAACCCTGGGGTTCCTGGGTAACGCCTGGGCGAGGGTGCCTCTGCTGCCATCCCAACTGCTGACTGCATCCGAGCCCACAGCCCCGGCCCCACTCACTCACCTCTCCCGTAGCTAAGGCCACAAAATTATCCACCGTCTTTGGAACGGTCTTTCCAAAAAGGCCAAAGACCACCCGGCCTACATCTTCGTCCCCAATTCGTAGGTCGAAGTATACCTGGTGGGAAAAGAACAAAGTTATTCTTTGCCAAGGGAGGGGGACCGGGAGGGAGGGAGAGCCCTATTTTTAGAGCAGCAAGAATCCATCCGAATCTGTTCTGGGGGGGAAGGGGAAGGGCTTTTTTTTTTTCTTCCCCTGGAAAACTCTCCTTAAAAGACTACAGGATAACAGCGTTTGCCATTTTAGCAGACACAGAATTGAGAAATGACCCTTTGAAAAAGCCCATTCAAGACCAGGGCCAAGCCACCTTCCACGTTTAAGCTACATTCACGGGACTGTTTACTTGGAAATGCTGTCCGCACCGCAGGGTATCTGCAAATCGCTCGGAGGCTGCCGGCCCCGGCTGGGCATCCCGGCCCCGGCTGGGCATCCCGGCCTCCGGCTCACTCCCCGGGTGGGTCAGGGGAGCGGCCGGATGGAGACGGACAGGACGCCCGGGGGTCCTGGGGGAGCTCCAGCCGGGGGCGCAGAGAGGCGCACCCACCGGGACCGTCCACGCCTCGGACATCCCTGGCCGACCGCCAGCCGCGGAAGGCCAAGGCGGCAGAGGGCGGGCCCGGCCGGGGAGCGGGGGGAGCGCAGACCTTGACGGTGACTTTGGGGCCTTTCTTCTTCTCATCGGCCACCGAGGGCCCTGGCAGCAGCAGGAAGAAGACGGAGCCCGCGACGAGGGCGGCGGCGAACAGCACCTTCATGTTGCGCTCCGACAGGCGCAGCATCCACCGGCAGGAGCGAGCGCGGCCCGGGCAGCCAGCACCGGAAGGAGGCGGGGCCGCGGCGGTGTGGACGCCGGCGCCGCCATCGCGCGGGGCGGGGCGGGGGGTGCCGGCGCCGCCTCCGGGGCTGCTGGCGGGAGGCGGGCGCCGTTTCCCCCCTCCGGCTCGGCGCCGGGTAGTAGGGCCCCCGAGGGGGCGGGGCCCGGCGCGCAGGCCGGCCGGGCGGAGACGCGGCCTCGTGGGTGGCTGCCACGTTATGGCTGCCTCATTGGGTGTCTGGGCGCCCCTTCCCACCCACAGGAAGGCGGTCAGCGGAAGGCGGAGTCCCCGCGGTCAGCGCCGAGGGACCGGGGAACCCGAGACTACCAGGCCCGGCCTGCCTAGCGGCCTGGGCGGCCGCCCTGGGCTGCTTTCGCACGGGCGAAGTGGAGGGCTGCGCGCGGCTGCACGGGGGGCAGAGGACGCCGACCGCTACGTCGGGGCGGTCAAAACGTGGTCACCATCGGAGTGGGGTTACTGGTGGTGCCTGCTAGAAGGGCACGCCTAAGCTTCCTCATGGTAGTCCCACCCAGCGCCTTCTACTTGCAATCTTGCTGCAAACCCCACCTCTCTTTCTCTTCTGGAAGCCTCTTGTAATTTACTGCTGAGAGGTAATAATTTGTGATCCACAGCTAGCTTCGTTTTTTCCCCTTAACCCATTTTTGCAAATACAAGGCGTTTTTTGTTTGTTTTGCAAGCACTCTCAGTACTGTTGTGGGTGGGACTAAGTGCTCCGGATTGGTTGGCATAGCTCCCTTAACACTGAGGTGGGAAAACTGTCTCTTTAGGCTCCAGAGGGTGTTGGCTGCCCCCTGCGGAGACTACTCCAGGTTTTCCTACACATAACATTGTTACAGTTTGACAAAGCGAGGTTACATTATTCAGAACGAGGGCGATGTATTTACCTCGTAAAGTTTGGACTTGTGATATTAACTCTAGCCATCCCAGATGGCCACAGCCTGCATTCCCATTTCCTCCCTATGCAATTTGGCCTCTAAAGGACGTGCCCTCCTCCCCAGCACTGCTGTCTGCTTCCAGCTTCTCCTTTCTTAGACGCATGTCACTACAGTTCACGTTGCAGAGCTTCCACACAGTTGGTTGATTTACAGCAAACACAAACGATGGTTGCAACTTCCCTATCTTGGCTTGCACCTCTAATCCAGACCACCTCAACCAGGCAGAGTCTTCTAAGGTGAAGTCATTACACGGACAAACACAATCCTCCAGATCCACCTTCCCAGCCGATTATGCTGTCATGCCTCTTGGATCACTGGTCACAACTGAGAAAACTTGATTAAACTTGATCAGTGTAGCCTCCTGCACAGGAGGCACTAATACTAAAATGGCTTCAGGGGCTCAGCTTGCTAAATCCTTCAGTGGCTAAATGCTTACCTTCCACACACTGGGATCCCATATGGGCACCGGTTTGTGTCCTGGGGGCCCCAGTTCCTACTTGTGGTCTGGGAAAGCAGTGGAGAGCGGCCCAAAGCCTTGGGGCCTCTGCACACACGTGGGAGAGCTGGAGGAAGCTCCAGGCTCCTGATCAGCCCAGCTCTGGCCTGATTATGGCTACTTGGGGAGTGGAATAGTGGACTAAGACCTTTCTCTCTCTTTTCTCTGCAAATCTTTCCAATAAAAAAAAAATCTGAAAAAAAAAAAAAAAAGAAATGGCTTCCAAGTAGCCTGTCCCATTTTCAAAACAGTTGATGGAACTATGGAACTTTTCCACGTGGAACTTTTCTCTCGTGATCTTAAATGTTTTCTACTCCTACTTGACTACCAGTTACCTAAAAGTCATTAAGTAGAAGAGACAGAGAGGCAGGGAAGTAAGAGTGAGAAAACTCATGAGCAGGTGACAACATTCCCTTACCTGCTGCTTCGGTCTCCAAATGCTCACAATCGCCTGGCTCCAGGGACAGCCTGGACTGGAGTCTCCCCGGCAGGTGACAGGGACCCAAACACTGGAGCCACAGGGCCAGTGCCCAGGGTCTGTTAGTAGGAAACTGTGGGATAGGAGTTGGAGCTGGGTATTGACCAATGACATAGAATGCAGACATCTTAGAATTTTTGTGAGGATTTACTTGAAATGCAGAATTACAGAGGGAGGACAAAGATCATTTATCTTTGGTGCTTCATTCTATAAATGTCTGCAAATAGTAGGGACCAGAGCCAAGAGCCAGGAATGCCACCAAGATCTCCACCATGAGTGGTGAGAACCCATCATTAAGAAGTTGGATCAGGGCCTGGCTTGGTTGCCTAGCGGCTGAAGTCCTCACCTTGAATGCACCAGGATCCCATGTGGGTGCTGGTTCTGGTCCCCACGCTCTTCTTCCCATCCAGCTCCCTGCTTGTGGCCTGGGAAAGCAGTCGAGGACGGCCCAAAGCCTTTGGGACCCTGTACCCGCATAAGAGCCCTGGAAGAAGCTCCTGGCTCCAGGCTTCAGAACAGCACAGCACCGGCCGTTGTGCTCACTTGGGGAGTGAGTCATCAGATGAAAATCTTCCTCTCTGTATATCTAACTTTGTAACAGAAATAAATAAATCTTTCAAAAAAAAAAAAAAGAGTTGGGTCAGAAACACCAAAGCTGGGATTTAAACATTCAGTCTGATGGGGAGTGCACCACAATACCTGCCTCAGAATAATGATTTGCAAACCACTTATAAGGCAATGTTCAATCCAAATGCATGAATCAAGAATGCCAAAGCATCAGGCATTATTTTGTTCAAGGGAGCCTTGAATCCTATCAAAGCTAGGCAGCCCATGAGTTTTTTTTTTGTTTTGTTTTTAACTTTTCAAATACTCCAACATTTAAGAAGTTGTAGTTTACTTGGCAGGTACAGAGTTCGAGACACATCTTCTATCCACTGGCTCATTGCTCAAGAGCCTACAGCAGCTGGGGCAGCCTGGACAGGCTCTGTCTGTCTCTGGCAGAAGCCAAGCACTTGAGTCATGTCAGCTATCTCCCAGGAAGCGCATGGACAGGAAGCTGGATCAGAAGCTGAGCTGTGGGAAATGCTTGCTCCTTGCCAGACTGTTACTAATGAACTGTAAGAGATCAATAACAAATAACCAACCATTGAGTAAAAGCCAAGAAAGACATTTTATTTTACATACAAAAAGGGTGCAAACTGAGTCTTTTCCTCTCCAAATTGGAGAAGAGGTATACTTAAAGATCACATTTTGTGTTTTCCATGGTGCCCTGGGAAATGGGCTACACTGAGATAACATATCAGGACCCACTTTCCACAATCTTCTTACAAGGCTACTTCCTCGTGGCAGAGGAGTTTTTCCTAATGGTTGTACAAATCTCTCCTGGAGGAACCATTTCAAATACACTTGAAATTGACATTCATATTTAAAAATACTACACGTTTCATTTTCACAGCTGAGCTTTGCGACCAGTGCCAGGATTTATGAAACATTACATACCTAAAAAAAAATAATAAAGGTAAAAAAAGGCATTTAACAAGAATAAGACACATCCATACAGCAATTAACTGATTTCCACAGCTGATTTGTACATTATCTAGTTTTTAAAAATTGCAATCAACATCCCAACATTTTTTAAGAATACAATGGGCAAGGATTAAAGAAACAAATAATAATAAATTAGAGCATGTAATATACCCAATGAGAATTACTGAATCGACATTATTTTCCATGGGTGGGTGGGTGGGGTTTCATATTTTTGGTTTCATCTCTCTTTTCTGCTGTTATTCTTCTCTTCTTGATAAATGGGCTCACTCCCAGAGCCAGCATGATGAGATACTAAGTCAAGAAGTTTATTTGTCACCTGTTCACCTCAGAATACTCAGGAACATCCGGTTCCCAGCAGCCTGGGCTGTTAAGTCTTAATGGAAGTGGAATGCACACACAGATGAGCACACACACACACACACACAGAGTCACACACCTCCATCTGTGAATTTATTCCCACCCAGAAATGGCTCATCATTCCTGAGACACTCCTAACCGATGAACACAACTTTAAAAAAACCGTTTGGCGCACAGGTTGACTTGGGATTTAGTCCGGAGCTCATGGAGAGGAACATGGAAGATGTCTCACCCACCCTGAAAGAGAGCTTTGGGGGCTGGTCGGGACAGCTCTCCTCTGGTGACTGCAGCGCCTGCACTGCACTGCCAGGTGGTGGGTAATGGCACCAGAAAAGTGATTGTGAGGAATAAAAGAAAAGCAATCCAAGAAATTCTGTCCACACAACTAAGCTTTCTTTATAATAAACCTTGTTTGGTAATCAAGCTAGAAATACATGGAGTACATGTTCACGTCTTCCTTTATAAGCTGATTTACAAATACTGGAGTGGGTTTTCCTGGTTGCTTTTTAAGAAAGTATGTAAACTACTATTACCTATATGCAGGGAATCTAGTTACTATTTCAACTACAATGAAAAACCTATTCTTTTGCACTTAGTCACCTGTAAAAGGAGTTAGGAAACACCTATCTTTAAAGACTGCTTACTGCACCAAAGACCTCCAAGATTTGTGGCTAAAACATTGTCCAAAGTCTATAAACCCACAGAAGGGCTATGGTTACCTCTCTTCTTACTCAGAAACAAAACTACCAACCCCTTCAAAAAGTCCAAGCCAGGCCCAAATCCAAATCCAACACTGTTTGATTCCTACCAACCCATTCTGAGGAAGACTGGAGCCACTGACCGACTGGGACTGCAGAAGCAAGAACCACAGAGGAAGTGCCTGACAGGCACAGGGTTAATCCAGATGGGGCACCTAATTATCTGGCTCCCTGAGGGCTTCTGGAACTCATGTCACTTGGTGCCAAGGGTGGGAATGGTGGCAGTGGCCAGCAAAGGCAATGTTGGATACAAGGGAGCTGAAGGTTCCTGATCTAAGAAACTCTACCCACAACATGGTTCTGAAACTGGAGTCAAAGTTGTCAGGGCCAACTCAACGGGCAGAAAAACTGGTTTAGATACAGAAATGTTAAAACAGTGGCTGGGCTGTAGAAGGCAAGCAGGCTTGGGCAAGATGTATCACAAGATCAAGATGCTGTGAGGAGATGTTTCCTAGCCTGCCAAGGAGCGCTGGATGTCCTAGCCCAGTGGGATGGGGCAACCAACTACACCCTTTGCATAAGACAAGTTAAGGCTATGACCTTCAGCAACCACAGAGAAAACACTGCCATTGTTCTCTATTTCTGGAATAGAAAGGGATTGCTGACACTGAAAAGCAACACTTGAACATGCACTACCAGTGTCCATTTCCACTGATGTACATCGGAAGTTAAGAGATATAGTCCTGCTGTGCAGTATGGCTCACACAATCTAAAGTGAAATGGATTTTCGACTGCAGCTCACCTCATTACTTGACTGGTAACTTCCTTTCATGACAGACCCCAGATAACAGTCACGCACACACACTGTTGGGATGCTCTGTCTGCTCTTGTGGAACAGTCTGCAGAGATCTTGGGGACAGAACCAATGTGTACACAGCAATGCAACAGCCCTGATGTCACTGTTGGAGTACTCTCAACTTTGGAGATTTGCTCTTTGCTTAATTTTAAGGATGACATCAGAGCACCTCCCTAGTCTGGGTCTACCCACCATGGAGTGTCACCTGCAGGACCATCGTTCCTTATATGCTGTGGGGACTTGCAACTCTTCACCTATGTTATGAACACCAAATCCCTCATAATAGATTTGTGGGGACTGGAGGGTGAAAAAAGTGCAGTAGCAAGGACCCTCTCCCCACATGCTTGGGATCAAATTCATCAAAGAATGTTAAGTTATAAGACAAAAACTGGTAACTGCCTTTGTGGTTTTGTAAAAGTGGAATAGGAGAGGCACTTAGTGGGGCACTGAATGGCAGGATGTTTCTGGCTGCATCACAGTTTGCCCCTGACCTCCTTTAGAGAAAAACCATCTTCTACACAGGTATGAAGAAGTTCAAGTTTCTATACAAATACCTGGAGTTACCTACATGTGCCAGACGTCAGTGGTGGCACTCCAACCACTAGGTAAAGGAAAGGAGGCAAACCCAACATTCTTGCTATTCTATTCTGTCTCATTAACAGAAACACGTCTCCTGAAAAACTGACAGACTACAATCCTTATGTGATGCAGACTAAGTAGGTTGGAAGTCAGGGAAATGATGCAAATGATACTATTTCTGCAAGTTATGTCAAGGACTTGTTAGGAAATGCCAATCACCAGAAAGTACTACCAAAACCTCCAGTTTTTTTTTTTTTTTAAGACAGCCCTACACCTCAAGTCATAGGTCTAAAGATTTATGTACACCATGAGCCACCAGACTAAGTCATTCGTCACTGCACTTTACGATTAACTCTGTACTCCCAGATGTCTGGTTCCCTGATGGTAATGAGTTTTTCTCTCTGCCACATCTGGCATGTCACTATTTGGCTAAGTCACCAGAAAATGAAAATGAATATGAGAAGAGTAACTCTATGCACCACTTTTTCAAACCGTGAGTGACAAAGCATGGTGGTACATCGGGTGAACACACAACAGTGGGACATGGAGGTTGTACTGGGGAAAACATGCATGGCCACCTTATCCCCAAGGACTCACTAGGTCCAAGTGAGAAGGTAATTTCCAATGTTTCATTTTTGTTTCCTTTTCCCTGGAATTTTCCAGCACCAATCAATCTTACCCATCTGTTCACTGCCGCCCCAGTTATTGAGTCCTCAGCCTGCTACCAGCTGGGAGGTCGTCTTTGGGGGCCTGGGTTCTATAAAGGCAGGCCAGCCCACATGCTACAACTCAGCTACTGGGGCACAGAGGACACACCAGCTTTCTCTTTCCGGCCCTAGTATGCCACACCCTGAGGCTTCTCTGGCAGTTGGAAGGCAGGCTTAATGTCCTTTTTGTCCACTAGTGGCAATATGGTAGTGGCTATATTATCACAAATTTTGCCTCTCAAGTCACCAGAAAGTCACATGGCTATCTAGTTGGAAGTCCCTGGCAGTGGAGGACACAGACATTTGGGATTTTGTTGTTGTTCACCGTTGTTGAGCTGCTGCTGTTAAGCATTCCATTCTCTGGAAGGAGCTGTTGCCAGGTCACAGCCCGGCTCAGCCCGCTTATCCCATGGCCTGCAGAGCCACGGGTTCAAACTGTAGGCTCTTTAGGTCAAGAGGCTCTGGTGGGGACATTCTTCAGCAGTTGAAAAGATGAATGAAAATTCAAGTATGTTTCCTTGCCAGCCCGAGTGTCGACTCAGGATGGCATAGAGTTTGGCTTCTTCTTGTCTGTGTGCTGCAGAGCAGACTTTCCAGTGAGAATGTCCTCTGAACCCATGTTCTCTGTCAATGGCTTGGCTGACCCCATCCCCCTCAAACAAGAAAAAAGTAAAACCCCCAATATAACCAGACACAATATGCATCTGCCCCATTTTTTTTTGTTTGTTTGTTTAAAAAAAAAATACCCTCAAACAACTAAAAGTGCAATAAAGTCAGTTTTCTTTCCTTTGCTTCAGAACAATCTGCATTGTCCTGCTACCACCTGGAGGAAAGCATCTGCTTTGTCAAGAAAGCTAAGAACGCCAACAAGGGACAGTAGACTCAGGATTTCTTACAGCTGGCGTCCTACAGTGTAACTTCACAGGAGGGAGGGAGGCGAAGCCTGAGCCTGCTGGAGGCTGGCAGGCCATGGGGAAGAGGAAGCCGTACTGCCAGACACATTTGGGGATGGAGAATGTCCTCCCCAGCCCAGGTCTGCTTCTTCCTCTTACTTTCTGGGCCTTCATTCACCCCAGCCTTTTGCGCTTCCACAGGCAAAGCCTTTAGCTCCATAGCTTTTATGCTGGAGAGGGCTAAGGGTAGGGGCAAGACCCAGGAGTAAACTAAGAGGAGGGAAGAGAACAGTAGTCCTTGAGTTTTTGTGAATGACACCTTCACTGTAAACAATGGGAAGGAGGGTCGACCAGGTGGCCCCAAGGGCAAGCCATGGAGGAGCAGCAGCTCTGGGACCTGCTCAGAGCCTTCGGCAGCAGGTGGGACAACCCTTGACCCACTGGGCCCCCCATGGGCTCCTGCTGGGGGCATCTGCTTTCTTCTTTTTGGTTTGGATCTCTACCCTCCCTCACAGAGGAGTCCCTTCCAATGAGAAATGGCAGGAGCTGCAGGTTCAATAGAGTCAGAGTCCCCAGGGCCTGAGGACTCCTGGGAGGCACTGGTCACTTGTGGCGCTGAGCAGTCTTCTTCCTTTTCCTCTTAAAGAAACAGCAGCACCTGGAGCACAAGGAATGCAGTTAGTCAACACTAGAGGCCTGCAGCAGCTCCCAGCAGATGTCTTGCCTGCCCTTTGCTCCCTGCTGCTGGCACCCGCCCACAAGTCCACCCATCCACAGTGCACACTCTGAGGCGGTGGGCAGCCTCTGCCAGGGAAACCAAAGGTAACAGCTGCTTGACTGCCAGACTGCAGCCACTCAACCTAATCAGTAAAATATTGCAGGCTGGGCAAAGCTGAAACAGGCATTTCTAGGAGTAGGATAGAGAAAGGTTCTTACGTAGCCTAATACCCAACCCAGATCCCAGACCTCAGATGGGATCCTCAGGGCTGGGTAAGAATAACCTGCATTGTCCATGCCTTTCTTCTGAGGGCAGAATTATTTCTTATCATTCAGTGGTCAGCAGAGAGGATGGTTAAGTTAAAGCAAACAAATCCCATGGAAAACATGATGTCTGCAACTCAGGGAAGATCTCAGTCTCCCACCAATGCAGGCTTTCAGGGTCTCTCCTCTCTCCGCCCCCTCCCTAACCTCAGCGACTGCTTGGAGGCGGCAGAGACTGTGTCCACACCTCCAGACTGAGATGGGCATGCTTTCCCCTCATATGGAAGGAACCAGGCCACAGTCCAGGAACTGATATGGCTGCAGAGTTCTCCCAGCTTAGTTTCCTGAGAGCACTGGCTCTGTGCCAGAGGAGGGTGGGGATTGGGGCCTACTCCCTTTTGGAACCCTGCATGTGCTGCCCTCTGGGGAACAGCCACAGTTCTGGATATTCCTCTTGTTTTTGGATTAGGAAGCATCACTCTTGGTCGAGCAGTCAGCAGGTGATGAGGGCTGGTGCAAGGCGGTGCAAAAGGTATGACCTTTCCAGGGAGGTGATATATGGTGAAGGAGAACATGAAGGGCAGAAGGAAGTGAATGAGTCCAAAATGCCAGATGATGGAGGGGAGGGAAGAGGGGAAAATCACTCTGATTTGGTGGATCCTCAAAAGAAAAGCTTTTCTGAGAGAATCATCACTGGGCCTCTTCCATACTTTCAAGGGTTAATGCCAAGAACATTTGTATGGCAATGAAGAACCAGAGTTTACTGTTCCTACCCCTAAGTTTTCCACTACTGCTAAGATTCCTCTCTTTTTCAGTTAGTCCCTTTGGTACTTCTGCATCCAGTGGCCTGGTTATTAAAAACTTGGACAAGGCCCAGCAGTTAAGACTCAATAGGATGCCTGCAACCTGCATAACCGTGCTTGGATTTGAGTCCCGGCTCCACTCACATTTCCAGTGTCCTGCTAATATACACCCTGGTAGGCAGCAGGTGACGGATGAAGCAACTGGGTCCCTGCGACCCACATGGGAGATCTGGATTAAGTATCCAATACCTGACTTTGGCTTGGTCCAGTGCCAGCTACTGCAGGCACTGGGGGGGCAGGGAGGTGGGTAGACTGAGAACCAAAAGATGGTGCCTTGTTATTATCAAGCAAAATAAAAGAAATTTTTTTAAGAGCATCAACCACAACAAAAACGTGGGCAAAGCTTCTTAGATTGCAGAAATCAACATTTACACATACAATGATAGGCTTTATTCATATCTGAATGACTCAAACATGAAAGTCTGCAAACACGAATAGCTTCTTAAGAGGGTCCTACACAGCCCGGTGCCGTGGCCTAATGGCTGAAGTCCTCGCCTTGAATGCCACGGGATCCCATATATGCACCAGTTCTAATCCTGGCAGCTCCACTTCCCATCCAGCTTCCTGCTTGTGGCCTGGGAAAGCAGTTGAAGATGGCCCATAGCCTTGGGACCCTGCACCCGCGTGGGAGACCTGGAGGAAGTTCCTGGCTCCTGATCAGTGCAGCACGGCCGTTGTGCTCACTTGGGGAGTGAATCATCAGATGGAAGATCTTCCTCTCTATCTTTCCTCCTCTCTGTATATCTGACTTTGTAATAAAAACAAATAAATCTTAAAAAAAAGGGGGGGTTCTATAATTTCCTCAGGCATTGGCCACTGTTGTGGCATAGTGGCCTAAGCCACAGCCTGTGGCACCACCATCCGAGATGGGTGCCCATTTAATTTCTTAGTACTGCCCACTTTTTGTTTTAAAAACTTATTTTATTTTTATTGGAAAATCAGATATACAGACAAGAAGGTCTCCTGTCCACTGATTCACTCCCCAAGAAGCTGTAACAGCCAGAGCTGCACCGATCCAAAGCCAGGAGTCCGGAGCCTCTTCTGGGTCTCCCATGTGGGTGCAGGGTCCCAAAGCTTTGGGTCATCCTCGACTGCTTTCCCAGGTCACAAGCAGGGAGCTGGATGGAAAGCCTGCCGGGATTAGAACTGGCACCCATATAGGATCCAGGCATGTGCAAGGTAAGGACCTTAGCCACTAGGCTACTGCACCAGGCCTGGCACACCACTTTCGATCCAGCTTTCTACTAATGCCCTTGGGAAAGCAGCATCTGGGCCCCCACCACCCACGTAGGAGATCCAGGTGAAGCTCCTGGTTCCAACCTGCCTCAGTCCAGGCTGTTGCAGTCATTTGGGAAGTGAATTTGCAGATGGAAGATCTCCATCTCTTCCTCTAATTCTGCCTTTTGAATAAAATAAATAAGCCTAAAAAAAAACTCTGATACAATCAATGACATCTGTGAAATACTATTAACTAATGAGTGTCAGGACAATCACTAACCAAAAATGTCATATGTATTTGGAAACTGAATAGTTTTAAAATAAAGAACACTTTTGATTTGTCTACTACAGTCTTCTGTGGAAACTCTGGGAAGAACTAAGAATTAAGAAGAAAAAATGCTTCATAAATGGGCATTCTCACGGTGAATGTCCTGAAATTAGCACTACCAGAGGCAAACGAAGTCTCATGGGAGCACCAACATTTTCCATTTTCAGAGACTTACCTGTCCCACGGTAAGCACACACCCAGAGGCTAACTTTAACACTAACTTGTATTCTTAGGCTTATGGTAGGATGTTAAGGTGAGGTTTTAGACTATCTCAGAAAAAGCAATCAAAGTTTCAAGCATCAAAGTTTCAAGCACTGTTCAGAATCCTTGCAAAGTGGATCGTGACCTCTGTCACCTCCTCTGAGGCACACTGTGGCAGTCAGTCACACTGTAGCCTGCCGTACCACCCTGACTTCACCAGACTGCAGGAGGCTGTGATATGGGATGGGAGGACCTGGACTACTTTAAATCCAGAGCCCTGGACTAACTTCTGGTTAGTTACTATGAAGCTTCAGCAGTATCAGAAGCTTTGTAATAACTCAGTAACTTTACCCTCGAGAAAACAGGCCCCACCATCTGCACTTCAGCCCTGGTTTCTGTGTGACTGCGAAGAGGCTCTGTCAGACGGGGTGAGCCTCTGGACAAAGCTCATGATTAACTCCACAAGATGTGTTGCTCTCAGAAGGGAACGCAGACAGTTGTGACCCCCGTCCCCTTGGTCTCAGGTTCCCTTCAGTTCTTCTTTTCCGTAAGATTTATTAATTTATTTGAAAGGTAGAGCGAGAGAGAGTGAGATTTTCCATTTTCTGGTTCACACCCATCCTGGCTACTACAGCTAGGGCTGAATAGGTCCAAAGCCAGGAGCCAGGAGCTTCTTCTAGGTCTCCCTCATGGGTGCTGGTCCCCAAACACTTCAGCCACCCTCCACTGCTTTCCCAGGCACATTAGCAGGGAGCTGGATTGGAAATAGCACATCAGGGACTCAAATTAGTGTACATATGGGATGCTGGCATGACAGTGGCTCTACTTGCTACACCACACTGCCAGCCACTGATCACCCTTTTTCACACCTGTTACTCTGACCCTGCTCTTTCCCTTCAGCTAATTCCTTGCCATGTTCCTCTTCTTTGCCATGTTTGTACCTTCTTCCTTTGCTCAACACTTGACTCAAGTGCAGCAGTATCTATGAGGTCTTCCTTGATCATTCCTATCCACAGTGACCTCTTCCATCCCTCAGCTCCTGTGGACAACAGAAGATTGTTGTCCACAGACGATGCTCTAGTGCAGTGTGTTAAGCCACAACCTGTAAGGCCAATATCCTGTAACAGAATGCTGGTTCTAGTCCTGGCTGCTCTGTTTCTGACATACCCTCCTGCCAATGTAATGGATGATGGCCCAGGTGCTTAGATCCCTGTCGCCCATGTGGGAGTCATATTGATAGACACTTGGCTCCAACTTGGTCCAACCCTGGCTATTGTGACTGTTTTGGAAATGAATCAATAGAAAGATTTTGCTCTTTTTCTGACACTCTGCCTTCGAAAAACAGAAATGAGTAAATTCTAAAAATGAAGAAGTAAAAGTAGCAGCGTCCTGGAGCACTCCTAATTCTTTCACCTATCTCCAGCTTGATGACATTAAGCTCTTTGAGGCAGGCATTGGGACTCTGGAGAGTTTCAGGAAGAGTTAGATGAGTTTGTTACAGGCTTTCAAGTATCTGTGGTTGGGATTCTGTGACTGACATCTCACAGGAAAGATGGACTATGACAATGTCAGATTACAACAGACATACATTTGCAAAATGAATAGGCCAAATATGCTCTTTGATACCTAAGGCTACAAAACCTACCTCCATAAAACTCAGTGTTATATTTAATACAACCCTTCAGGAACTTGTTATAGGCAATTTGGCTTAGGCTGTTAGGCCTGAAAAACCAAGTGCCCAACCCAGTCACTGAAGACAAACAGAAACAGGTAGTGATAGAGGATAGCAGGCTGCTGTCACCATGCAGAATCTAGACCCTATGTGTGCAGACAACGTGCGAGAGGTACAACCCCAGGATGCCTCAGTCCCAAGTTCAGGGACAGACACTTAGAAGGTTATAGGTAATGTCTAGAAAGAAGGCTAGGAAGGGGGCCCTGATTTACAGCAAAAATATTCTTTAACATAGATGGATTCTTTAAGGCTTCTCCCCTTCACAAATCTCAAGTTGTGTCCAAAATGAATTCCACGAGCCTTTTCAAGGAGTGGAAAAGGCAGGTTCCAAACTCTTAACCAGCTGAGGTTAGCCCCTGGCCCACTATCCTCCCTTATAAGCATAAATAAAAAGACACTAAACAACAAACAAACAAAACAACCCCCAAAACAACAAAATGTCCATCTCTCCCCCCAAAAGCTCTTCTTGTTTTTTTTCGGTCTTGCTCTACAGATGGAAGAATCAGTTGAATCAAAAGGTCAGATTTTCCCACAGCAGCCAGTTCCCAGCTCAGAGACCACATTGCAGAATGGGAGCTTATCTGGTAACCATACCACACTCACGGCTGTGAGAAAACAACTGACACACTAACCCTGACTTTTTCGCCCTGCCTCTAACCCTCTGACAACATCTGGTCACAATGATTTGGGAGAAAATTTTGCATGTTGTGGAATATTGTTTTGGCAGGAGGCAGCGATGAGATGAATTCAAATGAAATTGAAAGGAGAGAAGGGATAGATTAATTCATAGGTACAGGTCAGCCCCGTCCCCACCTTGTGGATCTAGTTCTTCCATTTGGGTAACTATGGCATAAGAACCTATATGGAAGCCATTCAATGTAGCTAAGACATTTTTGTTTGGCTTTGCCAATCCCAGCCTAGTCTGGTCGGCTCCCCTGGCATGTGGACTGGAGAGAGGGACTCACCACAGGTTGAGCATTTTCAGGCAGCTACAGAGTGTGTAAAGAGAAAAACACAGAAAGGAAGGAAGAGAAAGAGAGAGATATTAGTCCACAGAGGTGAGATGGAAGCGACTCCCTGTGTGCCATGCAAACATGCAGGATGTGTCTGTGTTTAGTTTCTTCTTCTGCCAAGGGAGGTGAAGAGGGAGGTGCAGGTCTTTGGGTTCCACAGTGTGGAGGGGAAGGACTGACCGAAGCATCAAGGTGCAAGTTGGAACTCAGGAGTAGAGCAAAACAGAGTCGGGAGAGTCCCAGGGAGCGCCTCCTGAGGAGTTTCCAGGAAAGCAATAAAGGAAGGAACAAATGACGCTGCCTCTCAAAAATCAGTAGGCATCATGGCTGAGCCATTCTTTGCGCCCACACAAAGTCTTATCCGGCAGCAGTAACCTGACCTTCCAACCACTCTGAGGGATAAAGAAACCCCTTGCCTTTCTCCAAGTCCAATATGCCTGGTCAAGGAAGCTAGCCAACAGATCTTCCTCTAGAGAAGGAGAAAGGTTTAAACCCTTTGCATCTTATTAGATGAATCAGGGGAGTGGGTCACTGCTGTGGTTAAGGTTTAACTGCCTACTCAAGTTAACTCTCAGGAGAAACAAGGTCCATGTCTGTTAAGCAACAGCTAAACTCTGGATAATAAAACATCCTGCATGAATTAACAAAAATCAAACAAGAACCTCCTGCTCTCAACACACTTCCAAGCATAGTTAAACAAGGACATGTGTCCTGCAGGTAGAGAAAAAGGAAGTTAGTTAATTCTGCACAGAGAATGAAAACCAAGACCCTGTGATTTCTTCCCATCGCCATTCAAAACAAGTTGTGTGAGGACCCTACAATCAAAGATTGGAACTGAAGTTTTCACATGTTTCTGCAGGACCTGATTTGAGATCCAACATATCCTGCCATTTCCACAAACCCACAAACAGGGTAGTGCATAATGGGGTGTTGCTTAGGTTATTTCCTGTTTCTCTAGCTGCGGCTTCTTTCCATGGAAATGATCCGGCAAGCGGACACATGATTACCCTGAACCTGTTCCCATACACGCAAAAGTCAAGAAGAAAACACGAGGCTGGGTCCCGATATTTCCTTGTGCAAAATGTACTGGTAATCCATCAATTGTGAGAGAAAATACCCACAAAACGCCCATGGCTGTGGGCTCTGGGATGAGATTTGGTCAAATACAGCTGCTCCTACTAGTGTCCACCACTGTGAGAGGGTCCATACCTGGAGCTGATGGTAAAGAGGCATAGTGTTCCTCTGTGCTACATGGGAAGACTTCAAACTCTTTACATTCCAGAGTTTAGATAGTACCAGAACAAAATACACCTAACTAAAATCTTTCCATGGATACTCCCATCCCCATCTGACACAAAGGACACAAACACCACACTCACATACACAATTAGTGTACACATTTACCAAGACAAAAAGAGGAGGAATGGGTTAAAAAAATAAATAGATCTGTACAGGGCATATTGTGAGACTGATGCCCATGCAATCTTACTATTAAAAACACAACTATTAAAATCAGAGCTAAACTTTAGCCTTCAAAGTAACAGCCACAGAGGGTGGGAAAGGATATGGGCCATCTTTTAAGCAAAGAAGATGTTTAGATAAGACCACATCTAGTGCAGCAGTTCTGAGTTGTGGCTGTATTTTATAATTACCCAAGCTTCCACAATTCCTGAGGCTCAGACCACAACCTCCACAAATTAAATAAGAATTTCTAGGGCTAGGTGCAGGCAGATAGGTTTTCTAACATCCCAGGTAACTCTAATGTGCAGTCAAGGTTGAAAGCTTGAGGGTGAGAACAGCATGCATTCTATTTAGGGGAATGCAGTTTTGTCAGGGAAACAAAAAAGTTGTGAAGTCTCCAAAGCCCCTGAGAATGGAAGAGTACCTTTCTCTCCATCCCTCCACCCTGTATGGCTCCTCCCTGCCTTCAAGAAGCTGAGAGAAGAGAATCTGAATTTGCCCACACTTAGTGGAGGCTAGACACGAGTGATTCCAAGTCACCTCCAGCTGCTTTTTATCCACTGGATAGAAATCTTCAAGCTCTAGTTTTTGAAGGAAAGGGCAAGATGAGCTCATCAAATACAGATGGACAGGAGAGTGGGGAGTGGGCAATGAGACAACTTTGCAAGATGCACCTAAAAGTAAGAAGAATACAGGTCTTGGTAGGTCTCCCATTGATTGATACTTTAAGGTGACTACACCTCAGACTACCATTTCATGCATGAGATCACTAGGAATATGTTGCCTGCTTCAGAGGAAAAGATACTGTGAATGAACTTGGCAAGAAAGGTCATCTGTATCATGGCTGAAAGCAGTTACAGACTCAGGGTGTAGCTCTCTCCCCCTACCTGATGTCTTCTTGGTACTGATTTTGGGATGGAGGATAAAGAAGTGGTAGAAATGCTGCTTTTGCAGAATCGGAAGTTATTTCACCTTCCACCCCAGATTCTAAGAGTTTAAACACAGACCATGCAGAAAGCTCCAGAGGCTGATGGTGTGGGTGGGGCAAGACACACACATGCAAGAGAAGCACACAAGGGCTTGAGGAGCCTCCTCACTCTTGGGATCAGTGTGACTTCCTTGCCTTCCCAAGGCTTTCTTAACAGGTGCATACTGGTTTTCTTGCCTGACTTATTAAGTCTGAGTCTACAACCGCTTGGAAGAGGGTAAAACGGCTCTGAAACCCTTGTTCCAGCATTGTACCCTTTTAGTTGTTAGCTAACAACCAGTACTCTATCGTTACTCAGCATGCCCTGTGGTTTAAAACCAGATATTCATCATTCTGTAGCGAGTAAGAAGCTCCAGGGCCCCCAAAAGACTCATGTATGTTGCAGCCCTTGTAACATGATTGTTTTGGATCATGTCTTTTGCCCCATGTGGACTAGGAAAACGCAACTCTTCCCAGAAAATCATGGCTAAAGAAGAGCAGCAGCAGCCTTAAGGGTACCATGCAAAAACCAAAATGGTCAAAGGAAGGAAGCTGTGGACACAAGCGGGAGGAATTCAGTCCAAAATGAGCAGCACACATAGAGGGAGAGACAGAAAAGATATTCATCGCATGACACAAGAGCCCCTTTGAAAGATGAACGTACTTAGCTTCTTCCACTACCTCCACCTCGGCATGAGCTGTGATTGGCGCGTTGGAGTGGGCTCCTGTGGGGTCATCGACATTCAGCTCTCCATTGGTTGAACTAACCACCTGAAACAGAAGGACAGAATGTGACAGGCACAATGGCAATATGAGTCTCCTGCAAGGACCTGAGAGTCATTTTGGGAGATGTGGGCTTAAGCTTGGGCACCAGCCAGGCCGTAGCTGGAATGCTTGTTTTCCTGGGCTAAGGGCCAACTGTCCTGGTTTAGCGAAGGTACTCAGACCCATATCATGCAAGGACACAAAATTCTCTGTCATTATATTATGCTAATAACTTCCACACCAAGTGCCTACTCTACCTCCATGCGTAACTTAATCTTCACCTAGCCATTTATAAATCAATCACATTACTCTGTTTTTATAGATAAAATTACTGAGGAATGACTTAGGGTCTGTGGACTTCCATGAGAAAAATATGTGCTAAACATACACATTATTTCATATTGCAAAACTGCACATAACAGTTTATTAAAGTAACTGCATATCAGACTTTTAAGGTAAAATTGCTTTGATCCTTTCAACAGGATGGGTAAATTGTACTGGTCTCAGTTATATTTAAGAAGGTTAAGAGCTATGATTAAATAGCTGGCGTTTATAAAAAATAACTCTAGGGGGCAAACATTTGGTGTTGTGGCTAAATGACTACTTAGGATGCCTGCATTCCACACTGGAGTGCCTGGTCTGAGTACTGGCCACTCTGGTTCTAATCCAGCTTCCTACTAATGTGTACCCTGGGAGGCAGCAGATGATGGCAAGTATGTGGATCCCTGCCACCAGCCTGGGCAACCCAGACTGAGTTCTGCCTTCCTGGCTTTGGCCTTACCCAGCCCTGGCTGCTGCAAGTTTTAGGAGATGAACCACTGAATGGAAGATCTATGCATGCCTTTCAAATAAAATGGAAAACAAAAATTCTACAAAAGAAACCAAAAGTAGGCACCAGAAATTATAAGCAATAACACTTTCCTTCAAAAACTTCTTCATGGCTTTGATCACTGGTTTGAAGTCAATAAACAAGACTGTCACATCCTCTCTCTTGAGGATGAAGACTGTAAGGAAACACTTCCCCCTGGAAAGGCAGTCTCATTTCAACGACCTTTATTTCAGGTTCACTGTCATCCCACTTCTCACTGATGGTCCCCGAACTGTAAGTGAAGGCTCTCACTCCTGTCATCTGGTTAATGTGGACCCGATCAGGCTTCTCTTGCTGTGCAGCTGCTTCTGCCACTTGGTTGCATTTCCAGCACATGATTCCTGTTTATGTGGGTGCTGGGGAGTGGGAAAAGGGACCCCGCTGGACAAACCACTCTGCTGTTAAAGATCTTGGCTGAAACATGGGAGAGAACCACAAAATAGGATAAATGGTTCAGATATCATATGCCCTTGATTAAGTAACTTCATCTATTTGAGACCGATTCTTACAGGATGTAAGAACTATACAAGAAAACGTGTGACAGGGGCTGTATAGTACCTGGAAAACAATCATGGGCAAGCTCAGCACAGCAAATAAGAAACTTCATCACAGCTTCACCACTTACTTGCCGTGTGTCTATGAGCAAGATCTTGCCTGAACTTTCTAAGAAGGGAAAACAATGTGGCTTATCCATTGCAGTTATTGTGAAGTTAGCCAGACAGTGCTTGGCCTACTGCCACGATACACAGGGATGGCTCATAAATGCTTCCCTATGGTTATTCTTCTTCTGTAAGTATTTACTGTAATCTGCCTCTACCCTTACCAACAGTTAATCTGTGAAAACGTGCTGAATAATCACAGAAGAAGAAGAAGAAAGAATAAGTTGCCTTTGGAAAAGATCAGGTGAAAATTACTATTAATCTATATCGATTATAATTTTCAAATCTAAAATCATTATTAATAACACATGATTTTTAAAAATTACAATATGCACAATTAGTAAAAAAGTTTTCCTGGTAATTTGGATTTGCACGAGGGAGACCTAAACCTCTACTAACTGATAAACTTTACTGTCTCTTGAACAGTGGGCAATCTGACTACTTTCCCCTGATTATACGACACAGCATTCCTTTATTCCCACTCCCAGAAATTTCATCTGAAGCTTAATTTTTTTTTTTAAAAACACGGGATGACTTGTTAAAGATTAAAAGTGATTAAAAGACACTATTAGACTGAAAAGCTAATACCAACCAACAAAATATATGAACTATGATTAGATCTTGGACCTATAAAATTAGTTTTAGGAACAATTGGAATTTGGATAAACGTGGCATTGAGGAATATTGATTTTCTCTGATATGACAATGGTATCACTGGTCACATGAGTGTGTCCTTGTTCTCTGGAGACATAAACTTAAGTATTCTGTGATAACCTGCAATGATCTGGGGATAAACTGTAATTGTCAAATAAGGACACACTATACACACACAGCCTCCCCATTCTCTCATATTGGTGCACGCAGAGGAAAATTAAAGCAAATGTGGCAAAAATTTTAAATCTTATTTGTTATTCTGGGTTATGGATATACAGAGGTTTGATTTTCTTTTAACTTTTCTTTAGATTTGAAAATTTCAAAGTGAAAAGTTGGGAGAAAACCAGCAATAGCAAAACATTCGATGTTTCATACGAAAGAGTCACAGCTTCTAATTCTAATAATAGCCTGCTTATTTCTTCAGTCATACATTTGCTTTGTACAGACATATGCTGGCTGCAGATGAGTACATTTTTAGCTTATTCTTGGAGCACAAGGGTCACAGCAGGAATCATGTTACTTAATGACCTCAAAACTGGCCAATATGGTAAAGAAAACGTCTTGGTGCTGGTGATGTGGCGCATAGGTCAGAGCCAGTACCCTACACGGGCAGCAGTTTGAGTCCTGAATGTTCCAATTCCAATCCAGCTCCCTACAAATGTCCTTGGGAAATCAGTGGAGGATGGCTTGAGTGCTTGGACCAGCCGTGTGGAAGCACCAAATGAAGCTCCTGGGCCACCCCAGGCTGTTTTGGCCATTTGGGGAGTGAATCAGCAGATGGAAAGTCTCTCCCTTCCCCATCCTTTTTTCTCTAACTTTCAAATAAATAGAAAAGAACACTTTTTTTTTTTTAAAAAAAAGATGTATTTATTCATTGGAAAGTCAGAGGAGGAGAGACAGAGAGGAAGATCCTCCGTCCGATGATTCACTCCCCAAATGAGCACAACGGCTGGTGCTGCACTGATCCAAAGCCTGGAATTTCCTCTGGGTCTCCCACGTGGGTGGAGGGTCCCAAAGCTTTGGGCTGTCCTTGACTGCTTTCCCAGGTCACAAGCAGGGAGCTGGATGGGAAACGTGACTGCCAGGATTAGAACTGGCGCTCATATGGAATCCCTACACGTGCAGCCAAGGACATTAGCCGCTAGGCTATGGTGCTGTGTCCAAAAAATTTTTTAATTGATATATTTTTTAATATGAATAAAACATCAGTAAGAATTCTCACTCTGGACTCCTGGTCTTAACGCCTGCTCTTAGTATTTCACATGTCTCATAGTTTCTTATTTCTCCCCTCTGTGAATTGCTAGTTGCCAAACAAGGATTTGCTATGGACAATTTAAGAAAAATGAGGCACATCACATTCTATACATTAGAAAGGTATCAATGGGAACCTTACACTAATTGTTCAAACAGGACTGCAGTTGAAACAAGCTGGAGGTGGGGGAGGGAGGGGGAGGAAGGGGAACACACAATGGTGTACTGGGTAAAGCTGCCATTTGTACTTCCAACATCCCCTATGGGTGTTGGTTTCAATCCTGGCTGTTCCATTTCTGATACAGTTCCCCATTAATTGCTTGGGTCCTGCCACACATGAAGGACCTGTAAGAAGCATCCAGCTCTTGCTTTCAGACTAGCTCAGCTCCAGCCACTACGGCCATTTGGGAAGTAAAACAGTGGATGGATGATCTCTGTCTTACACCTCTCTTTAACTCTGCCTTTCAAAAAAGTAAATAGGGCCCGGCGTGATAGCGTGGTGGTTAAGGTCCTTGCCTTGAACATGCCAGAATCCCACATGGTGGCCGGTTCCAATCCCAGAGGCCCCGCTTCCCATCCAGCTCCCTGCCTGTGACCTGGGAAAGCAGTCAAGGACAGCCCAAAGCCTTGGGACCCTGCACCCACATGAGATCCTGAAGAGGCTTCTGGCTTAGGATTGGCTCAGCTCCAGCCGTAGTGGCCACTTGGGGAGTGAATCATCCGATGAAAGATTTTCCTCTCTGTCTCTCCTCTCTGTATATTCACCTTTCCAATCAAAATAATAAATAAATATTTAAAAAAACCAAATAAGTAAATAAAGCTTAAAATAACCAACCCATCAAAACATGCTTGGGGACAAATGGCTATGAATGCAGACCTTTGCAGCATATGCTCTGCTGTTTCAAGTAGCAGGTAAAGTGTCTTAATCTCTGAACTGCTGCCCAGATGTAGAGTGGGACAAACACCAGACTAAGTGACAGAAGGACTCGAGGTCTAGCTCTACCTCCAATACTCTTTTGGAACCCTATTTTCCAATTCCTTAAGACAGGGCCAATGACTGATGGTTCTACCTACTTCATCATTACTACAGCAGTTAAATACAGTGATACAAACAAAAGAGATTGGAAAATGTAAAAATAACTACAAATATAAAGAGATATTGATATTTAAATGTGGCTTAACCTGAAGCACAACATGTCCATTCTTCCATTATATTATACTGTAACTTTGAGCAGATCAATTCTTACTATTTACGTTATGGATGGTAAAAAAAAAATTCCACATGAGGCTGGCATTGTGGCACAAGGAGTTAATCTGCCGCCTGTTGCCAGATGGTCTCAACTGTTCCATTTCTGATCCAGCTCCCTGCTAATGCACCGGGGAAAGCAGACATAGTTCTCGTCTGCAGCTCGTAATTTGGCCTGGCCCAGCCCCAGTTGTTGTGGCCATTTGGGAAGTAAACCAGTGGCTCTCTCTGCAATGCTGCCTTTCATACATGAAGTGAAAAATATTTTTAAAGATTTATTCAAACAATATGGAAGTAATAGTCTTACCCACTTTCCTATAGCCCTTGAATCTTTTTACGCCAATTAACTATGTAAAGATTGTCAAAATATAAAAAAAAAACAACCAAACAAAAAAAGATCTATTTATTTTTATTGCAAAGTCAGATATATATATATATATAGAGAGAGAGAGAGAGAGAGAGAGAGAGAGAGAGAGAGAGAGAAGGAGAGGCAGGGAGAAATATCTTTCATCTGACGATTCACTCCCCAAGAGATCGCAACAGCCAGTACTGTGTCAATCCAAAGCCAGGAGCCCCTTCCAGGTCTCCCACGTGGGTGCAGGGTCCCAAGGCTTTGGGCTGTCCTCGACTGCTTTCCCAGGCCACAAGCAGGGAGCTGGATGGGAAACAGGGATGCTGGAACACAAACCAGCACCCATATGGGATCATTGCATGTTCAAAGTGAGGACTTTAGCTGCTAGGAATGGCGCAGGGCCCAAGTAAAAATTTTTTTAAAGGTTTATTTTGTTTTTATTGGAAAGGCAGATTTACAGAGAGGAGAAGGTACAGAAAGATTTTCTGTCTGCTGGTTCACTACCAAGTGGCTGCAACGGCCAGAGCTGAGCCAATCTGAAGCCAGGAGCCTAAAGCTTCTTCCAGGTCTCCCATGTGGGTGCAGGGTCCTAAGATTTTGGGCTATCCTTTACTGCTTTCCCAGGCCACCAGCAGGGACATGGAAGTGAAGTAGAGCAGCTAGAATATGAATTTGTGTCCAAATGGGATCCCAGCAGTTGCAAGGCAAGAATTTCTTCATTCGGTTATTGTATTAGGTCCAAATAAAGTAAATCTCAAAAAAAAAAAAAAAAATTCCAGGGCTGGAGTTGTGGTGCAGCAAGTTAAGCGACCACCTGTGCTGCTAGGCAGCTCTACTCCAGTTAAGCTCCTTGGTAACCCACCTGGGAAGGCAGAGGAAGGATGGTCCAGGTGCTTGGGCCCTTGTCATCCATGTGGGAAACCTGGATGCAGTTCGTGGCTCCAGGCTTTGGCCTAGCCCAGCACTGCCACCAGCATTTGCAGAGTGACCGGTGGATATAACACTTCTTTTTCTGTTTCTTCCTCCCTGTATCTCTACCTTTCAGATAAATTAATGTATTTTTAAAAGGTTTTTAAATTTATATTTATGGTAAAGTCAGATATACAGAGAGGAAGATCTTCTGTCCGATGATTCACTCCCCAAGTGACCACAATGGCTGGAGCTGTGCCGATCTGAAACCAGGATCCCAGAGACTCTTCAGGGTCTCCCTTGTGAGTGCACGGTCCCAAGGCTTTGGGCTGTCCTCGACTGCTTTCCCAGGGCACAAGCAGGGAACTGGATGGGAACCAGTGCCCATATGGGATCCTGGAGTGTGCAAGGCAAGGACGTTAGCTGCTAGGTTACTATGCCAGGCCCTGAATGTTCACATTTTAAAAGTACATACTTTTTTACTTATTTCAAAGTGGGAATCACAGAAAGAAGGGGAGAACAGAGAGCTATCTCCCATTCACCATTTCACTTTCCATATGGCTGCTCTTTGAGCCAGGCTGAAGCCAGGAACCAGGAGCTCCATGCCGTCTGTCATGGGGGCAGAAGGAGTGCAAATATTAGAAGTGAAACTAACTGGAGCCCAAAATAGCATCCCATATGCGATGCTGCCGATGTCAGTAGCAGTTACACCTGTCCCACCACAATGCCAACACTCAATGTTTTTATTTATTTTTAAAGATTACTTATTTTTGGGCACAGTGTGGTAGCCTTTGCTAAACTCCTCACCTTGCTGGGATCCCATATGTTCGCCGGTTCTAATCCTGGCTGCTCCACTTCCCATCCAGCTCCCTGCTTGTGGCCTGGGAAAGCAGCTGAGTGTGACCCAAAGCCTTGGGATCCAGCACCCACGTGGGAGACCCAGAAGAAGCTCCTGGCTTCTGGCTTTGGATTGGCATAGCACTGGCCGTTGTGGCCACTTGGGGAGTGAATCAGTGGATGGAAGATCTTTCTCTCTGTAAATTTGCCATTCCAATAAAAAAATAAATCTTCTTGTTTTAAACATGTTTTAAAAAAAGATTTTTCATCTACTGGTTCATTCCCAAATGGTTAGAACAGCTGGAACAAAGCCAATCTGAAACCAGAAGCCAGAAGCTTCTTCTGGGTCTTTTTCAAGGCTTTAGGCTATTTTTTGCTGCCTTTCCAGGCCATTAGCAGGGAGCTGGATGGAAAGTGGAGCAGCTGGGGCAGGAAGCAGCACTCATACAGAATCCTTGCGCTGACAGGCAGGGGATTAGCCTGTTGAGGCATTGTGCGGGGTACAGCTCCAATTGCTTTTTAAACTACTACTTTAAAAACACAGTTTACTTATGTACTTTACTTTCTTTCCTATTAAAGGCTTTCCTCAGAAGTCTGTGTGCCTCAACTTGGGGGTATCACTTAATACTATGAGAAATATTTAGAGTAACATTAGTAGAACTGCTACATATCACAAACTAAGAGATACAAGATGGTCTTAATTCTAAAGAGAGCAAAGAGATTGAAGATAATCCAGAAATAGCTTGCATTTAAAAGTATGGGACTGCACAGTTCAATGGGAACTTGTCAGCCATGGACAGCATCATAGGGTGATCTGGCTGGGCCATTTCATTGATGAAATCCTTTTCTCAGTAACCTTAGATGTTTTCTTCCAGGTTGGTCAGACTTCCCAAACCCTTGGCAAGCTCTCCTTCCATCTCTCACCAGGTAGGCAAAAGAACTGGCTGTATCAGGACTCTGTAGCATTACCTGGGAGAGCAGGTTGACAAGCAGTGTGTACACGCTCACTTACCCCTCCTTTTCTGAGAACTGCACCTGCCCCTAATGGTACTTTGTACACTCTATTCCACACACTCCCTATTTTATGTTCTCCTGAGAAGAAACCTTTCATCTCTGCTGGGGAAATAAAAAGATCCAAGGGCCTACCTAGACTTTTCTTTTTTAAAAGATTTGTATCTATGTCTATAATTATTTATTTATTTCCATTTGAAAGGCAGATTTTACAGACAGAAAAGGAGAGACAGAGCTAGGAGGTCTTCCACCTGTCTGTTCACACCTCACATGACTGTTATGGCCACAGCTGAGCTGCGAAAGCAGGAGCTTCTTTTGTAGGATTAGAGTGCTGTGCCTGCTGTGTCAGCTCCCATGGCTTCCTAACCAGTCAGCTAGTCCTCCTTGTTTCGGTTCATGTCCTCTCTTGCTCCTCCACTCACAGGTAGCAAATTCCTGAGTCTACTGGGAAATCCCCAATATAAATAAAGTACGTTTAGTTCTTGGTACTTCCCTTTCCCGGTTCAGTACTCCAGTGCTTTGGGACTCTTAAGTCATATAACTGCTGTTCTGCTTTCCAGTTCCCAACAATGCTGTTGGTGTTGCCTTCTCTCCTATTTCTATCAACCGTGATATGGAATTATGTCTTTAAAAAATAATTATTTTAATGTGTTTTAGGAGGGGTTGAAAGTAGGTGAATGTTTAAATTCTTCAGGACTTACAGGACCAAAGCTGTCTCCAAAACTTCCGTTAGTCACAAGCCCTTTCAGGGACTTGCTCCTGATGAGAACACTGCCTGTCAAGAGGCATTTCTCAACACATAGGGCCTGTCTATCCCTGGGTCACAGTTTATGTCTGGAAGCTCTGGGTTCACCATGTGCCTCAACTTGGGGTATCACTTAACAGCATGAGAAATTCAGATTAAGATTACTAGAACAGCTATATATTATAAACTAAGAGCTACAAGATGGTCTTAATTCTAAATAGAGAAAAGAGATTGAAAATATCCCAGATATAATTTTCTAGGCCATGTTTATTCCAGGCTGAAACAAAGAAGCAATAAGCCAACTTCTTCAGTGTCACTTAGGAACAACTGACTTACACTCAGTAATATCTCACCTCATGATACGAAAAGGCACATCTCAAGGGTCTTCAGAAAGCTCACAAAAAATGTGTAGATAAAACACACTAGGCATGAGTTTCAAAACATTTTGTACCAAAATGAGTATCTTTTTATATTTTTAAAGATTTATTTATTTGAGAAGCAGACAGAGAGGGAGAGAAATAAACACAAAGAATTTCCATCTGCTGGTTTGCTGGTTCATTTTTCAAATGCCTGTAACAGCTGGGGCCCAAAGTAAGCAGCTGAGAACGCAATGCAAGTCTCCCATTAGACTGCCACGCTCTCCATGACATAAGCCGTCACCGCTGCCTTCCTGGGTCTGCACTAGGAAGCTGCAGTCATGAGCCTGAGCCGAGTACTGAACTTAGGTTCTCTGATGTGGGATGCAGGACCAGGTACCTTAACTGCTGGGCTAAACCTGAACTTTGAAACTTAACTTTGAATTCCATTTTGCCATGGATTTTTTAAAGTACCCTAGTACCATCGTGACATGAACCATGCCTGTAGTTCTTTATCCAAAAATTATTTGTTTAATTTTTAAGGTTTATAATGAGTGGGTCAAGGAGGCAGGACTAGGTTAACCAAATAGATATTTCTTAGTCAATGGTAAACAACAAGCAACCAACTCAACAAATGACCCACTCCCAAGTCCACCTGTACCGAAACCAGTACTGACACATGCAGATACTCACTTAACTACAGAAAACAGCTCACCTTTGTTACAAATTTCCATTATAAGGAACTCAAATTTCAGAAGCAAGTCAACACTCTATGAGCCATGCTAGGAAGGCCAGGAAAAGGCAATAAAGGCAGTTAAGTACCTGCACCGATCCCCCATGGCGGTCTGCAGCCAAGTGAGACGTCAGGTATGAGGTATTGGTCTGCCGGCTGGGCTGGACTTCCCACTCTCCTCGGCGCTCTGACGATGCAGTCTGCTCAGGCATTAGGAAGCATGACAGCAAGACAGGGAAGGAACGGTGAAGCAACAGCAAGCAATAACAAAATCAAGAACATCTGTGTCCTGTGGGCTCTGGGATTTTAAATTAGCAACCGCTGCAAAGCACTGAGAAAAAGCCAAGAGCCAATCATTTTAGTGTAAAGAGCCAACAATTGAGTCTATAGCACATCATCTTCAACCAGACACAGAAAAGCAAGAATCATCAAAAGGGAAAACAAAAACAAAAAGCTACAATCCACTTTTAGCTTCTGTATTTGTAAATCTCCAGTAGCCACTAAATAGATTAAATTCAGAATGTTCAGATCTTGGACAAAGGAGCAATCCTACTTACAAATCCTTTCACTGATTAACTGAGTACACAACAGTCAATATTGGAAACTCCTGTATGAATAATCCAGATAGTATATTTTCCCCTAAATCGAGAGCCTATTCTTAACATTAATCTTCAGAAGACTTTCTACACAGATAAAAGACCAACACCTAGAATAAGCTTTCCGATCTAAAATAATGAACAAAGTATCTCTTCCAAGGCAGGTTCAACATACATTAAAAATATAAAAAGGAGATAAAAAATAAGGTTACCAGTCTTATTTTGCGTTTCCTCATAACTGCTTTTAGTTTAGAATTACAGTGAACTTACTGACTGACATAATTACTATGAATTATTTTTCCCTAGAAAGTGAAAGGCAAATTTTCTCTCAGCAAAAGCCATGCTGGCTTTTAATTTAAAACCTGTCTGGGATTAGGTGGTGTGGTGCAGTAGATTAAAATACTACCTGCGATGCCAACATCATTCGACAACAGCTGGAGTTCTGGCTGCTCTGCTTCCATCCAGCTATTAACGTGCCCGAGAAAGCAGCAAGACATGCCCCAAGTCCTTGGCTTCAACCCAGTTCAACCTTTAACATCTTGGCAATTTGGGGCGGGGAACCAATAGATGGAAAAGCTCTCCCTGTTTGTGTTTCTCTCTCTCTGGAGAACTGTGCCTTTCAAATAAACTAAACAAACAAAAACAAAAGCCTCTTTGATTTGTTTTCACCTTTGCTGTCATTCAAGCTCCTGTTTTTGTTTCTGTATTATTCTGATTTTGCTCATATGTGACTTTTTTGTTTTGAAGATCCTGTTTAGGTGCCTCTTCTATGCCAGATGGCTAGGAGGTGTTAACATTATCACGCTCAGCTCTAACAGTCCTAAGGCTCCACAAAAATGAAAACTGAGGATGTGGAGAGGCAGCAGAGGGACTTGTAAATCAAATTTGAATTGCTACAGATATAAACAGCAGCAGGGGTTGGATGTGAGGTTGCTGTTCAGCATGACAACCAGTAAGGACCTATAAATCTCAACTATAAATGCTGCCTTCTGTAACAGAGAAGAGGAGGAAGTGAGGCTTTCTGAATCCATGTTCATTCTCCCCTCAGTCTTCTCATTGATGAGTGGCTTGCTTACAGTTTACTCATGTGTCACTTCAAAAGCATTTCCAACAAAAATCAGCTTGCTGCAGAAGCTACAATTTATTCATCCTTATAAACAGCATCAAGTCACACAAATAAACTAAACAAGGTAAGAGCACTGTAAAGGATCTTGGCCGTGTTTTCTGGTGTTCCTCAGGGACTGATTCTCACAGAAGGCAGCTGTATAAACTTGCTTGCCTTATAATCTTGGAAAATGTTTTTTCTATTATTATTAAGATTTATTTCTTTTTATTGGAAAGTCAGATATACAGAGAGGAGGAGAGACAGAGAGGAGAGATAGAGAGGAAGATCTTCCATCCGATGATTCATTCCCCAAGTGGCCGCAAAGGCCGGAGCTGAGCCAATCCGAAGTCAAGAGCCAGGAGCTTCCTTACGGTCTCCCACACGGGTGCAGGGTCCCAAGGCTTTGAGGCGTTTTCAACTGCTTCCCAAGGTCACTAGCAGGGAGCTGGATGGGAAGTGGAACTGCCAGGATTAGAACTGGTGCCCATATGGGATCCCAGGCGTGCAAAGTGGGGACCTTAATAATTACGCTATTGCGCCAGGGCCGGAAAATAAGTTTTTTATGCGCTGGTCATATGAGAGTGAATCAAAGCTTCCCCTAATAATCCCTCCCCCTAACTGCTTCTGCCAACCGAGGTTGAGATGTTTCGTTTTCCAAAACCAGTCATGTAAAATAACATAATCATACCATTATTCAAATTTAGTGTACACATCTTTAGAAGTTTCAGTCTCATTTACTCAGACGACTAGAGATGTAAGAATAAATCTCTTCAAATATTACAAATAACATCTGTAACTAGTATCTACCAGAGACAGCCTCTTCCGTTCTTTCTAGGTCTTCCTTTTCTGTCATGTTACTATGTTAAGTAGACATTTAAGCCTCTAAATTATTATATAGTTTTGCCAGTTCTTCCAAAATTTGAGTTCATAAAAAATCATCCATTTACATGCCTTTCAGGATACATTTCAGTTTACAATATACATTTGATGCAATTACTTCTCATACATGTTTTCTATTTTTATAATTTTTAAAGGAAGATAAAATTAAAGTCTTTGAAAATGTGTGTTTATTATATGTTCATATGATTCTAAAGTTAAGAAAGCCCTGGGCAGGCTGGCAAAGTATTATTTCCATTTTTAATGAAATATACATCAGAACTCTGGTTGGATGCTATTGTCTGAATCACAAGGGTAGGCACTTATTTATATTATTTCTGACTAAATATTTTTCTTACATGAAAATAGTAAAATATTTTAACAGATTTAAAAGTCACACTCCATATCTATGTTTAAGGAAATGTGCTATTTATCTTTTAAGGAAAGAAAAATGTATCTAGAGTACTTTACAAATGTTTCAATATGACACAGGAAAGACATACTAACCATTACCAGTACCCTCCAATGTCTTCTGTATTTGCTGAAAACAGCAAAACTAAGTGTCAGAGGTGAATGGACTGTTGGCTTATTACTTTGGAAACTACATTTCATTAAAATGCTAAACTTGAGGCTGGTGTTATGGTGCACCAGATTAAGCTGTCCGTTAGCACTGGCAGTTCAAGCCCCACTGTTCCAGCTTCTGGTTCACATGCCTGGGAAAGCAGCAGAAGATGGCCCAACAGCCTATATCCACGGCCACACATGTGGGAGACCCCAGCGGAGTTTCAGATTCTTGGCTTCTGCCTGGCCAGTCACCTTGCTGTTGTAGCCACGTGGGGAGTGAACCATAAACGCTCTCATGGTTTCTCCTTCTTTCTGCCAGTCTTCCAGTAAATATACATGTGTGTGTGTGCATATATATACATTTATTTTTATATATATCATATATTAATGTATCTATAAAAGCCAAACCCTATGGTTATTCTTTTTCAGAATTTAAAGGCTTTAACTATAACCCATATGATGATGTAGAAGAAAGGACTGTTTGCCACGTAAAGGAAGGAATTGAGTGCCTAGGAGTTGGATCCAACCAAGAAATGTTGACAACAACAGTAGTCTGCTAGTAGCCACCCCTGAAAGATTTCTAGGTGACACTGTGACTCAGGGGTTTGGTGCTCTGCTCCGGGAGCCACTGGCGCCTCTTGACTCAGGGGTTCTGAATGGGCACAATCAGCACAGATGGTTAGACCAATGTGCAAATCCTTCATCCTTAAAGATCACTCACACACACACACACACACATCTAAAGGACAACCAAGGCAACAGACAAAAGGGTCAGCCAGCAAAGTCCATCTGTGTGCACTACGTGACAGACAGAGGTGCCCAGTGTGTGAGTCCTCAAAGGCAGCAGCAGGAATCTCAAGGACAAAGAATTCCCTAGGGAAATGCTTTTAAAGTCATGTGTGATTCATCATCTGCACTGAAACTTTTTTTATATTTACACAGTAGGTGAATGTGGAAACAAGTAAGCAGTAATTCAGCACAGGATTAAAAGAACTACTTAAGAAAAAACGCAGAAGACTGGTGAAAAACTGAAAATCACCACTTGTGTCTACAGGAATGCAAGCAAATGTCTCTCAACAGTCATTTGACAGCAATTAGTGAAGGGACAGGCAGCAGATTAACACTAACAGCAAGCAAGAAAAACAGTCTGATAACATCTCAGGTGCCATCCTTGTCTATTGCTTAAAAATGCTCTCAAAAATTTTTAAAGATTTATTTATTTTTATTGGAAATTCAGATTTATAGAGAAGGAGGGAGAGAGAGAAAGATTCTCCGTCTGCTGGTTCACTCCCCAAGTGGCTGCAAAGGCTGGAGCTGAGCTGATCTGAAGCCAGGAGCCCAGACACTCTTCTGGGTCTCCCACGTGAGTGCACGGTCCCAAAGCCTTGGGGCCATCCTCCTCTCCTTTTCCAGGCCACAAGAAGGGGGCTGGATGGGAAGTGAAGCAGCTGGGACATGAGCCAGTGCCCACTACCGATCCTCATGCATGCAAGATAAGGATTTAACCACTAGGCCACTGTGCTGGGTCCTTAAATTCTTACTAAATACAAAACTACTGCTAGAGCACAAGAAAGGCAAACATTTTCCTCTTGTAGAAATGAATAATCAAATTCTATTCTTCACAGAAAGTTAATTAAGTTCGATTTTTATTATACTTATAAAAGAATTTCACTCACTTCTACTTCATCATGGCTCTGATAAATATTCCAAAAGCAGCTATGAAAAAGCAAAACTACCTGTTCTGGCCTGTCACTCTACTTGGCTTCATTCACTCTCTTCACGTAGTAAAAAGTGAGTACAAAGAGACACTGAACAGTACCAAAAAGTCAATAATGAATACATTAGATTACACTGTCCCATCACAATTCCAAGACAAAAATTCCTCTTTTTTTTTTTATTAATATGACGAGGATAAGATGGAGGGAAAAATGGGACAGGAAGAATGGTATAAGATGTATCTTAAGAAATTATATATATTTTTAAAGATTTACTTGTTTATTTGAAAGTCAGAGCTACAAAAGAGAAGACAGGGAAAGAATCTTCCATCCTACTCCCTAGATGACCACAGCCAGGAATTTGATCTGGGTCTCTTACATGGGTGCAAGGGCTCAAACACGCAGGCCATTTTCCACTGCTTTCCCCATGTCATTAACAGGAGTTGGATTGGAAGTGGAGCAGTCAGGACACACACAGGCGCCATATGGGATGCCAGTGTCACAGGAAGCAGCTCTACTAGCTACACCATAAGACTGGCCCCAAGAAATTATTTTTGAAGTATTAGACTTGGACAGGTAGAGAGTGAAAATTACGCTGACAAAGCATTAAAGTATATACTTCAACAAAACTGAAAAATTCCTTTTATTAAGCTCATGAAAAAAAGAACCAATTTTTCCATGCCAGATGGTGGTTATTCTATAGAATCAATCATTTGTGCAAACTGTGACTTCTTATATTCTATAAGCCTAATCAAGTATGAAGAATGTTTAAAAACCGCTTGGGGTTCCCATATTCCCTACGGAGGTGCCAGATTCAAATTCCACTTCATAGTCAGCTTTCTGCTAAAGCACGTGGGTGGCAGCAGATGACGGCTCAAGTACTTGGGCTCCTATCACCCATGTGGGAGACCTGGATGAAGCTCTTGGCAATGACCTGGCCGAGTAAGGCTGCTGCAGGTATGTGGGCTGTGAGTCTCTGTCTCTCCCTCTCACTTAGCCTTTCAAGTAAAGAAATATATCTTGAAAAAAATAAAACACAAAACCTGGAAAGTAGCAGAGTCAAGATCAGTACTATGTAGGTCCACAGAGACCCAAATATCAATTCAGTGACACCCTTAAAAAAAAAAAACATAGAAATTGGGCCCGGCAGCGTGGCCTAGTGGCTAAAGTCCTCACCTTAAATGTGCCCGGGATCCCATATGGGTGCCAGTTCTAATCCTGGCAGCTCCACCCCCCATCCAGCTCCCTGCTTGTGGCCTGGGAAAGCAGTCGAGGACAGCCCAAAGCCTTGGGACTCTGCACCCATGTTGGAGACCTAGAAGAAGTTCCTGGATCCTGGTTTCGGATTAACATAGCACTGGCCGTTGCGCTCACTTGGGGAGTGAATCATCGGATGGAAGACCTTTCTCTCTGACTCTTGTCCTCTCTGTATATCTGACTTTCCAATAAAAATAAAATAAATCCTAAAAAAAAAAAATAGAAATCATCCTCTCTTCATAACCCCACCTTATTCTTACTCAGAATGGAGAACGACCCTCTCAGAGGGGTTAGGATTACTCCCAGATTCACCAAATCTCTTCCTACAAGGTGACAGCTCAGAACATGGATATGCACTGAATTATAAAATGAGGAATGTTCACAGACAGAAGAAAACTTTTATTGTAGAGCAGAACATTTAGAGCAGAGGTAGGCAGCACTGACAGTGTGACAGGACAGAAGTTAAGCAAAGTGTTCAGCTGCAAAGTTGGCTCATTTCCATGTTTCTCTGAGTTAAGGCCCCAGGGACAAGCAGAGATGGCCCTACCCTGCACTGAGTTCTAAGTGGGGAAGGCCAGGGTGGGCCCCCAATCTCTCTGCCTGTGCTCCTGATACACAGTAGCAGGTGACAGGGAAGTATTCATTAAGTCAAAAGGAGGTTTACTCATCTGTCCTTTCAACTAGCGAGATCCAAGCCTTGGTGAGAACTAACCAATACTCCATAAAAGAAAACAGAGCATTAACCAGTTTTTATTTTTGGCTACTGGGCCTTTTATAAAATTTTCTGAAGTTTTCACTTTCTGAACATCTTTTACTATCTTAACTACTTAGCAATTTTGCCTCATGTCCTCCATGGAAAGCTTATGTTCATAACAAGCTTCATTTAGTAAGAATCAGCACTAAACCAAGCAACTTTTTTCTAAAGCTACACAGTTCTTCAACTTATTCTCTTAGAGTCTAGATACAAATAAATCGAACCCCCCTCTTTTTTGTTTTTAGAAGCAAAGATTCTTTAGAATTAAACGACCTAAACCTTTTAAAATTTTCTTTATTTCTATATGTTTGTAAGTGGCTGAGCTAGTTTAAATGCCAAAATTCCTTTGGAAAATGAGGGATCAACTTTACTGATCTTGGGTCTATATTTTCCTTCCTAGTCCAACTAGAGAGTTTACACAGTAAAAATATAATATATGGTACTTGGTACTAATATAGTAATAATAAATAAGAAATAACAAGGAATAAGTTTTTCCTCTTAAACATGTTGTGCTTACAAAAACATAAGACAGAGTGAGTAATAATTTGTGTTCAGTATCAGAGGTAGGATCCCATCTCTGGTAGTGTTTAAAGGCCTCTGCTGCCACTAATGACTCTCCAACTCCAGCAGGACCTGTCCAAGGAAAGAGTCAGTGGGAGAAAACGGTGCTGACCCAGGGTAGCTTATGTTTGTGCAGAACTGGCACCAGCTTGGATGTAAAATTCTGAAACACCAGGAAGAATATTATTGCATGGATATGCTAATCAATACAATATTCTATATTTAGTGCAATTTACAAGCTTACCCAGTAAAACTTTCGTCGGTATAGTATGTCATACCCTAACAGCACATCTGTAGATATCAACAGTACTTACTTTCTGATTGAATTTGATTAATGTATGGCAATTCTTATTACTAGGTGGGACTAGGCAAAACTACTAAACTCTACACCCTTGCTGCTAAGTATCAGCAAGACAAGGTCTGCCCTATTTAGGAATTGGAAGGAACAAACAGCAAGAGTAAAATGTTGAGAGAGAGAGAAAAAAAAAAAATGAACCCAACTGGGATCTTCCTGAATGCACAGTGCTTTTAGGAATACTTACTCTACCCAAATGTACAATTTACTTAGTGCTCTAGTTAGGCTAAATCAATGCTCAAAAAATCATTAACCATCTGGTGTTTACAAATAAGCTTTGTAAGGCATTTCGGTTGTGAGGGACATTTGGCGTAGCACTTCAGTTGCTACTTAGGCTGCCCACACTCGGTGTCAGAGGGCCTGGGTCAAGTGCCAGGTTCTCAGCTTCTGATCAGTTTTCTGCTTCTCCACACCCTCGGAGGCAGCAGGCGATGACTGAATACTGTTTCTGAGGAGTGGACTGGCAGATGGAAGATTTCTGCCTTTCAAATAAAAATTAAAAATAAAATAAAAGACAAATATAATGTAAATTTAAATATACTTCTTTGGGAACCATATTTGGCATCCATTACTGCATCTATAAGTAGAACAGTACTCAACTCAATATGCTTATAGTGTAGATCAGCAAAACAAAATTCTCCCAGAACATAATGCAATAGATTCCCACTGAGATAGAGCTATTATTATCACAAGGGCTTTCTTTGCAGCAAAAGACTGCTGTGTTTTCTTACATTCCTCCCCTTAAGCAGACAACCCAGACCTACTCCGGCTGCCAAAAGAGGCAGAATGGCTCTTTGTGGAATAGAACACAAGTAGCAAGAAAAGCTTAAAACCTTTCATTTCATCTACATTCTTCATTTGAGAGATGCAGTCACTCACAAACTTTATGAAGTGTCGACTATTCTACGTATTAATTTAGGTACGATGGAGAAAAAACAGTGAACAAAACAACGTAAGTCTTAAAGTTGAGAAGGTTGTGACTCCAAACAGTTTAAATATTCTTTGACCAAAGTCTTGCGACAAGCTAAAATCTGGCATGAGACTAAGCCAAGCCTGAAAGCTAGACTCATCACTACACAGTTGACCAGCAGATCTACCCTGAACAAGGACACTCTTGATGAATTATCACTAAGCCTTAACTCCCTGAACAACATCCTCTATGTGCCAGATATCTTCATGTAAATTACACAGCAAGTATTTTAAACTGTAAACAAGTCCCACCTGCCTCCCGAAAATCCAGGGTAAAATCTCAGCAATCCATTATGTGGGAGACCCAGAGAAAAGACCCTGGCTCCTGGCTTCAGATTGGCTCAGTTCCAGCCTTTGCGGCCGCTTGGGGAATGAATCATCAGATGGATGATCTTCCTCTCTGTCTCTCCTCCTCTCTGTATATCTGAGTTTCTAATAAAAATAAATAAATCTTTTTTAAGGATTTATTTATTTTTATTGGAAAAGCAGGTCTCCCATGCAGACACAGAGTCCCAAGGCTTTGGGCCGTCCTCAACTGCTTTCCCAGGCCACAAGCAGGGAGCTGGATGGGAAGCGGGGCTGCCGGGATTAGAAACCGTGCTCAAATGGGATTCTGGGCATGCAAGGCGAGGACTTTAGCTGCTATGCTATTGCGCTGGGCCCAAAATAAATAAATCTTAAAATAAAAATAGGCAGGAGGAGGAGAACAACTCAGAAGTTAGTCAAAGGGGCTGGCATTATGGTTTAGTGGGTAAAGCTGCTCTCTGTGACACCAGCGTCCCATATGGGTGATGGTTTGTGTCCCTGCTGCTCTGCAATCTGGCTATCTGGTAAAGGCAAGGGAAAAGCAGAGGAAGATAGTCCAAAGTTTTGGGCCCTTGCTTCAAGGAAGTGGAAAACCTGGGTGAAGCTCCAAGCTCCTGCCTGTGACCTGGTCCAGTGCTGGCTATTGCCACTACCTGCAAAGTGAACCAGCAGATGAAAGATTTTTGTCTTTCCCTCTCTGCAACTGTTTAAAAACTAAAAAACAAAACAAAGCAAAACAAACAAAGTCATAAGTTTTAGATAACTAAACTGAAATTTAAAAATCCATTTTTTTGTGCCCAGAAGGGTAGCTTAGTGGCTAAAGTCCTCACCTTACATGCACTGGGATCCCATATGGGTACTGGTTCGTGTCCTGATTGCTCCATTTCCCATTTTTTTATTTATCCATTTTCTCTTTGCTATTCCTAACTTTCTTTTGTTACCTACCAAGCCAGATATTCTGCTAAGAGTGTACACTTAGGATAAGCGGTATATATACATACTTCATTCTACACATATACACGTACTTTGTGTGTGTACAACCACATACTAATTTTTATTTATTTATTTATTTTATTGGAAAGTCAGATTTACAGTGAGACAGACAGAGAGGAAGATCTTTCATCTGCTGACTTACTCCCCAAGTAGTCACAATGGCCAGAGCTGAGCTGATCTGAAGCCAGGAGACAGGAGCTTCCTCTGGGTCTCCCACACGGGTGCAAGGTCCCAAGGCTTTGTGTTATCCTTGACTGCTTTCCCAGGCTACCAGCAGGGAGCTGGATTAGAACCGGCGCCCATATGGGATACTGGTGCATTCAAGGTGAGGACTTCAGCTGCTAGGCTACTGTACCATGCCCCCTACATACTAATTTTAATTTTAACCTATGCACTGGCACCTGTGCTTTCTGTGAGATGAGTATGCTCTTTTTTATTTCTTGTAAAATTTCTGATATTAAAAGGTGAGGTGAGGCTGACAGAGAACAAGCTAATTTGTTATCTGGTGATTTAAAGATACACACACATGCGCATACATTCCATCTGTTTGTTATACTTTGCTTATTTATCTCCAGGGCTCTCTCTGAGCAATACTTGTATATAATAACAAGATAAAAAACATATTTATCATATTTTCTCCTCAGTCCTTTTTAAAGATGAAGTCAAATATATCGATAATTTTTTCATGTTTGGCTCCTTGGTCTTTAAGCTGAGACCACGAAACCACTACTCTCCCAACCAGTGAACAGGGAGGGACAGATGACACAGCCTTCTCTGGAATTTACTAGGTTAAACCAAGAGTGGTATGAAGGTGACAGTTCATGTTCAGGTTAGCTGCAAGTTGAAAACCCACCCTTAATCAGCAAGTGTTACAAACAACTGCAGAGGAGACCCAAGGTGGGCTACTTAGTATATACTGTATGGCCAGTTAGTAGGTCCTGTTGCACATTTCTAAGATCCTGAATCACTGCTAGTGCCCACTCATCAGCCAATGGCCTGGGCAGATTCTCTACAATGAATGCTTTATGCAAAGCACCTGGCCACATCTCAGCACTACTGCACATGCCACCAGGGCTATGACATCAAACAGAATAACATCATAGCATATCACTGAGAAATGTTAAGGCTTGTCTTTAACTCCAGTATCTACATTGACATAGAAAAATGAGAATTTAAGATCTAACATCGGCTAAGAAGCAGAATGTTTGGAATAATGAAGGACCAACACATACCTGATTTCGAAGAGGCTGCTGTTGCGATGGCCGATCCCTGTGTGTGTGGCTTTCTCGAGTTATTGCGGATGCACCAGAATCTACATGAACTGACCCTACTGGAGTAGGCTGGAAAATGAGCAAACAGTCAAATGGATAAAACAGGCCCAACTCGATGCCTCTGTCACCCTAACAGTAGAATTTCAGCTACCAAAAGTCACTCAGGTTGTCTTACATTTTCAGTTTGCTCCTCTATAAAAGGGAGTCAGCCTGGTCTCAATAGGCTCTGGAGAATAAAAACTATCCTACAGCGACATCTGTTTGCTTACACTCCTGCCCTGTGCACCTCTGGACAGAAGAGCAAATCTAACAGTTTCCTGTGGCACTGGCTTCCACTCCCAAAAGATCAAGGCATCCTATTAGTGATGCAATAGCAACTTCTCATTCAACTTAAACTTATAAAAAAAAGGCTTAAATCCCGGCAGTTTAGGATACACAAGTAGTAATTTAAGAAATGCGTAATTTATGCTTTCTAACTCTTGCGAGGTTAACTTGGCATCAGCCTGGGAAGCAAAGTCAGAACATCCAGCTTGTGAGCTGTGTAAGGCCTGCAGCATCATCTGGTCTGGCCCTGACAAAGGAACTGCAGGTGGGACTCAAAATTCAATATTATCTATAGCAGGGTAATTTTTAAGTTGATAGTTTTGTAAGGTGTGGGAATGAGGCAGCCCTTGAAGGAAAAAGAGTTTCATCCCTGCGATAAAGGTTAGAAAAGTAAAGTTCATGATCAAATGAATGTTTTCTACTTCTGAAGATTTAAGCGGCAAAAGTGGTAGGGCAGTGTTTGTTTGAGGAAAGAAGTAAAGAGGTACAAAGAGGATACTCACAATAGGCCTCCCAACCCAATCATAGGCGTAGTCAAAGGTGTAGCCTTTCCTTTCAAACAGGTCTGTGAAGAGGGTCCGTAAATATTCATAGTCAGGTTTTTCAAAGAAGTCTAACCGTCTGACGTATCGAAGATAGGTCGCCATCTCCTCTGTTGGGAAAGGGGTGGAAGACCGTGCTCACTGCCTGCAGGCTTCCCCGTGGGCAGCTCTGGGCCACTCCAGTGCTATCCGTACGGAACACTCAATATTGGTGTTTTCTTTATGAACCAAATAAATGGAAAAAACAAACCTACTATGGTTAGAACAATAAGAGGAAATGTAAATTAGCTGGGCAACACTCTTTTAAAGGCATGCCAAGTCATGACTCCCAAGTACTTCAAAACTTCAGTCACAAGGGCTGGCGTGCCCTTTTAGCACCCTACCTGGAAAGTTCTCACACAGAGCTTCAATAGGAGTGTTCCTTTTGGTGTCGCCGATTTTTTGATACCTCTCTTTTAATGTATCAGCCTGTAGAGAGTAAGGAAAGGTAATTGGAAAGAGGTGCAATGTATGCAGGTTTAACATGTTTTCAGACACAATGGTTGTTCACTCAACTTGTCAGGATTTGTTAGTCTTGATTCTCTCTCCAACACTAGCAAACAAAAGGTGTAGTAGAAAAGATTCATCTAGAGGTGTACAAACATGTGCTTGGGTCCTGGTGGTTCTACTTTCAAACATAGTTAGTAGTCTCAGATAAACACCATCGAATGTGATGAGATGAGTGGCTAAGGTGAGAAAATAAAACCATTTTGTAGCAATACTTTCAAAATTATAGAAACTTAGTACTCTCTCAAGACCACTAAAGTTCAAATAGTGATTTAACTTCAAAATAAGATTTTAAGTACTGTTAATCCACATGAGAGAAAAAGGTAAATGGTTCCACTACACATATACTGGAAACTTGTGGAGAAAAACAGAAGAAATGGCTTTCCTAAATGTGCTTCCAGGTGGAGAAAGGAGATACAGAGCAAGGGCATGGCTACACAAGCAGGTCTAAGCCAGTGGCTCCAAGTATTGTCCAAGCCTCAGGCCTATAGACAGAGGGCTTCTGGGCCTTGGCCCAACAGTAGGATGAAGGAGTCTCATCTGGCTCTATGCATCATGCCACATTTAGATTGAACCAAGAATCTTCCAAAGTAAGTAGAAGAAATTTAGAACTACAACTACCATTATGAAGATTTATGGATCACAGGGAAATTTCAAGCAATTATTACTGAACACTTGCTTGGCTATACAATAAGCAAGTAGGACGTGATCCTCTATCCGAAAGCTGTCAGTATCCTTGAGAAGAAAATGGCAGGGGTTAGATATGAATAGAGGAACTGAAGGGTGAAGTAAAATCTCCTCAAAGGGACCAGTTAGATGCCTTACTTTGAAACAAGGACTTAGGAAAAAGCAAAATGAGTCATGCGGTCCTCCTGGAGGGAAGGGAATGGGAGCAGCCCATATTAGAGATTTCAATTCTTTCCATACTGAGTTAGAACTTAAATATGTCTCACATTTAACCATTTAATGGACTTAAGGTAGGTGAAAGGTTTGCCATTTCTGCGTCTAACAGCTAGGGGTACAAAGTAATTTTAATATTTATGCTGATAAACACTTAGGCTTTGCTTGTAGCCACTGTACTGACACCTAGGTAAGAAAGGCTTTTGTCTGAAAAGGCACTGATTCATCAGTATACTTCATCAGCAATGTTGCAGCTGGACTTCGATTTTTAGCTCAGGCAGGCCCTTAGCCTACAAAGGATGAATATTTTCCAGTTCCCCTCTAAGGGAACTCCTTGTTGACCTTTCCAGTAAAATGTGTTGCAGCTACTGTAATCAATTTGTCCCAGAATTTCATAACATACTGGGAACACTCCTCTTGTTCTAGAATGGTAATGGGGGCAGGAATATGGACATAACAAAAAGCTTTACTGTGACAATGGGAAGGAAGGGAAAAGAGGAAGATCTAAGAACAAAAAGGAAGGACTGAGAAAGGGAAGAAGAGAAATGTGAACAAAACAGAGCTCTTATGGGCTGGGTGAGCATTTATATTACAGACGAATGGCCCGGACCCTCTATTCTCATCTCTGTAGCCAATTTTCCCTCCTGTCTACCTGCGGTTCTTAAGAGACATCAAACAGGCAGTTCCTTCATTAACAACTGAGCGCTGAAGCAAAATCCCCCACCAAGCACTTTCAAGGATACCTTGAGTCCTTGCCAGGGCAGGCTGCCTCGAAGGAAATACATGAACATATGGCCTAGAGCTTCCAAATCATCGCGACGGCTTTGCTCTAAAAGGGAAGACAGATCACATGTTGTGTTGGCAGTTATTACAGCAGAAAGGAGTTCAAAATCAGTAATCCCTTCAGAAGCCCTTCTGCTCTGGAAAGGCTCTGCTTACTAATTCTCTGCATGTCTAAGCCAGGCAGAGTATGTTAGATCAAAACCAAAACACAATGTGTACTTCCTTGCTCTAGGTATGCTGCGGGTAAGCAAGTATCCAGTGAAAAGAACAAGGCCTAAATTAAAACCCATCCCAAATTATTAAGGAACTAATAATCACCCCTTCACACTCAATGCTATTACCCTCCTAAAAATGAATGATTTCAGTAAAATGCTACTGCCGGTACATGAGCTACAATTGCTACAATTACCCTTTGGTTACCACCAGGGAACATGAATAGCAGATTAAAAGCAGCTAATGCTGTTAAAACATCGACTTTGGCTGGACTTGCAAAGGTACAAGTTATAGAATACCTAGTATACATACTTCAGTACTTTTGACTCATCATAAAAGTTAACACTTAAAAATCCAGTTTCATATAAGCAAATATCAATGCTTAATCTCTTGGTTACCATTTCTTTTGCATCATACCCCATAACTACCTTAAGAAACTTAAAATTTATCACTAAGGTGCCTTCTATAGAGAGAAGAGTCCCTGCATTCTGAGAACTTATCTAAAACAAATTGCTCAGTCTTCTTTTTCCTGTTGAGATGAAAATGGGAAAGAATTATCAAATGCAGAATTAATAGAAATTTCAATTTCATCTCTGACAACACTCCATGAATTCTCCACTTGTCAGACTGACTGTAAGCAGTCCATTCATCTATTTCTAATCTGCCAATAATGGTTCAGCTCTGACATTTGTGTGTCCCTCCCCTCCAGATTCAAGCTTAGGGCTTTATCAAAAGACATCACACAGTGAAACAATGACTGAAAACAACTGTGTATTTCAAAACACCCAGCAGGAAGAATTTACAACATCCTTAAGACAAAGAAATGGTAAATGTATGAGTTGATGAATATGTCAATTACACTGATCTAAGTGAACACACATATCACACTACACCCATAAATATGTGCACTTATATGTCAAAAATACTATAAGGGAAGGAAGGGGAAGGGAGCGAGGAAGAACGGAATTACAGAAGCAAGACTAAGAGGCTGTCCCTTCAACCTGTTGGCATTTCCTTTGTACAGAAGGTAAGACCCAAGAAAGCCAGGGAAGCAGAGAAAGCCACTTAGTTAAGATACAAAACCACAAGGTGCCATTTTGAGTTACAAGACATTTGCATGAAAAAGTGTTAATAGTTCTCCACAGAGTGAGAGAGAAAAAGCAGCTTTCTAAATGGGTGGCTGGGGGGGAGGGGGTGGTCTTAGAAAGACGATCACTAATGGGAAGGAGAAGCATCCTGACTGAGAAAACCTGAGGACGTGCATACCTCAGCTGAAATGATCTTAAGAGAAAGAAAAGAAAACACAGCAAGAGCATTAGAGAATTCTGCATAAGTGGCTTGTCTGAGTTTGCAAAAAAAAAAATATATATATGTATATATATATTATATAATGAAAATAAAAAGCAAATGGACAAAAAAAGTTTGTTCATGGAATATAAGGGAGCACCAGAGAAAACTAGCAAAAACAGCAGGGTGATGTGAGGCCTCCCCTAGAGTAGGGCAAGTGGGAAAATCTCATGGTTGTATCACACCTACTCATCACCTCACCATCTTCCTGTCCACTTTGTGGAACAACAAAGAGGCTCCTGCTCAAAGGGAGCTGACACATGGTTGCATTTTAGCTAGCTGAGCACTAGGGGGCGAAACGCTCCACATTTTCAGTATTACTCAAAACCTACACAAAAGATTTCACAGTAAAGGCAAGATAAAGTAAGATTACTTTTTTAAAATCTCATTGGAATAAGTAGTAACTCTTAAATAGAAGTAACTCTTAAAATCCTTAGAACCATAAATTGGAATTATGGAATACTGGTAAGAGGAAAAACAATGCTAAGGCAACAATCTAGGTCTTGCTCACCTACTCCATTAATAGAGCTAGGTGAAATTAAGCATGGCTGTCTTCAATTTGCTCATATGAAAATAGACTAGCTATCTGAATAATTTGAAAAAAATATTTTCAGTCTAATATTCCAGAAAAATCTATGATAATTTTAGCCATACGAGCCCTTTCAACAACAAAGAAAAAAAAATCAGTGAAAACCAGACCATGCATGATTTCTATACTTTGGATACTTAAGGCTTGTTCAATCATTATTTCTACACCTTTACTTCTTCACAGAGGGTATTTCCATTTCCAAAAGGTTTCAATACCAGCAAGACCAGGAGGATATAAATTGTTCAGCACCATAAAACTTGCTTTAAACCAATGAGAAAGACGTGCTTGATTTACACATTTACATTCCTGATTGAAGACTAATTATCGTTTGCTGAAGGAAAGGGACATAGTAGCCTAGTGTTTTTGCCTGATTTCAATCATTAAGTAATACTTGATCAATGGAAGGGTGGCTAATGTGATATCAAGGGTCAGGCTTAAGAGGTTCTTCCTCAGTTTCCTCCTTCATAAAATTAATGGGCAACTGTCTCCAAATTCCCAGTATTTTTTTCCTTCATTACAACATAGAAGAAACATAGATTTATGATCAACAGCATTCAAGTTCCTAAGAGGAAACCTCTGTGGTCTGAGACTTGGGACAGTTTAAAGAAATGATGACAATCATCTCTAATGTGGAAAAATAAAATGCAGTGACAGGTTGTATCTGAGCCAAAAAACTTCAGGAACTCAGGAAGTTCAAGTCTGCAAATCAAGTTCCAGCAGCACCAGGGAAGTATACAGCAGCTGCCTGATACCTACTCTTACTTAAAAAATAAAGGCAACTTCCGGGTGGAGCTATCCCATTACATGCAGGCTCAGTGCTAAACTCTGAGCATGTATCATTCCACCAAACCTCTGTTACAGGCACTATTGATGTATTCAGCTTCTACGATAAATGAGACTGAGAGAGAAGGGCTGCTGGATCAAAGCCATTCAGTTATTAAGTCAAAGATCCAGGAATTATATCCTGGATATACATTTTTTCTTTCTCTCTCTTTTTTTTTTTTTTTTAAATTGGAAAGTCAGATACACAGAGAGGAGGAGAGACAGAGGAAGATCTTCCGTCCATTGGTTCACTTCCCAAGCGGCTGCTCTGGTTGGAGCTGAGTCAATCTGAAGCTAGGAGCCAGGAGCTAGGAGCTTCTTCCAGGTCTCCCAACGGCTGCAGGGTCCCAAGGCTTAGGGCTGTCCTTGACTGCTTTCCCAGGCCACAGCAGGGAGCTAGAGGGAAGCGGGGCCTCCGGGGTTAGAACCGGTGCCCATATGGGATCCTGATGCATTCAAGGTGAGGACTCTAGCTGCTACACTATTGCAGCAGGCCCTCTTTTTTTTTTTTTTTTCTTTTAAACTATCTGAAAGGCAAAGAGTGAGCTAGAAAAGGAAGAAGGCAGGAGAGCTGAAAGGAAGAGAATGTGAGAGAGCAAGAGGACTCTCCTCGGCTGGTTTAACCCCTCAGTGCTCTCATGAGTCAGAAGTTGGAGCCGGGGACTCAATCAGGGCTCCCACATGTGATAGGAACTTAATTACTTGTACCACCACACACATATCTTAACTCAGGTACTCCAAAATATGGGACAGTTGTATCTTAACCAGTGACTTAATTGCTGGGTCAAAGGTCTACCATTCCCCTTTTCTATTAAACTCTCTTGAGTAAACATTAACACATACCCATCCATTTCTGTTCTTACTCTTCCTGTCAAGAGAAATAAGACCAATACACAAACTGCTGAGTCTACGAACCAGGCCTTGGAACAACTTAAAGAGCTTTCAGTTAAACCAAACACTGTACTAAGAAAGGCACAGTCTGTTTTCCAGTAAAAAAGGATGGGTACACGACATTCTGAAGCCAGGCATGGTGCTGTAGAAACACATATCTCCAGCCATTCACTCTTCGAAGTATTGTTGTGAAGCATTACCCTCATTTTACAGATAAGTTGCAAAAAGATTATGTAATTTGTCAAAAGCAGTATTAACAAGGACAGAGGATCTTCTGGTCTAATTTTTAGTATATGTGCTGCCGAAGCAAGCACACTCTGGTCTAATACTTAAGGGCCACATTTAGTTAAATGAGGATTTCCAGGTTACTGAACGCTCCTGACCGCATTCATGAGTTCAATCTACGCCGTGTCACAAAGCTTCATGATATCAAGTTCAGTCTCCATAATCACCAAAATCCCTATCTAAATATTCACAGTTCACTTAATGAGGCAACTTGGTAGATACTGCGTAAGTCTTTGAAATACCTAGCAGCACACAATTCATTAATACGTAAAAACTTCACATAATTAACTATGTCTATAAGATTGCAGAACCTAAAAATATTCAGTTTACAAAGCCTATTCTGCAGGACATTGGTTTTCAAATGTATATTTTTCATCACCTTAGAATTTTTAAAAAAAGATTTATTTATTTTTATTGGAAGGTCAGATATACAGAGAAACGAGACAGAGAGAGAGGTCTTCCATGTGCTGGTTCACTCCCCAAGTAGCCACAATGGTCAGTGCTGAGCCAATTCAAAGTCAGTGAGTGCAGGGTCCCAGGGCTTTGGGCCGTCCTCGACTGCTTTCCCAGGCCACAAGCAGGGAAGTGGAGCAGCCAGGATACGAACCGGTGCCCATATGGGATCCTGGTGTGTGCAAGGTGAGGAATTTAGCCACTAGGTTACTGTACCAGGCTTGGGAATCATTTTTGTACAACAGAAAAACAGGGAGCTTTCTAGAAAAGCTGCCAAGGGGCCCACTGCTGCTGTGGCTTCTCTCACAGATATTCTTCCTTGGAGTAGTTCTTCTAACCAGTACTATCTTCTGACATGATTAGATAGTTCAGCAATTTTTGTGCAGATTGTTTATCCAGAATCAAATTCAAGGTTCATAATAATGTAAGGATATTTTTGTTGAATAAGACAGCTGTCTTCGGTGAAGAATTTAGCACAGGATAATGCACAATGAACAGAAACCCTGTCCATGTTTCAGTGATGCTCTCTGTCTCAGCGCAGACGCCAGCCTGATTTTCCTGGTTATGAGTGTCATGTACAGAGTCACACACACACAGACTCACCAAACTCATTACTAAACGCACTGAAGTGCCATCATCTTTTTACAATAAACCAAGTAGTCAGACATTGCTGAAGCGGCATTTGGAAACTCAGTGTAAAGAATTAAGTAGTCAGGGGCCCGGCGCGGTGGCGCAAGTGGTTAAGTCCTCGCCTTGCACGCCCGGGATCCCATGTGGGCGCCGGTTCTAGTCCCGGCAGCCCCGCTTCCCTTCCAGCTCCCTGCCTGTGGCCTGGGAAGGCAGTTGAGGACAGCCCAAAGCTTTGGGACCCTGCACCCGCGTGGGAGACCCGGAAGAGGCTCCTGGCTTCGGATCGGCATAGTATCGGCCCGTTGCGCTCACTTGGGGAGTGAGTCACCGGATGGAAGATCTTCCTCTCTGTCTCTCCTCTCTGTATATCCGCCTTTCCAATAAAAAATAGTAAAAATAAATCTTTAAAAAAAAAAAGAATTAAGTAGTCAGGAAGGTACTCTGGAAAGTCATTACCTTACCATGTCAATTGGTCAAATACAAAAATCACTTACCTTATGAAGGAATAAGAGCCACAACTTGTAATGAACAATGGGGATAAGTGTTACTGAACAAAAAGCTGTTCTATTGACCTGTCCCATTCATGCAGCAGAAAATGAACACACCTTTGCCAAGATGCGTGTTGATAGACATGTATCTTGCAGTTCCAGTTAAGCTTTTGTGCTCCCTGTAAGGTATGTGTTTTTTGGTTTCAGGGTCAATATATTCCTTGGCCAGTCCAAAGTCTATAATGTGTATAACATGCTCTTTCTTATTGCCTTGTCGGCCAATTAAGAAATTCTCTGGTTTGACATCTCGGTAGATGAGATTCTTCGAGTGCACATATTCCATTCGAGAAAGCTAAGAAATGAAACAAGGATGGAAATGTTAAGAAGTATGTTGCAAAAATACATCAAAATCATTTTCTCAATCAGCACAGTTTTAATTACCAAAATAACAATAAAACTCATTTCTCCTTTACCTCCAGAGTTACCGCTAATTTGTGAGTAAAAAAATATTTTCTGGTATAAATACATAATGTAACAAATGCCAAAACTAGGAAAAAAGAGACAGTATAGTTCCCCTGAAATGACAATTTTATCTCCTAATGTCACAATTTGCAAATGGTGAATAAATTAGTTAATTTTATGCTACTTCAGAAAATAAGCACTCGGGAGAGGAGCAGTCGCAGGAGGCTGGCAACACTACCTCTGAGACAGGTGTCCACAGCTTGCCAGCTCTCACTGTTGTGGAAACGAGCAAAGTGAGATCCAGAGAAGTTAGCACTGGACTGACACCATGTAGCTAGCAGAGACAGGACAGCACATGGTTTTTTCCCCCCAAGTCAGAAAAGACATGTGTTGACAAGGTAACAGGATTTGAGGAAGGCACACCTCAACAAAAGACTGCAGTTTTTATACATGAAATTTCAAATTTCATTAAATATTATCTACAAAGCTTTGTTATCTAACTTGGCATAGAGAGAGGTTCAGACATTTGGTTTTGGACTCAAAAGTCAAAGTCAATTTTGTAACAGCTACAAACTTTTTTTCTGGAGAGTTTCAAACTGTTTCAAACAAATAATGATTCATTTGCAACTCTTCCCTGAGGGCCTGGCAAAGCCTTTTCTTTCTTTCTTTTTTTTTTTTTTTAAAGAATTACTTATTTTTATTGGAAAGGCAGATATATACAGAAAGCAGAAGAGACAGAAAAATATCTTCTGTTGGATGATTCACTCCCCAAAGAACCACAACGGCTGGTGCTGCATTGATCCAAAGCCAGGAGCCAGGAACTTTCTCCAGGTCTCCCACACAAGTGCAGGGTCCCAAGGCTTTGTGTTGTCCTTGACTGCTTTCCCAGGCCACAAGCAGGGAACTGGAAGGGAAGTGGGGCTGCTGGGATTAGAACCGGCACCCATATGGGATCCTGGCGTGTTCAAGGTGAGGACTTTAGCCGTTAGGCCACGCTGCCAGGCCCATGACAAATATTTTAAAGAAGTGTCCTGCTCCTGCATTAGATGGCACTGGTGTGTAATACCAAGACGCTGCCTCTGCAGCCTTTTTTGAGAACTGGAGGCCAGAGAACTAAGGCAAAGTCCTGGTTATACAACTTTCAAGACTGAGCATTAATGCAGTGAATTATGTCCTCAACTGTTTTTTGGATGTTAACAGTGAGGAGAGGGAAGATAAACCAAACTTTACAGTTACATCCTTAAAACCTATAGAAATATCAAAAAAACCTGAAGACTTAGCTGTAACTATCTAATCATCCTTTCTCCCTAATCTGTTACATGCTTCTGCATAAATTAAGGGCAAAGTATTGCAACAAGGTACAAATCTTAAAATAGAACAAGCTGCAGATAAGAAGTGAGTTTCCAAGTTAGCCCTTTTTGCCCTAGCCAGCTTCCTAAGAATGCTACCAAGCACCTGAGTACTATTTTATTAGGAGTCATTAGGACCAGTGAATCACCCAAAGACTCTGATATGGCAAGGAGAACAGCTTCTTCCTTTCCCAGAACAGAAATACCAACTCACCAACTGGATGGCTATCATCAACACCGTCTTCAAAGTAAATGTTCGGTCACAGAGGTCAAACAAGTCCTCCAAGCTAGGGCCAAGCAGCTCCAGCACCATGGCATTGTACTTCCCGCATGGTCCAAAGTAATAAACCTGTGGGAGACCCTCACCTGAGAGCAGAGGAGCGGGGAGTAAAAAGTAGGAGACACAAAACACAAAATGAGACAACTTCATTAGCATTGGAATATAATGGAAGTACAATTTGTGAGATTTCCAATTTTTTTTTACAATTCCTGTTAGAAAACTTAAACTGGGCGCAGTAGCTTCAAGGGGAACTAATAATGAGTAGGAAAGGCTAAGAATTATTCCTCCCAAAGGATGCCCAAAAGTGCAATACCATAAAAAATTCCAAGGATGGCTCAATGATCTCAAAGGCCAGGCTAAACAGATCTTTGCTGATTTCATTAGCACTGCTCATGCTTACTGCCAAAACCAAACGGCGCTCTGCACAACTGCGGCCCCATAGCAGAACTCTGACCGAAGGCATGAGGTCAACAAATGTGCAGACGTGCTCCAGGCCAGCACCACTGGCTCTCTTTTTAAACAGTCTTTGTAGTTTTCTATCAGTTATGACAAAGTCAATAGACACTTAGCATTTGGCTGCTGACAAATAATTATGAATGGAAAAGGTGGGTAGGAACACAAGGCTGGGTTTCCCCAAGATTTAAAATTCACAGAACAATTTCTACCTCACATGTTTATACTATAGTCTACAGCTGTACATGCTGTAGTTTCTTGTTTGCTTCTGCCTCCAACATTCTCTCCCTGTTTCCCATTTGTACAGATGGCACAGGCAGAGGTGATGCATATCTAGCTCAGCTTTCTCTCCAGGAGAGAATTTGCGAGTTAATGTGATTCAGTGCTATGCTGTTTTCTATTTGTTTTGTGAATTGTACTGTCTACCTTGTTTAACATGTCCTTGAACATACTCTTTCCCTGTGCCTGTTCCTAGCTTTTGTCAGCTAAATATGCTTCTAACTAGCTCCACTATTCACTGAATGGTCTTTGTGGTTGTTTTGAATCTCCTCCAAGAATAAACAGGATTTGAAGCATCTTTATTCTGTTAGCTTGAAGAACTAATCTTTCAGTTTATTTTAAATATTCAGAACATAACAGCTGCTGCCAATGAGTCCTGCTGAGAAATTCAAAGCAGAACACTCTACCCCAGAGACTCACTGCCTTTGTTAATTCAATACACGGTTAATGGAATTTAGGGATCTTTTAAACTTATATCCAACAAAAGTTTTTGATGTCATTACAATTTTATTTCCATAACATATTATATTCTTTAGAGTGGATTGTGGCAGCTTGTCAGCTGCCAGCCTTACTGCCATTCCTTCCCTCTTCCTTAATAACAGAGCTTCTAGCTACTGCAAAGCACAACTTGATCAATTATAACCTTAGCCTCTCCTGAAGATAGGACTGACCAATAAGACAGAGGCAGAAATTACTGGGTGGGGTGGTTATATAGTAAGGTTTTTTCTTTCCTCTCTCTTTGCTGTCGCTCTCTCAAAGTGTACCAGTTCTCAATAAAGTTCTGATTAATTTTTTTTAAAGATTTATTTTTATTATTTTTTTATTGGAAAGGCGGATATACAGAGAGGAGAGACAGAGAGGAAGATCTTCCGTCCGATGATTCACTCCCCAAGTGAGAGCAACGGGCCGATACTATGCCGATCCAAAGCCAGGAGCCTCTTCTGGGTCTCCCACGCAGGTGCAGGTTCCCAAAGCTTTGGGCCGTCCTCGACTGCTTTCCCAGGCCACAGGCAGGGAGCTGGAAGGGAAGCGGGGCTGCTGGGATTAGAACCGGCACCCATATGGGATCCCGGGCGTGCAAGGAGAGGACCTTTAACCACTTGCGCCAGCGCGCCGGGCCCAAGTTCTGATTAATTTTAAAAATTCATTTGGGAGGCAGCACCACAGCCAGGAGGCTAGGAACTCAATCCTAAAGTTTCCTAGGGATTACAGAAAACATACTACTGAGTATGATAACTTCTAAAACTACCTGCACAAACGATACCCACTTCAGTTCCATTCTCTGCTTACTTTTGCAGGACTGCCCACAAACTGGGCAATACAGAAGGTACCAAAGTCTGCCCTCCGTCAGAGACTGCCATATAGTAACATTTAACATCTGGACTGCATTTAAATGGAAAATATATCAGTTTCACTGTCACTTTACAAGAGCCATTACAATTCCTCTGCTTAAGCAATTTTTAATCAAAATTAGGTCATACAACTCTTGGATAAGAATGGTGGCAACGACGCAGCTTTAAATGCAACAACACAAATTAAACATGTGGAAAACAAGGTACTTTCTCCAAATAATTATGATAGAATGAGAATGGGGTGGGAGAATTGGGCAAGGCAGATATAAGCTGGGTTCTTCAATCTATGCTACATCAGAAACTGTTTCCTAAGTACTTTTTTGGTAATACGGCATAATTTTCTACTAAATTTCTAACACATTTCACTGTATTTCCCTTAACTACAGGTAAAACATCTTGTAAACCAAAAGTCGGATACACTACAAATATTATCTTGCATATTTCTCCTGAGTTCTAGAAAACTCTGCAGGCCATATGCAACGAAACAGGATGTGAGGTTACAACTCTATGGATAATAGAGTTTGTTTCAGTTTGTCATTTAAGTTAAATACAAGATAATGGCTTCCTTATCACCCAAGCTGTTATCTAAAAGATTCCTTAATGTTCTACTTACAGAAAGTAGAGATATTTTTGAACATACATTAAGCTGACAACTGAAACAGATCACCTTGAAGCTTCTATAATTGGAACATATCATTCCCTAACAATTAGCATTTCATTCCTTTTTTTTTTTAAAGATTTATTTTTTATTATTTTTTAAATTGGAAAGGCAGATATACAGAGAGGAGAGAGACAGAGAGGAAGATCTTCCGTCCGATGATTCACTTCCCAAGTGAGCGCCACAGTCGATGCTAAGCCGATCTGAAGCCAGGAGCCTCTTCCTGGTATCCCATGCGGGTGCAGGGTCCCAACGCTTTGGGCCGTCCTCAACTGCTTTCCCGGGCCACAGGCAGGGAGCTGGAAGGGAAGCGGGGCTGCCGGGATTAGAACCGGCGCCCACATTGGATCCCGGGCGTGCAAGGCGAGGACCTCATTGCTGGGCCCTCATTCTTTTTAAAAAAAAAAAAAAAACTAAATTACCTTTCAAACGGATTTAACTTGGAAGCCATTAATATCAGTATTTATTTTTTTTAAGATTTATTTTATTTTTATTGGGAAGTCAGAAATACAGAAAGGAGGAAAGACAGAGATGAAGATCTTCCGTTCAATGATCCACTCCCCAGGTGAGCACAACGGCCAGTGCTGTGCCGATCCGAAGCCAGGAGCCAGAAAATTCTTCCAGGTCTCCCACGTGGGTGCAGGATCCCAAAGCACTGGGCCATCCTCGACTGCTTTCCCAGGCCACAAGCAGGGAACTGAATGGGAAGTGGGGCTGCTGAGATTAGAACCAGCGCCCATATGGGATCCTGGCGCGTTCACTAGGCCATGGCACTGGGCCTAAACTTCCTTATATTCTTTGAGATCTACCGTTGCTCCTCTACTGGTATAGAACCACATTATTGTTAATTTAATAGTTGCCTAGATTCAAACTCTCTGCTATCAACCAAACACCTCACAGCTTTGCAACTATAAAAGGCAGATTAGCTCTTTTAATACTTATTTTTTTAAAAAACACTTATTTATTTTTATTGTAAAGTCACATTTACAGAGAGTACAAGAGACAGAAAGGAAGATTTTCCGTCTGCTGATTCACTCCCCAAGCGGCCACAATGGCCAGAGTTAACACCAATCTGAAGCTAGGAGCCAGAAGCCTCTTCCAGGTCTCCCATGCGGGTGCAGCGTCCCAAGGCTTTGGGCTGTCCTTGACTGCTTTCCCAGGCCACAAGCAGGGAGCTGGAAGGGAAGCAGGGCTGCCGGGATTAGAACCGGCACCCATATGGGATCCTGGTGCATTCAAGGTGAGGACTTAGCCGCTAGACTACCACACTGGGCCCAATATACTTATTTTTAGAAAAGAAATGTTGCATTTTATTGGAAATGCAGAGAGAGAGACACAGTGATCTTCAATTCACTGGCTGACAATTCTGAAATGACTGCAAGAACCATGGCTGGGTTAAACTGAAGCCAGGAATCTACAAAAACTTCATAAATGTCTCCCATGCAGGTGGCAGGGACTCAGGAAATTCAATTACCACCTACTCTCTCCCAAGGTGTACATTAAGCCGAAAGTTGTACTGAACGTAGAGCAGCCAGGACTGAAATTCAGTATACCAGTGTGGGATGCCAGCCTCTGAAGTGGTAAATTAAGCTGTCAAAGGCCTGCTCCAATACTTTTTATTCATGTAGTAAAGGTTTAAGAGGGTGAAAACATCTTGCATCTGGTAGCTCTAAATTTCTCAGTTGTGTATATATATGAAATATGCATTCAACACAACTATGTTAATTAATTTGGGGGAAAAGTTTACAAAACTAGAAAATCTATAGCCATTCTGGAGGTAACAACTGCTTCACTCTCAGTGGTGGTACAATTTTTTAAAAGTATCTGAGACAGGGCCTGGCACGATGCGTAATGGTTAAGATCCTCGCCTTGAATGTGCCGGGATCCCTTATGGGCGCCGGTTCTAATCCTGGCAGCCCAGCTTCCCATCCAGCTCCCTGCCTGTGGCCTGGGAAAGCAGTTGAGGATGGCCCAAAGCCTTGGGACCCTGCACCCACGTGGCTGGCTTCAGTTCCAGCCGTTGCAGCTGCTTGAGGAGTAAATCATTGGATGGAAGATCTTCCTCTCTATCTCTCCTCTCTGCTTATCTGTCTTTCCAATAAAAATTAATAAATCTTAAAACAACAACAACAACAACAAAAAACCACACACTGCTGGTTTGGGTTTGCCTACAGCATTAGTAAACTTCTGTGTTCAAAAATGACACAATCATAAAAAGTGTTCACTGGGTATTAAACAAGTTCACTTACACTCTCTGACCAAGAGGACTTCCATGAGGCTTTTCTGGTTTTGAAGCTTCAATAAAGACTTTGCTGCCATTTCTCTGAGGGTTAGTATTATTTGT